GCCCCCGCCGTCGACCAATTAGAGGTGCAAAATGCCTGGAGCCGGAAACATTTCCGACTTATCCCCGCTGATCCCCGACGATTTCCTCTCCTTTTCTTCTCGTCGGGCCGGGGTATTTTTATTCCGATTTGATTCCGGAGTCGGGAGTTCGATTATTTTTTACGGCCCAACGTGACTTCCTGACACAATAATGAATTCGGAGACGTTGTCTGCGTTGTCTGTTTTTTGGCTCCGGCTTCGCGGCCGATCGGGGGTGGAGGGAACCGATCCTGCAAGCGGATGTTGTCGAACTGTTTGGCTCTCTCCTTGTGTGGATCGAGGGGTCATCCGGAGTTTGACATTCTTTTGACCCTGCCCAAATTGTTTTTTTATCTATGCACAAATAATAAAAGAATGCTTTATGATGTAAAATCATATCGCGTCCAAACGCGTATCGCATGTGGTCTGAGGCGCGAAGCGCTTCGGGGGATCGTTCCGCGAAGCAGTCAGGGAGCGTACCCCTCTAGTTCATTATAGTTTTTGTAGCTACGCGATTTGATCTGTTAGGTGTCGATATAGTTGCTCGATGCCAAAGTCGGTAACCATGCAACATCAACTATAAGTTTAAAAAGCCGCAAATCAAACTCGTACGTTCAAAACTCCTTCAATTTTGTAGCTATGCAATTTGATCTCCGGAGAGTTAAAATAGTTGCTCGATGTCGAGGCGCGCATACGGTCACGCGGCGCGGCGTAGTGTCATCAAAGGAGACTGCTGAGTGCCGAGCCACGGGTAAGCGGTTTGTCGAGCAAGCGATGTGAGGCTCCAGAGAGCTTATATCTATGTATAGTTACTCGATATTAAATAATTGCAGCCCGAAAATTTTCGACTTTCTGAAACTGTGCGACACGTTTTAGCAACGAGGAGCGGAGAGACTGTAACTTTGGCTTGTAGACCTCCAGTTCATCCTCGCTGACGCTCGTATTTAACCATCAACTTAAATCATCTCCGTGTTATACAGTGGACGCTCTCAAACTTATGGGTTGTTGAGAGGGTCGATGTATTTTAATTCAAGACTTTATGTGCCAATATGAATATTATGATTGATGCCAAAATTTGCTTGTTACACATCTTTTTTTTTTGCTTCCATCGCATATATCCTGTGCGTAAGCAGTCGAAAAAGATGCTTAGGAGCCAAAGATCCAGACTCTTCGCTTCTCGTTGCAAAAACGTGACGTGCTAGTTCAGATGTCGAGAATTTTCGGCCTACGATTATTTATCATCGAGTATATAACGGGCGGTATTAAAAATTCGGGTATCAAATTGCATGCCCGACGAAGTGAAGGCACCCAGAGCGAGCCCACTTACCCCTGGCTTGGTACTTAGAAGGCTCCTTTGATGACGCTGCGGTGTGTTGCGCCGCCGCGTGACCGTATGTGCGCCTCGCCTCGACATCAAGCAACTATTTTAACTCTCCAGAGATCAAATTGCATAGCTACAAAATTGAAGGAGTTTTGAACGCACGAGTTTGATTTGTGGCCTTTCAAACTTATTGTTGATGTTGCGTGGTTACCGACTTCGATATCGAGCACCTATATTAACTCCTAACAGATCAAATCACATAGCAAACAAAATATTAATAATTTAGAGAGCTACGCCCCTTTACCGCTTCGCGATACAACCCCGCGAAGTGCTTTGCGCTGCAGACCTCATGCGTTACGCGATTCTCTTATGTTTTTATATTATAGAGTAAAACTAATTAACGTACAACTAAATCAAACCAATCATTAAAGCAAACGTACTCAGCCAAATTTTCGACAAAACACCAATAATTAAGGTCCAACAGATCTCTTCTCCTGAGTCTGATACAAATCACTCGTATACTTGTCAAGAAAAAATCAGCAGGTTGAGGAAATTATTCCCTGGTGACGATTGCTTGAATTGGCTCACAATCAGTGCGCAATTGGACTCAGGGTAGATTTTAATGTTTTGACGATAGCATACATGGACGTGTTTATGCTAAAAGGAACTATGTTGCGCATAAACCCTATGCACGTAGTTCCTTTTAGCATAAATATGTCCACGTGTGATTTTACAGACGAGAAAAACTTTGATATCTCACTGAGGAAGTGTTTTGAAAATGTTTAACGCCCCCACCGTGTCTTGCGTAAAATTTTGATTAGTAAGCATGTGTTATGATGCTTAAGTTCTGACCCTGGCTAATGGTCCATTCATGACAAGGCTTTATTCCTGATTAATTGAGTGGAAACGTTAAAAGGAAGCAGTTCGGTAAAAACCTAACAGTCACTGCATGACTTACTGGGGATGTATTCCGTCTTTTGATAGACTGCTAAAAAAAACTCCGCGTCTCGGAATCACCGATTCACTTTTCACCTGTAACCGAATTAACGCTCAAGCGAATACCTTGAAACATTGCCTAAGTGAAGCCGTGTTCATTCAATTTTTGTTCAGATGTCAGTGCCAGAGAGGGATTTTTGCACGTTGAGCAAACTTGCCGAAGCATATTTATTTGGTATCAAGTACTAATTATATTTTGGGAAACTTCGAGATGTCAATATTGTAAACGGGTATAAATCTAATTCAGGTGCCGAATTTTTCGGAGCTGGAACTTTTTCGCAAAAAATGGGCATTATTAGTCCACTGGCGCAAAACGAGAGATTTTACTGATTTTACCCGGGGTTACAATTTTTCAGAAAACCGCATCCCTCGCATCTCAGGAGAAAGAACAGTATGTATAAACTCACCTCTTGCAATCGATAAAGAGCGGGCATTATGAAATCCACCGTACTACAGATACTTGCTCTTTGAGTTGCACCATCGATAAGTATATAGGTACATGACCCGATAGGAATTCAAGGGGCCAGTTGAGATCGTTCAAATTGAACGCTTCATCGGTGTCCAGGGGACCTAGCCAATCAGCAACGCACATCCGTGACTCAATTCTATTTTGAGGCTCAAATTCCGAGGCGTAAAAACCGTGGCGAAAACTTAATTGGGCCTGCGGAGCAACTTACGCACATTACCGTGGTGCCATGACCCTGGTTCCATACTTAGGTGGGCAGATAGTTAGCAGTTGGGCGATAATTACATTCGTGAAGCTCACCCACAATTTCTGGTCTAATTGCAGGATTTAACAACGAGAAGAGGTAGATCAAAAGACTGCTCACTGAATGCGAAGAGTTTCAAGTTTGATAGAACCAGACCGTCGGCGTCGGGCGATGTAACGAGTCGATGCGCTTGTAGGTACACACATCTGAATTAATCCGCAAGGACAGGTGTAGGAGGTTCCTATCAAATAAGAATCCACTATTTTTAAAAGGGCGGAAGTCAGATTTTTTTTTAAAAATCGTTCTCATTGCAATTTTGGACTTTTTTGCACAGCTATTCTGTAAACGTGGCGGAAGTCTAATGGATAGAAAAGCCCGACCTGACTGATCTACGCCTGACTTATTTGGCCTCCTCTGAAACTTTTGAGCAGTTTCTTCTTTATCCTGGAAAAATTTGGTTTTTGGACTTCTGCATGCCCTTTTAAAAAAAGCGGATTTATATAATTTCGGGTGGAACGTAGGTACAGAGGAATTATTCCCCGCTCAAGAAAAAAGGTAATGTCGTTCCTGATTAAACCTAACTAGGTATTCTTTTCCTAGTGGCTCGTGTTAAGATCACAGGCCAATGTGGCAGCTGCATGAATATGCAGTACTATTCCGTAAGCACTATTCGTAGTAGCGAGGTACGAGTTATAAGTACGAAAGCGAGGAGGCTACTTCAATATTAATCTTCGATCGCATTGCTCAGGCGCAGTGATACAACTCTACGTACTCTCCGGAACGCGTGAGGTATCACGCCACAATTGAAGGCGCTTTTGGTAACGGCAACCTTTCCATACGGGGATTCTCGCGTCGCATAAAGTTCGGAGCATGAGATAAATGGAATGACTGGTCTTACGAGCTAGTGCGACAGTTACTCAGTGCGCACACCTCCTCGTTCAATTTATTATTTATAAGGAACTTTCTATCTTATTTATGATCAGTGTGTAATTTTCTCGGATGTGTTTCCGTCCCATGATTTACTGGGATTTCTTGTAATTTATTCTTAATTTAAGTTCCTTTTATTTAGTAATATTTTTCACGACTAATTTATTGTTAGTTCTTCCGTAAAAATTATTAAAAACAATTCTGGCTTAAACACAATTAAACTATCCGTTCAAAACTGCAATAGCGGCAACGGAAAACCAACAGGCAGAGGCCAGCGTGGAGGCAACTTCAATATTAATCTTCGATCGCATTGCTCAGGCGCAGTGATACAACTCTACGTACTCTCCGGAACGCGTGAGGTATCACGCCACAATTGAAGGCGCTTTTGGAAACGGCAACCTTTCCATACGGGGATTCTCGCGTCGCATAAAATTCGGAGCATGAGATAAATGGAATGACTGATCTTACGAGCTAGTGCGACAGTTACTCAGTGCGCACACCTCCTCGTTCAATTTATTATTTATAAGGAACTTTCTATCTTATTTATGATCAGTGTGTAATACTCTCGGATGTGTTTCCGTCCCATGATTTACTGGGATTTCTTGTAATTTATTCTTAATTTAAGTTCCTTTTATTTAGTTATATTTTTCACGACTAATTTATTGTTAGTTCTTCCGTAAAAATTATTAAAAACAATTCTGGCTTAAACACAATTAAACTATCCGTTCAAAACTGCAATAGCGGCAACGGAAAACCTACAGGCAGAGGCCAGCGTGGAGGCAACTTCAATATTAATCTTCGATCGCATTGCTCAGGCGCAGTGATACAACTCTACGTACTCTCCGGAACGCGTGAGGTATCACGCCACAATTGAAGGCGCTTTTGGAAACGGCAACCTTTCCATATACGGGGATTCTCGCGTCGCATAAAATTCGGAGCATGAGATAAATGGAATGACTGATCTTACGAGCTAGTGCGACAGTTACTCAGTGCGCACACCTCCTCGTTTTAATTTATTATTTATAAGGAACTTTCTATCTTATTTATGATCAGTGCGTAATTTTCTCGGATGTGTTTCCGTTCAATTTGAGCTTTTCATAGGTACACATGATTTACTGGGACTTCTTGTAATTAATTCTTGATGTAAGTGCCTTTTATTTAGTTATATTTTTCACAGCTATTTTCAGGTTCAAAGTTTATTGATCGCACAGAGTATAAATTGCAAAATTGAACGTGAAACAGCATTGAGAGATCACGGTTCGCGTCATGGCGCCTTCAATTTTTCAGATGCAGCACGGACGTCCATCAAGTACAAATAGTTGTATCTCTGCGCCGTCGTTAATGCGCATCCTTTCCCGCCATCTTTTTACATATTGTGTTCGTTTCCGTTTGTCTCATTCGTAATGGTGGTTCAAGCACTACGTGAGTAATACAGCCGAAGGTAGGAGAGATGTCTTTAGGCCTTTTTTTAAACTTTTCTACCGAACCAGAGCGACGCTTCATTGACAGCATAAAGCAGAGCATTGAGAGCTCACGGTTCGCGTCATCGCGCCTTCAATTTTTCAGATGCAGCACGGGCGTCCATCAAGTACGAATAGTTGTATCTCTGCGCCGTCGTTAACGCGCATCCTTTCCCTCGCTTTATTTCATCCATATTGTGTTTGTTTGCGTTTGTCTTATTTGTATTGTTGCTTCAAACTAGAGCAGAGCATTGCAAGTTCACGACTCATGGCATCGCGTCTTACACTTTTTATATGCAATGCAATGTGGACATCCATCTTGCGCGAATAGTTGTATCGCGTTTACATTTTAGATGTCTTTTATTTTTGAATTTCGAGATGAATTAAGGTTAAGTTTGCCCGCGCTATGCTATGGTATGTCCAAATTTATAGTCATTTGAAACGGAGAAAATATGTTTAAAGGTCTCTTCAGAGGTCTATTAAGGATGCGTACGTCTAAAAATCGAACCGACCATCGCTTCTAAAGGAGTTACACATAGCGAATGAAAGAGGGGGATGACAAAGCGCCTGTATGTCAAGAAGAAGGTGAAAATTTCACAGAAAATTGTTTACGCTTCAAAAAGTAGTTCTTGGACCTCTGTTCACCACTATCATGCGTTAAAGCACCTTTCTTTACTCCTAACTCTCTCTTCTTTCGTCCATTTAAGACGGTCGTAATTTTTTTTCTTCTTATTTTGCTATCTGTAAGAGGGGCGCGTTTTCGGCGCGCAAAGGGGGCGTATCTGCCAATGGCAGATTGGCCTTATGGCCAGTCCGAGCTTGAATACATGGGTCGAAAAGATTTTGGGGGGGGGGGGGGGGGGGGGGGCATAAGACCATTACCTCGCACCTCGCCTTTTGCCCCACTCCATAAATCTTCAGAACCGCGTAAAAATGTAAGATTCAGCAGATGTTTATGACTTGTTGCATCCCTCCAGACCGAAGGGGTTTTTAGAAGGCCAGCTACGGACCGTTGGAGTTCCCTTGCTATACCTAACCACGACACGACGATACGATAAACGAATAACGGGTTAGGAGAAAAGGCGAAAGAGGCAACGAAACGTGTTAGCCACGTTTGTTGACAATAGTTCTGATCAAACAGGGGGAATGATGCATAATAAGTTTTTAATTAGCAGTGGAAACCTCCAGTATTTGGGATCAAGTTGGGCTTTTGTCCCGCCCGACGCAGCGTCACAGCTGCCTCGTGGAGAGAGGTCTTTGTTCCATGTTTCCAATGTTACGTCTCTTATGAAAAAAATAATAGGTCATCAAGCTTTTTGTGTGTAGGCGCCTTGAAACTGATCAGAAATTGGTATTCAGATTTCATTATTAGAACTTAGGCACTGACCGACGGGGTGATTATTTTTTTTTCTCGGTTAATTAAATACCCACTATAGGTGTAAATAGTCGACAGCTAGTGCACACCTAAAAATCAATGATACTTCCTTATTAATAATTAAATATCTAATCCACTAACACCCTGCCCAAGTAGCCCGAGCAACGAAAATGTTGGAATAATTTTACAACATAATGCCGTAAAATTGCAATATTTTCACATCACTAATTCAATAAATACCGATTTTGAACGACCAATATAACGAGCTCCATGCGTGATAAAGATAGGCAATTTGCAATGCCAGAAAAAATGGCAACTTAATTCATTTTATTGAATTAAATTTAAATAAGAGGAGCCCCTTCAATTAGTGAGTAGGCAACATACTCAACATGCCGATACAATCGCAACACACTTGTATTTTATCATGTAGTTGCAATTTACTGCAACCTATGCTGCTTGGATAAGACATTCTTAAAGTACCTGCATTTAATTGCAAACCTACTTAAGGGAAGAGGATAAATCACGAATGAATAGAATCATACATTCACAATAAAAAGAATCTAATGATAACGAGAGCATTTTGAATGGGTCATCTTCCAAGTTATCATTGGGTAAACCAAATATTTAGTCCTAAAAATAAGATGACTAATTTTATCTACCTATCGCGCATACTTTCAGAGACCAAAATTAAACGTCATTTTTTGTCTTTAAAAATACTTATGATGAAATTGAGGAGATTCAAAAGGACCAAATTGAATTCTGCATGATTCTCTATCAGCTGAGGCTTATGAGTTTTGATAAAGGTAAACTAAAAATGATACCTACATGGGAGATTCAATTGGAATAATGGTGCTACCTAGTTTTTCTACTCTGTAACAAAATTTTCACCTGAAAGGCAGGAAAATGTTGACTTTCCTCAAAGCTGGAGACAATTGAAATGGAACTACCTATGAGCGTATCAATAGCAGAAAGGGAGAATACACCTCTGAATGGGAGAAATTAAGCATTGGAGCAGACTCAAACATTAGCTACTCGTTGCACGACGCAGGTGGGTGATCAGAGTCATGCCATCTATTTTTTATTTACAAAGAGTCCTGGAGCTGTAGCTCCACTGCCATCACTGACGTGTCAGTTTCAAAGTGTTGCTCATTACAATATCTACCCTAACGACAGAAACTTCGAAAATGGAGTCTATTACTATTCAGACGGATGAAACCTCTAAGGTAAGAGAGAAATGACTTCCTTTATACCCTAATTTTGTTTCTCAGATTCAAAAGAAAAGAACATCTGTTCAACACACTCCTTTCAGAAACTTGTCACTCGGAAAAACACACAAAACAGGGCCAGTGTCACACTTCCAGAACATTGGATAATTGATATAGAGTTGAGGTCTCATGCATTTGAGTTAATTCTCATTTAGAAAGAGCAAAGATGCTTAAGCCTTTAATTTGACTTAAGATGAAGCTGAATAATTAGTGAGTAAATAGGTAATGTGAGGCTATGAATTAGGTCAAGGAGACCTTTTTTTATTTCTCCATTTAATGAAACCATGCAAACCATCTAAGTTATATTTTTTTTAACCCAAGGACGCAGTATGAAAGAAAAAAAAGGCACATGCTATGAAAAAAATGAGATAAATACTTTAAAAGACAAATTAGTGAAAATTCAGCCATCTGTCTCTCTCTTTCTCTTTTAAATGATTACTTTCTTGCTTACTCTATTGATAAAGGAATGAAGTTCGTCAAAAACCCTCTCCTTTTCTGAATCAAAAAAACATTTAGAAATTAAGAATTTTCAATTTATCTTGCATAATAATAGCTTAAAATTAACGAGAGATCATGAAACATGAGACCTGTGAATACAAAAGGAACGCCTAACTAACATACTGCATATGAATTTATTCTAATTCAATGATTATTTCAAGATTTGGTTTGAAATGACTGTCTGTTTTTGTTGCTAAAAATAAATACTATTTTCTACAGTTGTTTTTGGATGTTTCCTTTTGTGAAATTAGGACTGCCTAGCAGACCTTCGCAAAAATGTGTCAGCAATCTTTTGTAGTTATTTATTTACCTATTTTTTTAATTTAAATATTTTCAAACTTTACTGCATGCCCTCTTTCCACGTACACGACTGTAGAATTAACTTAGATAACCAAGGGCCCAGAAAAGTAAAATGATTCGGTTTTTTACAGCTTAGTGTGGTTGAAACAGCATCAAAACTTTACTACGCTGGTGCCATCAATTGTGAAAATGAAGAGAACTCCGGACAGTATCTTACAGTTCTGCAGCCCGTTACTTACGATTCTTACTCACAAAATCTAGTCACATCAACTATTCCTGAAAAAATAACACCTCATCCTTTATCGGTGAAACCAAAACTGTCAGACTCAGAACGAGGTAAGGACTTCACCTTCTACTTCCAAAAGCAATGTGCACAAAAGTTGTAATTCCTTTGAGAAATATATTTTAGCAGAAGTGTAATCTTTTTTGAAAAATGATTGATTATTTTGAAATGCTGATTCAAAAATTGCATGACAAACAGCTTAAAAACATGTGCATATCTCCTTAGTGTTGAATCGGACCATTGGTTGCAATGCTTGCAAACATCTACTCTTCTCTGATAAATTAACAAGAAAGATGACAGAATTGACCCTGAAAGCTAAAATATTGAAGAGGGTATGAGTCCTGAAGTTCCGAGACAAAATTTCTTGGGTTGTAGAGTGGTTAAAGTTTTTATAAAAAGTATGTAAAGGAAAATTTTCTCCCGAAAAATGAAGTCCCATTTACAGATTCGATCACTTATCAAAGATAGTTACTGATTAGTAAAACACATTTTAAAAACTTCATTTTTCGATGAGATGGAAAGAGGAAAACTAAAATATTTAGATGCATGATAATTAGTTATTCAACATATCCATTAATAATTCTTCATCACTCTACTGTAATGCCTAAAATTGAAAACTAGTTTTACGTTAGTAAAATGATGAATTTGTACGAGGAACCAAAACTCGATACGGAGGGAAAAAGAAGAGAAAAGAAAAATTGAAGAGCAAGCAGCTCTATTATAAAGCTTCTGCTACATGAAATAGGTCTGACCTGTTGTTAATGGACTACTTGTTTCAGATTACAAGAAATCTGCATGTGACAGAGAAAGGACACGCATGAGGGATATGAATCGAGCTTTTGATTCACTACGAGATCGACTTCCACAATGTAAACCAGCGGGAAAAAAATTATCAAAAATAGAGTCACTAAGGTAAGACTTTTTAAAAGCTAAACATGTATTAAAGTTTTTAGGAAATTTTTCTGTATTAAATTGAAGTTAATCGGTATTGACATCATTTCTGGTAAAAATTTGGATTAGTTTTCTTTAAACCTAATAGAGCATGAGCAGCAATTAGCAGTGTCACACTCAGAGACATGCACTTCCTGAATTTAGCCATCAATTATCATTTTCATCTCATATCCAAATTGATTGTAAAGCCGAATGTGTCTTTTTGATTATGCCGCCTAAAAGTCACCTAGAAATTCAACGTAGAAAGCGATTCTTGCAACAGTTCAAGAGTCGACTTAGAAAACAACTAATTAACTGGACAAGACATTAATGTGTGCATTTCGGATCACATGGAACAAAAATTACACAAATGATATTATTTGAATGATGATAACTGTATATATGTATATCGATGGCGTAAGTCTGCGATCACATGTCTTGTTTGCAGTGTCTGAAAATCTCCGCCTCTAAGTTATTTTTTTAATGGAGAACAAATTGACGTCATTCCTTGAAGTTTTTGCAGAAATTTCTTCGCACAGGAAGAAAAATCACGGCAGTTTTAAAGAATTACCGTTGAGTAGTTTTCCGTTTAAAAAATAGAGTATGACAGGAAGTCTGCAACGTTGCAAACCGAGTAATGTGATTGCCGACTTACACCGTCAATATGTACCTTCTTTTGGAGTTGATTTTAGAGTTACTGAATAGGCAAATCTCTCTCTGCACACTATTTTGATGAGGAAACAAATTTTAGAGTAGTTTAGTTTGTGCCCCCGCTAGAACCACATTGCACTGATGTTGTTTGGTGCCACTAGTAATAATACGCTTATCAATTGGCTCTGCAAGTAATTCCGACCGATATTATAAATATGTGCATTTTGAGAGTTGGTGATCTGACTTTTTCAGGATGGCCATCCAGTACATTCGACACCTTCAATCCCTGCTGGAAATGGAGAGCGATTACACTCCTCAATATGTGCCGACTATTTACTCGTCATCAGTGACTTACCAGCAATCGTCAATTTACTACCAATTTTGACCTCTTAATGACTGCACAAAAAGTTAATAATCCAAACCATGCTGGGATTTTTTCTGGTAGAAGGAAATCACAGACTTTGATGAGCACTACTTCTGTTGATCAAAGTGCTCTGCTGCAGAAATTAATGAGATTGACCATTCAAGATGACGATCTCATGCACTATTTTCGCCATACCTTAAAACGGTGAAATAAATTTTGCAAAATATTCCAAGCTCACTCTGCACTGAAACTCTTACGTCTTAAAACTACTTGTAGGAGCTTAAATCTTTTTAGCAAAATTTATTCAATGTGTCAGATCGCTAAAAAAGAAACAAAAACTTATTTAATAAACTGTAGGTGACACCCAGAGGTTCATTTTTTTCTAAGCTCAGCGCACATTACTGATGAAAAGTAACGAGTTATTCCGGGGCTTTCATTATCATACAAAATATTAAATTTGTTTTGGAAAATGTTATGATGTACTTTCAGATAAGTAAATACATGAAACTTGTCCTGTGTTCTTTGATTCTGTTGAAGATAATTCTAATTACCGAATCCTAATTCACACGATATCAGGGCTGAAGGAATGGTGCATTTTGAGTGCAATGCAAACATGAAGTTTTTGCTGAATAATGTCTTTAGGGGACTGTGGTGGGTAGGTGTCGCATAGTGCCAGACAAGACTGTGAAATCGGCTCTCGTTTATTCGTGGAGTGAGACAGATATGTAGTTTGAAATTTTGAAAAAGTGTTTTTTTATCTATGGTTTTGCCTGGATGTGCCACTATACAAGGTATGAATTAAAACACTACCATACATAGTACCTCTTCGAAAACTTAACGAGAAGAACAAATCACACAAAGGGAAGATTGGAAATCAACTCTTAAATGAAATGTAAGAGTTTCCAATTAAAATTGGTTAAATGGCAAAGAGCTTGATGCAAAAACGGCTTTTTTCGCCCCCGGCTGGAAGTTCTTCAGACTTTGTCTATTGATTACTCATACTTGAGCGCTTCTTTTCCCAAATTTTCAGACCCCCAAAAAATTTTGGGGAGGAGCTAGGGGGGGTGGAAGTCAAAACCTGTGAACCTCGATATCTCTTGAACAAAGAAAGATATTGAGGTCCGGTTTGGACGAAAAATCGTCTAAAATTGCATACTTTAAGATTCTAAAGGTCGAAATCCCGATATCACATGTTTAAGTTAACATATGTGCTTTTTTCCAGTTTTTAGGTCAAGAAAATTTCTTTTAAACGAAAAATTTACAAAAATCTCAATTTTTTATTTGAACCAAAACCAGTTTTTTAAATTGTTCGTCTTTTTCCGCATCCAACGAGTGGTCGTATAAGCTGGGGAACCGAACGGTTCCGGAGTTATGATCGATTGAAGTTTCCGCTCAACGCGCGCCGACCGATTTTCGCGCGCAAAAAAGTCGGATTTGACTGTTTTTAGATCAGATTGAATGTTCAAACTGAGCAAAATGCTTTATTAGGGACTCTTGAGGGTCGCTGAGTTCAGAAATTACCGATACTTCCAAAAAATTCACGTTTTTAAAATTACAGCTCCGCAGCGCTATTTTAGAGGCCCACTGAGCGCCGACCGGCCGCTCAGTGGTCCTGTCCGAAGCTGCAATTTTAAAAACGTGAATTTTTTGGAAGTATCGGTAATTTCTGAACTCAGCGACCCTCAAGAGTCCCTAATAAAGCATTTTGCTCAATTTGAACATTCAATCTGATCTAAAAACAGTCAAATCCGACTTTTTTGCGCGCGAAAATCGGTCGGCGCGCGTTGAGCGGAAACTTCAATCGATCATAACTCCGGAACCGTTCGGTTCCCCAGCTTATACGACCTTTCGTTGGATGCGAAAAAAGACGAACAATTTAAAAAACTGGTTTTGGTTCAAATAAAAAATTGAGATTTTTGTAAATTTTTCGTTTAAAAGAAATTTTCTTGATCTAAAAACTGGAAAAAAGCACATATGTTAACTTAAACATGTGATATCGGGATTTCGACCTTTAGAATCTTAAAGTATGCAATTTTAGACGATTTTTCGTCCAAACCGGACCTCAATATCTTTCTTTGTTCAAGAGATATCGAGGTTCACAGGTTTTGACTTCCACCCCCCCTAGCTCCCCCCAAAATTTTTTGGGGGTCTGAAAATTTGGGAAAAGAAGCGCTCAAGTATGAGTAATCAATAGACAAAGTCTGAAGAACTTCCAGAGGGGGGCGAAAAAAGCCGTTTTTGCATCAAGCTCTTTGCAAATGACGTTGCTTGGTCTGCGTTAAAAGCACTTGTTAATATCTTGTTCAGGAATTGATGTCTGAACTTCCTGTTCTCTGAATCGTTTTCTACGAAAGATGTTGGAGAGCTAACATGAGCCATTCTTTTCCAAATCAGATAATCTGGTGACCCATTTGCAGGGCTGTTTTTCTAGGATGTTGATAGATTTTATGCGGTAATAAAATATACATAATTAAGAGATGGGATGAGTTTTTCGCAGGGCAACAGTTGCTCTAAACTTCTGACAGAAACACATTTCAATAAGGTTTTTAGCATTGCTAAGAGCTGATGTGATGAAGACACTTCTAAGGAGAAGGAGTGGCTTTGACGCTAGTAAAGCAGGCTGCTAAAATAGAATGTATCAATTATTAACAGGGAGGAAAACTTACTTGGAATTTCCAACAGCCCGAATATGAAAGACAGAATAAAAATTTGTAAATTTCAGTTAGAGCTTTTCGATTTTTTTTTAACTCAGTTATTTTTACGCTCGTCAATTATGACCTCGTTCATGTGTACAGCCTTGAATGAAATAACGGGGGAATTTGCAAACAATTTCAACAGATTAATCACGACGTTGAGAAGAATATAATTAGCTTGAGTGTGGAAAAGGAGGGTAGTTTAAAAAAGTTTTCAGAGGTGTAATACAATTAGATCAGTGATGGTTTTTTCTTNGGGGGGGGGGGGGGGAGATTCTAACATTGCATGATTTTCAGAATTTTAAGAAAACGAAATAGGAAAAAACACTTCTTTTAGTAGAATGGTATCAACCGCAAAAAACAAGGGCAAAACTAAATCTTCACTTACTTCAGGGAAAAGAAAACACAAATGAAGGATGAAGATTAGAATGAGGAGCAGTTTTTTGTATTAATTAAAAAGAACAATTGAGTTTCCAATGATAACTTAAAATTAATCAACATAAGAGGCAGCGCAAGAGGTACCTATGGTTGTAGTGACACTTAAATTAGAAATTGAAGTGGCTTGGATAAAAGGCAAAATCGTTTTTATTCCTTTTTATACTTAAAATCAACAAGTACGGACATTTTTTTCTGGCTTAAGTTGAAACCGTAACAAAAGATGTGTATCTAACCATGACTATTAATTACTTTAGATTTTGAAATGCACAGGGGAGGGCTCTCATTTTGAAGCGACTCCATAATACTCAAAAAATTTCACGAGACAGAGTAGAAATGATATAAAAAATTAGAAAACATATTGAAAATGTATATTTACAGCATTTTAAAAGTGTGCTTCTCCCTTCTGTCCTGAAACACGTTTCAAGTCTCCCATGTTCATTGTGGCAACAGGAGATCCAATTAGACTAATGTGATCGATTCGTGTAACCTCACCACCTTCGTGATTATTAAGAACAAAGATGTACAAATTATGGACCGATTGGAATTTGACAAATCGAAGATTGACTGGACGCCCGTCAAGATCTTCTGGAGACAGCCTGGAAGTAAAACAAGATTAAATTAGCATAATTTCTACCTCACTTGAACAACATTTGGCAATTAAGAGCTACTGTTTCTGGCTCATTTTGTAAACAACGCATGTTCCATAAATTTCCCAATGCAGATAATGGCTTCTAAAGATGAGCCGGGAATGGTAGTTCCTAAATGCGGTCCATTTGTGGTATGAAAAGGAAAATAGGGGTAGCACAGCAACATATTGACTACATGTCTAGCAAATCATTCCTATGAAATTTTACTACAACAAAAATTAATAATACATGAGAAAAGAAAAATGTATACCATTGAACCGGTTAGCCAAACACAGTTATGGCAAGAGGCATAGAAAATATTGAGGCATTGAAAGAAATTGAGGAATAAAAATTACTTAAGGACATCCTGCTTGATTCAATTTTTTTTTCCAACATAAATCGTGCATTATATTATAACTTACTCATACAAAATTAAAATTAAAAGAAGTCACCTTATGCGGTTTTCCAGAGAGCAAGGGGCCTTCTTTGTGTTTTAATTACACCCTCCCCTCATTTAGAAGCGTATTATTCTAGATAATTAAGTAAAACTGTAAGCAAAGCCTGAATAAAATGGCAAAATCACAGCCAAATCAATTTGCAATAGTCAATCCAGCAGTGTTTCTTTCTTAGTTGCTTCCAATGATGTCATGTTCTTTCTTCTTACTTCGTTGGCTTAAGTAGGTAAAGGTAACTAAATTATTTGAGTTTCTAGATTTTTTTAGAAAAAAAATTCTTAAAATTTAGAGAACGATTTGTCAATCTTTTGTTTCTGCCATCACTTGGAGTGTGGGACAATTAAAGGCAATAAAAAGTAAAGAGATTACGCTGAGGAAAGGGACAGCCCATATTACTCATTCCTCACTGATACTTTTGAGAATGACTGATGTACGTGAACAATGCTATTAGCAGCTAATTCAGTGACTGACAGGAGTTAATATAAAATGAAAAAATCTCAAAACTGTCAAAAGACAAAATAATAAAACTAAGATGGAATAAAAACTTTTTGTGGCCTTTTTTCGCCATAAATACAAAGAACAGCTGCTGTGTTTAATGTATTTCAAGTTTGAATATTTTTTTATTATTCTTGCTCAAGTCATGAGAACTTGACTTTCTGAAAACGCTTTGGTTAGACTGCTGCAGCTTGGAACTATTGATTAAGCTCAACTAATGAGTTCTAAGGATCAATCAAACAAAAAAGGTCTCTATATCAACTGCCACTATAAAAGTCAATCATTTCCCTTAAAACAAGAAGAAAGAGTCTTCAATTTCTGATTGATGTATAGCAAAGTAAGAAGAATTGCGTTTTGTCATTCACCATGGAAGGATTGTAAAATGAAGAAAGATACATACTCTAATTCTTGGACTGCTACATTTTTGGCAGCTGAATCAAAATCTAATGCATTTGGCTGGTTAATGAAGAGTTTCAAAACTTTTGGTCCTTTGCCTTGGGGAGCTTTAACTTTAATGGAATGCAACTTCACAGCTTGCATGAATTGGAAGGATAAAATAAGCTGAAACAAAGGCACACATATCAATGAAATAAAAAAGAAAACACATCACTAATAAACTATAACTAAATAAGAATCACAATAGAGCAGACTTAACTAGATTCAGCCTGATTGTAACGGACATCCAATTTCAACTAATGATTTATTTTTTATAAAAAAACTGAGCAACATTCTAACTTTAATTTTGTCAGTATTTCTTTCATAATATGAGGAGGATTTAGAAAAAGTCTTAAAGCAGTATATTCTGTAATTCTTGGTAAAAAAAAATGACCATGAGAGCACATCAGGCAACAAGAAATACATTTAGGGGCCGTTTATGGAATACGTAACGTTCTGAGGGAGAGATAGGTTGAGGAGAGCGTTACGCTACTTTGTTTTAACATGTTAAAGGATAGGGACTTACTTCATAAAGACCCACAAAGGGGGCGGGAGGTCGAAAAATCCAAAATTCAGCACTACTTATGTATTTCATGAACGGCTCTTTAAACTGATTTGAGTTGAATCCATCCAATTGGCAAACAAACGAGGTATGTGAAATAAAGTTTGAAATCCAATGTTTCATGAATGAAGGAAGGAAGGAAGGAAATGTTCATAAAGAGGTTTGTGTTAGGAATGAATCCTGAGGTTACTAAATACTGAATCTAGAAGAAACTAGCAATGTAAACATCTTTTCATCTGATGAAAAAGCACTATTTATTGGAGAGACAAAAATTCACCTGTTCATCACAGTCAGATTCCAAATAACGCTCATCATTTGTCAAGGCGTGAGCGAGTGGGTGATCATCAGACTCGTTTAGAGCTTCGCACTGTCCTTTTTGAATGAATGTACTCAAGTCCATCTGAAAGAAAAAAATCAAGATTTTTTAATTAAATTTAAATTGGTTTTCTTTATATACATAATTGCACTACTGGGGTAGAAGTCAACGATTATGGAGTTGTTGTGCACTGACAAGTGATGAGTAGTCTACTGGGGCTCTTCAAAAAATTTGAATACCTAATATTTAATTAAGTGCTTTACCTTTACCATTAAATAGAAATTAAGTTCCCTGGGTAAGCTCAAATAACTTTTTATAAGGGCGTCCCTCATCTTTAATGGATTAGTTGCGCTACTGCTAAGTATCTACAATGAGACCACATCTAGTAAGAGTTTTTGTCAAATAAGTTTACCCACTTTTAGAATGCAACAGAAAATCAGCTATTTTCAGTGTAACATTGAAAATAAATGCAAGGATCAAGATGGCGGATCTTTTACCACACTTTAAAGGAGAGTAGACTTATTTGGCGTAGATTCTAATCAGGTGCAAACGTTGCTGCTTGGACGATAGTTAAATTTTCATGCATTGAGGAGCTCATGAACACAAAAAATATTCAGCTTCTCTTCAGGACAATTAAATGAACACAGAAACAAATTAAGAATTACATCAAATACATTTCTCCCTCCAAAACGCAATATGAGTCAGTGAAACATCAATAAATATGAAAATCAACCTCACGACAAGATATTTGCTTTTACCAAAAGGAAAAGGTCACACTGAAAAAGGTTACAAACAGACCAAGATTATTCTTCTCACTAAACGAACGTTAATTGCAATCGTCAATATTAAATTTGAGAGTTCACCTTTGAGCTTTTCATCATTTATGTTGGTTTTCATGCTCTGCATTTATGATGACAAATAGTACCTGCCTAATTTGAGGAGAACATTCAGACTGACTTTAACAGGAACGTACCTAGTTGCATTTAAAAGAATAATACGTTGGGAGTGGTTTTAATTTTACTTGTTGTGAATTTCCTCCTGTCAAAAATTCCAAGTCGAAAAAAAATATTTTCAACGTGACAATATTTAGTCATTAAACTTTGTCCTAAACATTGAGTTTTGTAGGGGAATAAAACTTTAAATGCAACTTGGCAGGTTTCCACTAAACTCTGTCTGTTCAAAAAAAAAATTCAAGAAGAAATGAAGTAGTGATTAGATAACATGCTAATTTTGAAGATCAAAACATATTCTTTCACAGCAGCACATATACAAAAGCACCGAGACACCACACCAACTGCTCAAAAAAAAGGAAAAGAGAAAATCCTTCAGTAAACACGATACCTCTCTACACATATTAAATCAAATTGAAGTTGCAGTAAAAATTAAACATATTTCTCTTCTTCGCTCATTAAGCAAGAATAAAAGTTGTAAATTGCTACTCTCAAAAATTAGCTTCAGTACTTGTACGCCATCAATTTTCTATTCCAAGAAGAATAAGATTATACAAGCAACAATAAATTTGAGTATGGTTTGTCTTGACAAAAAATTCCAAGTGAGAAAGTACCGTAAATTTTCAGATATTGTAGGAATTTTTATTAGTATTTCCCATTCTTTTTCTTATTTTCTTCTTTTTTATTTTTTCGAATTTTTGAGACTTGAAATTATATTTTACTGATAAATATGAGATCAGTTGAGCAACAACTAACAAATAGATGAGATATAAGATATTATGAGAGATTATGATACTGCCATTGGAGCAATAACCTGTTTTTTCGTTCTTTTAATATTCCAGTACATGACAGAAATAAATAGAAGTCAAATTGACTGACTGGCCTGACAGCAATGATCTGCTGTGGGCAACTGAAGAAGAGGGTGTTAAAAAGCACTTGGCTCTCATAATAACAAATCCTATGAGTTAAAATCTTTAGTTTATAGATCATTATTGATGCTTGGTTCAAGCGATATCACTGTCCAATGTGTAGCAAAACCGACAATAGGTCACAGGAGGATAGAGAATCCTGGCAGGATCTAATCCACTCATTTTCGTAAAATCCCTGCTCTATTTTTAAGTCAAATGAGCTTATCTTAATACTCTTTTAGAGCTTATGAATTGCTGCACAGTCCCTAGTACTGAACTGCATAATGTATTTCTGTAATGTCTGTGTTTTAATTTTTGAAAACCAGGACGATAAACGGTGATACTAAAGTAGCGTGCTTATACAATATTAAATAATAAGAAAAGTGTATAGAAAAAGACTGTATTTACAGAAACTTGGGCAAGGCTACAGGGAAAACGTGCATTACAAAAAAGAAACAAAATTAGGTATTTACAAAAGAACATCCAAGACGAACAACTACGTGGTTACTTGTGATGCAACAATAAGTGGAGGGAGCTTGATAAATTCAGGCCTTCATGTAAAACCCATCAATCTGTTGGACAAGGTAATTGATATACATATTTTTAATGGCTTCTTCATAGAAAATTCAGGGTATTTAGAGCTACCGTTGTAAAACATGGCAGCTTATCTCACATTCACCACCTGATTGAACAAACGGCTGGTCAGTAATAAGGGTAGTGGAGAATTCAAGAACTATCTCAATGCTTAAAAATTGACTGATGATAAATTATTTGCCAACAAGTATTTCTGATGTTAACAAAGCAAAGCAATAGATGAAAAAAGCCGAAGAGTTTTCAACATTTAAAAGGTTTAAAAGGTCAAGCAAAAGACTGATCATGAGGAACACAAATTGTAAAAAGACAACACAAGGAACAGGACAGAACAGAATGAAGAAAAAAGAGTTTGTGAAGGAGATGAGATGACATTATGAATAGTTATCAATAATTTTTTGTATCCAATACAATTTATTCTTCGATGACGTTGAGTCAGTTTTTTATGAATCTGATGGGGAAAAGGAGAAAAGGAAAAGTTTGGAAAAATGACCATCAGCTTTTTGCCATTCAAGAATCTACTTGAGAAAAGGATGATTTGTGAAAAGTGACCATTTGAGCTCAAAGCGAACAAATCGTACTTGAGTATACGGTTGTGTATCCATACAGCAAAGTTTAGGAAGTTGCAATAATGGTACCTCTTGTTTGAAGATAAGACTAAATGTTTCTTTGAAAATAATGATTTTTGAGTTTAGTTTCAACGATTTTTTTTCACAACAAAGTAGCTATAGCTGATGCATCTTTTTTTTTTTTTTTTTTTTTTTTTTTTTTTTCTTTCATAAATAGGCAATTTTTTATGAGAAATCAAAGACAGGATGGGGGAGGGCCTAGTTCAGTGAAATTCTGAATAAGACAGCTTTCACATTAGTAAAAAGGTGATCAAAAAGTATAACATGACAGGAGAGAAAAAAAAGCTTAAGCGAGGAACAATAGAATGGACCCATACTTACATGCCCAGGGATGCCTGAACCCTCTTCATCATCACCATCATCACCATAGTATTGTTGAATTTTTGACTCAAGAGCATTTGGATCAGCTCCTTGAAGTCTGTCGATTTTTGCCTGAATTAAAATAAAAAGATAACTTGTGAGTGAAAAGATTAAATTGAATATTAAGCAAGCAGATGGGTAGCAATCAAATAAGCCTTGGGAATAAGAAACCTTGAGTACATAGCAAATTGTTCCAGACTGAATGCCGCCTAGTTTTGAAAATTTTAGGTGGGTAACTGAAATTTAATATCTCCAAGGACAAAAAGAAGAGGGTAAGTAATGAAGAGCTCAGTAGCAGGGCCGGATTCACCTACTTGCCGCCCATGGGCCGCCTGTATTTTGCCGCCCCCTTCTCATTCGTCTTGAAACATCAATAAAAACCATCAAATGAAACTGCCAGCAGGGTAAAGGTGCATAAGACATAACATACGACAACAGATAAAATTTGTTCCAATTCCAGTGTTGATACTCCTAACTGACCACAAATATCTACGCACAAACTTTGGCTATAAGTTTAATTATTTTGGCGCCAATAGGAAATATTTAGGCACATTTTGCGTATGGTAACTGTCAGATTCAAACACTGCAGCAGACTTTGATACCACTCTGTTTTCAATTTGACTATGGATTTAGACAGTATTGAAATATGCAGAGAAAGGCACTATTGTGTATGGATGGCTGAAATAAGGCAGAGTAGAAAAGACGGTGAGGACCAAAGTCACACCATGAAAAGAGGGTGGAACCAGTGATTGGCTTGGGGTATTGCTTAGGGGTTGAAACTCAAGCGTACTGCCTTATTCACAGGACCTAGGTCACCGAGGCAAACTACCCCTTCAACGACAGACTGAGCCACTCATGAGACTCCACTAGAACTCCTAGTAGCTTGGACGACAGTGTCTCCTTTACTTTGACTTGTTTCATGCCAATGCTGCAGCTTGACTAGACCCTGTCTTTTATTTCAAAACTGCTGTGATACTTAAAAAAAGTGCTGACCTTGTTCCTGTAGAAGATAAATGTAGGCATTGCAGAAACACCTTGAGAGGCTGCTGTGTTTTGACATTTGTCGACATCAACTTTGACAAAGACAGCTCTTGCATATTTTGCGGCTAGTTTTTCAAAAATTGGGGCAATTCTTTGACAAGGACCACACCTGTGATAGAAAGTGTAAACACAATTAACCATTACATACTTAAAGACATTGATAATTTAATGAAAACAAATAAAATTATAATCTGGCGGCGTGAAAAGGCATACTACTAGCCAGTAATTCTCCAGGATATTGAGACTTTGGGGGATGTTATCAGTCTGCGTCATTCCAGTTACTCATTTATGAAACCCGAAAATTAAGTAAATTCAATCTATGTCAAAGTACGTGGATATACAAGGACCTTCGGAGCAAAACAAGCAAATGAGAGAGACTTGGTTCAAATTTTATTGATCAAAACAAGGATGTCATAACTCTCCTCCTGATTTTACATCCCTCCCCTGATGAATTGCCGTATGTGATAATAAACCTGATAATATCCTTAATTTTTCCCTTTGTCCGTTTTTTTGAAAGTATTCCACAGACAACGAGGAAAGTTTCATTGAGTATGTTTGAAGTTCAAACAGAGAGATTTATGAGAGAAACTTCATCTTTCACTTTCATTGTATTAGCTGCTGCAGGACTTTCCCTACATGAAGCTATACCTGAGGCTCAAAAATAGCGAGAGCATTTGTGGGAGCACACATCGAACTTCAGCTCGTCCCTGAACGCAATGTTAATTTCCTGATCGAGCCCAAAGTTGAGTGCTCGTATTGACATACATACTTGGGTTCTATGTAAAGTGATATGCACCATCAGTACGGAAGGCAAAAAAAGCCTGGTTCCCTGGTGGATATTAGGATAAAATTCACTAATTGGTGTAGATAACATGATATCAATAAAGAGGAGTTAGGTTAACTTACCAACTGGCAGTGAAATCTACAACAACTAGTTTTGTTCCAGAGCATTGAAGCTCTGTCAAGAACTCAGAGTCCTCGTTCAGCGCTCTGACAGTCATTATCACTCAAAATATTCACAAGAGGGCTAATAAAAAGCTAAGTTCAGGAAGAAAACTTTTGTGATATCAAAAAATTAGATTTGAGGAAATTCGACTGACTCATGATGACGTCAATCGATAGATCGAAATTTACGACAATGTTGCCTTATGAGTTAACATATAGCGTCAGCTAGTTATTATTCTATGTTAACATTATTATACATAAATATTTTATAAATGTGCAAAAATATTTTTTAAATATTATATTTGATAACATTGTTGAAGTAAGTAAGGTTATGCATGTGACGTTGCTTGCTTGCTGGAACTGGACGGCCCGAAGCGTGTTTGCACTGTTTCCTCATCAGTTTTAGACGATTTTCTCATTGTATTTGTGTTCTTATCATCGCGAAAAATGAAATTTGTCTCAAATTAAAGTAAGTCACCTCAACACCATGGGGAAAAAACTGCTGCCACTTCTGGCAGATCCTCAAGACCCTCCTCTTGGTGAGTGCAGTTAATGGACCTGTAACTTTTAATCATTATTTTTATAAGCGACAAGTTTCTATAACTCTTATTGGAGTAGAAAAAAAGGAAGTGGTTTTCCACCGCTACTTTTTCCATCTTTCTATCGGACAAAATACAATATGTGACACAAAAAATCAGAAGGTATCATTTGCGCCCTCTTTTTGAATGTAGACAATAACATTTGAGGAACAGCTGTCAGCAAGATATTACTCTGCAAGGCTTTTTTTTTTAATCTGCTAAACACGATGGATAGAGTTGTCTGCAGTTCAGCTTGACGTAAGTAAGGGTTGCATGTGACTGTTTGGTGACCACCCTAAAGGACAGATCCAAGCATCTCACTGGATCAGGCTGGATCACGGCTAGAGGTGTTGTCAGCTAAGTTGAGGGTTGTTTACTTTTTGTTTGCAACTGTCCTCGCGGCACTACTATCCACATGAACATCCGACTCTCACAGAAGCAAGAATACAGCTGAGATGAGTTTTTAATACTTTCAAACCTTGTATCAATTTTTAGCCACACGGAAATCACAGCCACATGAAAGTCGCTAATCATAACTGAAGACGAGGTTTTTTACAACTTGATCATGAGGCAGCAGTTTTCAAGGTGGATAGTAGGGAGTGCCGCTTTGTTCAGAGGCTGAAATTTGGACCGCGTTAAACAGAAAGGAACCAAGCCACATCAGCTGTTCCCAAATTTAACAGGGGAATTCAGTTTATTACGAGAGAACGTTTGTGCGTATTCCTTTGAAAATTTTAAGAAACTTACTTTGTATTATGGACGAAATCCATAGAAATTTGCACAAAAATCCGTACAACTTTTTTCATGTAAAAAATTAAATTGCCCGATTAAATTTGGCAATAGCTGATGTGGCTTGGCTCCTTTCTGTTTAAGGTTTGTCTGTTTGTCGTTGGCGCTTGCAAACTGAAAGTAAACAACTGTCTACCTAGCTGATGACACCTCTGTGGACCTGGATAGAAAAGTAACTCGGTCACTAAGAGTACGTGTTCCTCTGCCGTCTTTTCTAAAAAAAAGGCCTTCTACCTTGGATTGTTTTAGGGAAGAAACTCCTTGTTTAATATAGTTCTATGTGATTATAAGTGTGAATTACTTAAAAAAAAATTTCAAACCCTATCCAAGCATTATCATTCATGGACCTAAATCAAACACTAACTCATAATTGAGGGGAAGAAGCATTGAAGCTCTTCATACTCAGCAGAAATGTTTGATTGTATAATCTCATTTATTTCATTAGACCACTGAACATGATATTTCTCATTAGGGTGTATAATGGCCTCTACAACATTCTTAATCCTAAATGTATTTTTGTTTTTAATTCAGGTGCTCTTGTAGTTGTAGAAATAATTTATAAATCAATGCCAGTGTTTGTTGATTGGAATGCGAAAGAAACTTCTCTCACTGTTATACCGAATGTGAAATTTACAACCGATGTTTCCATCTGCCGCTATCTGGCTAAATTCAACCAAGACTTCAAACTTTTCGGAGAGTCAGATATTGTCGGTCTTGAGGTGAGTGGGAGAACCTTAAAACTCTAATCACATGCTTTTAGTTGACGGCTAACATCAAAAGCCACAACCTTTAAAGGATGACTGATGTATTCTATTTTAATGTCAGTGCTTTATCCTATACTCTGGTGTAGTCCATTCAGTTGAACTACCAACAAACTGAAATCTGAACACAAATTGATTAAATTTAATAATTCAGATACTCATAATTGTCTATCATTCTCACAATTCTGATCTAAAGTTTTGAAAAACAATGTGATATTTTCTGTCTTAGGGTATTTGCTGTCAACTTTTAACAAAAAACAAGTTATACCACAGTTTCAGCAGTTGTACTTAAGTATGATAAGGGTCTATTTCTTCTTAGAATTGCTCATTTAGGTGATTTGTCGTAGGTTCTTGGCATAATCAAACTCATGCTAAATATAGCATCGATTGAGTATAAAAATCTCAGCAGATTTTAACCTTTTAGCCAAAAAAGGATGACAGCCTCTGCGCATAATCCCTAAAAATCTTTCTCAATCAAACAATTTGCAAAACTCAGGGAAATTTTAACATGATTTTTTTTGAAAAAAATGTTGGATTTGATACTACCAATATGATAGACCTGTGTATTGAGTGTGAATTTTTCTCGGAAGAATCCTACCACCATTTCTCTGAATTTTGCCATGAAATTTGGTTGAGAATGATTCATTACACCCATGAGTCAGGTTTTTTGTCCTTTTGTCAACTGAAGAGTCAAAATCTGCTGAGATTTTTTATTTAATTAATAGACGCGATTATTGCACTCCAATTCGACCCTGCCAAGAACCTAGGATAAATAATCTTAAATATAACTAGAGGATTGCCTTCTCATGGAGCAGAACTCTTGATTATCATGTTGTCAAACTGTGTATCATCACGGATTCAAATAATTAACATTATTTTTATTGTTTAATTCAGGTTGATCAGTGGCTGACATTCAGCATCGGCCCTCTAAAATGCAATGTTGAATTTCCCAGTGCCATCTCTTACTTAAATCAAGTGCTGGCCATCAGAACTTACCTTGTTGATAATAAGCTGACTGTTGCTGATATATGTGTCTGGGCTGCCCTGTATCGTAAGTAACGCATCCGTACAGTAATCTATTTGCCTGTATTTCTGTTTATAGTAAGGGGAAAGACCCATTGCATAATGAAATTTAGTACTTACTTATGGAAAAGTCTGACACATTAACTTTCAAGTATCAAAGGAGGTTAAAATAAAAAAAGCATAGAAGTTGGCCCCTAGAGGTGCGTTACATTGAATGGGAATAAGAAACCCAGTTAATTAAAAAATTTGATTGAATCTCTGTCAGTGTAATATGTCCACCTTTTTGTGAAAACCCAACATACTCAAAAAATTTTGGAGGAGGGACCAGAACAATTTGCACGCTTTCCTGAGTCGTATTAAGAATGCTTACTAACATTGATTCATAGTCATGGCATTAGCCTAAGAATATTGGTTCAATCCCATCTTTTTAGCTCTCTTTTATTTGAACTGATATCATTAATAACTTGAAGCCTAAGAGATAAGCCGGATATGCTGAATTATAATCAAAGATGCATAATTACACATAAACCTCACAAAATATGTATTGAAAAACGAAGGAAATGAAGAAAAATTAAACAAAGCAATCAAGAACAAACATTGAAACAAGTAGGTAAAATAACACTTTAACATCCCTCTTCAAGTGATTATCAAGGTAGGTATTACTTATGATGATTTGCAAGGAAAAATGAGTGTAAAAAATAATGTCTCTCATGAATTTCGCATCCTTATCAAGTGTTTGATTTGTGTCTATATCTTAGCAAACTCACAATGGAACAAACTTATAGAAGACGGAAAAGCTCCCACCCATGTTCTCCGGTGGTATAATTTCATTAACTCTTTAGAGTGTGTGACAGCCGCAATAGCAAGACTTCCATCATCTGATATGAGTAGCAACAAAAAGTCGAAGCCTGAGTCAGCTCCGAAGAGTCAGTCAAGTGTCTCTGAACGGAAACAGGAAGGCAAGTTTTTAAAATTACCAAATGCAGAAAAAGGGCACGTTGTCGTCAGATTCCCTCCTGAGGCCAGTGGGTAAGTTTTTTTTTTTTTTATTATTATTATTATCAATTTAAAGAAGGAGCATACCTACAATCCTCATACCTTCTAGAAGACATGATACATCATGATTGGAAATTCAATCTTTTACGTCACCAATGGAATTACTCCCCCATATTATGTTATACATGAACAGGAAAATCTTATATTAAGCAAATCTAATGATTTTATGAAATCAAGCGAAACAGTAATTATATTTATTTGCGACCGCATGGGTGTAAAATCAGTTTAGAAACTGAAGAATTTGAACTCTTCCCTAGCTGAAGAGCGCTGTCCAAATACATAATGCTCCTGGGATGGAGAGGGGAATAAAGAGAACATTATGCCATGTATTTATTTTTTTCAATGTTAAATTATACCAGTCTACAAAACAAAAGCATTTTGAGGGGAATCTAAAAATTTGGAATTTAGGGTTATGTATTTTATTATGTATTTTATGAACGCCCCCTAATCATTCTTGCATGTCTAATAATTATGTGTTTTTTCTGCAGATACCTTCACATTGGTCATGCCAAAGCAGCTTTATTGAACCAATATTATCAACAGGAGTTTGAAGGCAAATTAATAATGAGATTTGACGACACAAATCCAGCCAAAGAGAAAGTTGATTTTGAAAAGGTCAGCAATATCTTATGTGTTTCAGTATAATAATACAAGACAAGGCCAAGCACTTGTGTTTGGTGCAAGTAGCTTATTTTTGAAGTTTGAATACTTCAACAAGTCAAAGACTTTTAACCAGCTCTCTGAATAATTAACATTTGTTAATAAGTCTGTTTTTACTTTATCAAAGGCACATCCCTTGATGATTCAAGTTATATTTAGTCAATGGAGACTAAATATTTTTTTAACTGATGATTGAAAACCCTCAATTAGTGTTAGGGTATTTTCACTTTATTTTCTCTAAGACAGGTTTCTCATTCATAAGTAAGGCTAAAGTTCAGTTATGCTACTTACAACCCCTACATTACAGCGAATACTACAGGTGTAGATTTGTTTGAAATTAACATAGCTGTAATTGCCACCTTGCCACCACCTCTTGTATTTTCTCTACAAAGCGTGGTAGCAATAGCAATACTATTCAGACATGCCTAACTCTAATAATAAGCTCACAACTCACTGGTAGTATTACAAAAAACATTTTATTGAGGTGCCTCTTTTAAACGTATAGCTTTGGAAAATAACTGAATCATCCATTAATGTGTCAATGTACTTCTCTGATAAGTCAAAATAATCAAAAGCTGATCTACTTTTTCAGGTCATCCTAGAAGATGTTCAAATGCTTAAAATAAAGCCTGATATTTTTACAAGAACCAGTGATCATTTTGAAAAGTTGCTGGAACTTTGCGAAAAAATGTTGCAAGAAGGGAAAGCTTATGTCGATGACACAGACCCTGAAGTGATGAAAAATGAAAGAGAGAAACGTGTAGAATCTGCCAATCGCAATAATGGTAAGAATAGCACAGGGCATTTTATCAAACATGTTTCAATCAAAAAGTGTATGCTCTTTAAACACAGAAAAAAAATGAAAAATGCCGTTTTAAATACATTATCTATCATGCAGTTCATAGCTGCTGTACAACAACTCAACAGAAATTTAGTTGTGGAATAAAGACTCAATTTATCCTCTTTTTTTCTCTCTCGTAAGTGAATGGATGGAACCAAAATTAGTCTAACTGCATTCGACACTGCCAAATTTTATCTCATGTTTTATTTTCTTTTATGAACTAAACTACCCAGAACCTTTTTAATTTTTGCGAATTTACCCTAGATTATGAAGAATGCCAGAATAATTAGTACTTACAAAATTTCAAGTCTCAGTATTGCTTACTTTTCTGATAACAAAAGTGAAGAATCAGAGAAAATTAGACGATTTCTGATTTAGTCAGGCTGATTCCTGTTAAATCTGTTCAATTGAAGTGATGTCTCTTATCATTTCACAACATCTTCCAAAAACTTTGATTTTTTCTTTTTTGTACGTTTAGATGTGGAGAAAAATATGAAAATGTGGAAAGAAATGAAAGAAGGCTCTGAATTCGGCCAAAAATGCTGTGTACGCGCCAAAATTGACATGCAGTCTGCCAATGGTTGCATGCGAGACCCAACAATGTATAGATGCAAGAATGAACCTCATCCATGTCACGGCAACAAGTACAAGTAAGTGTCCCTCTTCTCTATAAAATGCATGCTTAGAACTATTAAAAGTTACCTGTTTTTTACTGTGGATTTGCAAGTAGTAGCTCTGTGCAATGAGGAACTACCAAAAAATTGAGTGAAGAAAAATTAAAAACACTTTAACGGTGAAATATGGCTAAGTTGAGTTGTTTTGGGGTTGGAGAAAAACGTTGATTGAAGCAGCTTTTCAGCTTTAAAATCTAGTTGTAAGTAATCAGCATTCTCTCGAGAGCTTTCAGAAATGAGTACACTGAAAATGAATGACATTATTTTTCTATTTTTATTTTTTCAGAGTTTACCCAACATACGATTTTGCTTGTCCAGTAGTCGATAGCATTGAAGGTGTGACTCATGCCTTGAGAACTACTGAATATCAAGATCGTGACGAGCAGTTTTATTGGTTTATCGAAGCACTTGGACTACGAAAACCTCACATCGAAGCTTACAGTCGACTGAACATGACCCATACTGTCCTATCAAAAAGGAAACTCACCTGGTTTGTTGATAATAAAATTGTGGATGGATGGTAAGTTTCAGAGCTATTCTACTAATAAATAGTTTTCATATGATCAGGTGTGCAAATTGTTTTTGACAAAGTGATGGAGATGAAATCATAGAAGTGTCCAGAGGCTGAGTATTCTTTGTTTTTTCGAAGGTTTTCCGATGTTCAACTCTTGTGGAATAATACAACTTTGACACCCATCCACAAATGATCTAAGAATTTTAAAAAATTTTGATCAGTGTGTTGTGTTGAATTTGGTTCGCGAAAACCCAGCAAGTTGCACAAAACTGCGGGAGGCCCTCTGGAAAATTGCAGAGGCCTAGAACAATCTGCACCCCCGCATGTAAATAACTTCATTAAATGTATGAACAATTTTTAAAATAAGTACAACTGTGTCGATTTAACCTCTCAAATTTTGTCTTTTTAACAGGGATGATCCTCGAATGCCAACTGTTCGTGGTGTTCTCAGACATGGAATGACTGTTGAAGGCTTGCGACAATTCATCTTAGCGCAGGGCTCATCTCGTTCCGTTGTTTTCATGGAATGGGATAAAATTTGGGCTTTTAATAAAAAGGTTAGTAACTTTAATAGCTCAACCAATTCTTTTACGTTTAGGACCTCAAATAAGTGTTGGTGTTACTAGGTCTTCATTATGACACCCAAACAATTAACAAATACCCCCAACTTGAATAAATGAGGACTTATAGGTAAGAATAGCGGTCGCTGACATCTGCCATCTTTAGGGGAAACGCTTTTTTCGAATTCTGGAGCCCTCAAGAATGCCTGTGCTAAGTTTCAGACTTCCAGTGCAATTTTTTGGCGAGATATAAACTGAAAACCATGTTATTTGTAAAAACAGCGGATATGAGAATCCACTGTTCTCCTCGGCTGGCACGGGAGGACACAGCGAAAATTTGAACATGCTTGCAATAACTGCCCGCGCACCGGCCATGGGCTGCAATTGACACTCTAATGATGCGTATCTGGACCGTCTCACCAGAATTGTTGATTTTTTAACTGATTTTATAATTTGTTCCTTACTTTTGGTGTAGAAGTTACAAACGGTTTAGTTTTTTGTTCAATGTTATTAAACAACTCAGCATTGACTTACTTCTGGTTCATTTCAATCGTTTCACCAGCCTTACCCTTCCTGAAGACTTTGTTTCATGCATAAAAAAATGTTCTCAGTAAAAATGGCGGATGCCACATTTTTTTCAAATCAATGTTACTCCTTCAATTTTTCACTCACATATATCGTAAAATGAGTGTTTTTTACAGGAATAGTTGCTCTTTATGAAAATCTTTATAAGAATCCTCTCAGTTTTATGGGCGACTAAGTTAAGTGCAAAGCTTCGAAAAATTCAAACGCGATTTTCTCACAATGTGAAAACTCGACATCCAATATTGTTACATATAAGTCCTCAAATACTGTGCAAATCGTATTTCTGATATTTAGATCTGCTATTTAAACAAGTTTATGTTTTCAGGTTATTGATCCTGTGGCCCCTCGTTACTCAGCTGTTGAAATGTCATTCACCCCAGTATTTGTCAAAGGAGTCAACAAAAGCACAGCCACTGTTGCCAAGCATCCTAAAAATCCAGATATTGGAAGTAGGAACATAGTGCTCGATTCTAAAATCATAATTGATTCTGAAGATGCCAATGCGCTTAAAGAAGCAGAAAACACAACTTTCATTGGTTGGGGGAATCTGAAAATTACCAAGATCAACAAGGAGAATGGTAATGTAACCAGTGTTGAAGCTGAACCGAACTTGGAAAATAAGGACTTCAAAAACACTTTAAAATTATCGTGGTTGGCTGAGAATGAAGAAAACACACCCTGTTTGTTTGTTTATTGCGATCATTTGATGAGCAAAGCCGTCCTAGGTAAAGACGAGGATTTCAAAGATTTCATCAATACAAATTCTAAGGTCGTCAAAGCTATGATTGGAGACCCAGACCTCAAAACGTTGAAAAAATCCGACATTATTCAAATTCAGAGGAAAGGATTTTTCATTTGTGATGAGCCTTACAAATCAAAATCAGCCAATAATGGAGTGGAGTCTCCTGTGGTCCTCATGTACATACCTGATGGACATTCCAAACCGATGGCAACCAGTGGTATTCAAAAGCCTGACCCAGCAACCAACAAAGCGAAAGAAACGCAATCTAAGTCTGCTAAAAATTCAAGCGGTAAAAAAGACTCAACCTCTGCACCTGAAAAAATTTTGGAGCTGATTCAAGAACAAGGTGATAAAATCCGAAAACTGAAAGGAGACAAAGCAGATAAGACAGTCATAACGGCAGAGGTTCAGGTGCTTTTAGGGTTGAAAGAAGATTTCAAGAAAGCTACCGGCTTGGAATGGAAGCCTGGCATAACCTTGGAGCCTGCAAGTTGTCCTGCAAAGACGTCCACCACCAGTGATGCCGGTGCTCCAGAAGAAATTTTAGAGAAAATCCAAGTTCAAGGCGATAAGATTCGCATACTGAAAGGTGACAAAGCAGACAAGGCAGTCATTACAGCCGAAGTTCAAACTCTCCTAGGCTTGAAAGAAGAGTTCAAGAAGGCAACAGGATTAGAATGGAAACCTGGTATAACCTTGGGACCTGCAAGCTGTCCTGCAAAGCCATCCTCCACCAGTGATGCTAATACTCCCGAAGCAATTTTAGAGAAAATTCAAGTTCAAGGTGATAAGATTCGCCAATTGAAAGCTGACAAAGCAGATAAGTCAGTCATTACTGCTGAAGTTCAAACTCTTCTAGGCTTGAAAGAAGAGTTCAAGAAAGTGACTGGATCAGAATGGAAGCCGGGCATAACCCTTGAAACTAAAAGCTGTCAGGCAAAAACATCCAGTACCAGTGATGCCAATACTCCAGAAGCAATTTTAGAGAAAATTCAAGTTCAAGGCGATAAGATTCGCCAACTAAAAGCTGACAAAGCAGATAAGGCAGTCATTACAGACGAAGTTCAAACTCTTCTCGGCTTAAAAGAAGAGTTCAAGAAAATAACAGGATTAGAATGGAAACCTGGTATAACCCTGGGACCTGCAAGCTGTCCTGCAAAGCCATCCACCACCAGTGATGCTAATACTCCAGAAGCAATCTTAGAGAAAATCCAAGTCCAAGGTGATAAGATTCGCCAACTAAAGGCTGACAAAGCAGATAAGGCAGTCATTACAGCTGAAGTTCAAACTCTCCTAGGCTTGAAAGAAGAGTTCAAGAAGGCAACAGGATTAGAATGGAAACCAGGTATAACACTCAGTGCTTCAGGGAATCAAACTGGGACACAAGGCGCAGCACCTGTCAAACCAGCGCAGACTTCAGTGAAAGAGAAGAAAGAAAAACCAGCCAAAGGGAAACCCGTGAAGGAAAAGACTCCTCCAGCAGCAGTTAGTGATTCCAAAAATGCTGCTCTGAAGAAGCAGACAAGGCTTGGTCTGGAAGCAAGAAAAGAGGATAATTTGGCAGACTGGTACTCGCAAATTATAACTAAGGGTGAATTAATTGAGTACTACGATGTAAGTGGCTGTTACATTCTGAGACCCAATGCATTCGCAATCTGGGAGGTCATTCAATCGTGGCTGGATAAAGAGTTGAAAAAGTTAGGAGTGAAAAATTGTTACTTCCCAATTTTCGTTTCAAAGGCTGTTTTAGAAAAAGAAAAGGATCACATCAGTGATTTTGCACCAGAAGTAGCTTGGGTCACAAAATCTGGCAGCTCAGATATGGCAGAGCCGATTGCTATCCGACCAACTAGTGAAACTGTCATGTATCCAGCCTATGCCAAGTGGATTCAGTCCCATAGAGATCTTCCTATCAAGCTTAATCAATGGAATAATGTGGTCAGGTGGGAATTCAAGCATCCCCAACCATTTATCCGAACCAGAGAATTTCTTTGGCAGGAAGGACACTCGGCCTATGCTTCACGTGCAGATGCTGAGGAAGAGGTTCTTCAAATCCTTGGTCTTTATGAGAAAATCTACTCTGATTTGCTTGCCATACCTGTAGTTAGAGGTAAGAAAACGAACAAAGAGAAATTTGCTGGTGGTGACTACACTACGACTGTAGAGGCATTCGTCTCGGCAAGTGGAAGGGCTGTTCAAGGAGCAACTTCACATTTCCTCGGACAGAACTTTTCAAAAATGTTCGAGATCATCTATGAAGACCCTGAAACTCAAGAGAAGAAATTCGTATTCCAGAATTCCTGGGGTATCACAACTAGAACAATAGGTGTCATGATCATGGTTCACGGAGATAATCAAGGTCTCGTGATTCCTCCAAGAGTAGCATCTTTACAGGTAGTTATAGTGCCATGTGGAATCTCAGCATCGATGAAAGACGATGAGAAGAAAGAGCTTTACAAGTCTTGTTCGGATCTGGCCTCTCAATTACAAGAAAGCGGAGTCAAAGTAGAAAGCGACTTCCGAGAAAACTATTCTCCTGGATGGAAATTCAATTCTTGGGAGTTGAAGGTAATTCGACCAAAATATCCCTATGGTATCTTTTTTCAGCAGAATAATACACTTCATCACTTAATTCTATACAGCAAATTTTTGCAAATACTCTTTAATGAGTGCAGAGTCCTGAAATGAATAAACTTTCCCCTCAAAAAATCAGCGGATGGGCCAGGACTCCTGTCTTTCTAATAAGCCCAAATAGTAGTTCTATATAGCAGCCGTTGATCAAAGCTATAAGGAAAAGACGAAGGCTAAAATATTGTACTAGTTAGTAGTTACTTATCAAAGTGAGGGAAAAGTAACAAAATGTAAATGACTGTTAAGAAAAAACACTATAGGAGTGAAATAGAACATTACTGCTCCAAATTGAAAATAAGACCATTCTGCTCGTCAGTCTCTTTGAATTTGAATAGCTAACGTCAATATCAACACAAAATAAAATAAAACTCTATGAGAAATGTGAGCTGAATTTATTTTGATGTTTCCGTTTTTATTTCAGGGTGTGCCAGTGCGAGTTGAACTAGGTCCCAAAGACATGAAGAATAATCAATTCGTTGCTGTTAGAAGAGATACTAATGAAAAGATAGTATTTTCAAGAAGTAAAGCTGTAGAGGATGTTAAAACCTTATTAGACACGATACAGTCTTCCATGCTACAGAGGTAAGTGCTTCTGCCGTACTATGTACGTAGCTTTGAAGTCTTGTAATCAGAGTTGTATTTATTTCATACTTTTACTTCTAAAGTACCCTAAAACACATTACTCAGGGGACCCAGTAAATAAATGGATCGCATTTAGCAGAAAGGGAGCCAGCGTGATTAGTGTTGTAAAAATGAAATAATTGTGTAAATTTAAATATTGTACACAGATTAGGTATTTTTAAAAGAAAAGAAGTTGAAAGAAAGAAAAAAGGAAGAAAGAAGAAAGTTTGAAAAGAAGTGCATGGTTTTGAAAACCCTGCAATTGCGCTGGTTCCTTTTTGCTAAATACGATCCAAATAAAGACTATGAATGCGACGCCTTATCTTACAATGATGGATTAAGTTTTATTTAATTTTGTGTGGACGTCTTCTGTAGAATATTACATCGTACAATACTTTATTATCATTCTCTAACCAATGATTTTTTCCAACAGGGCTAAAGACGATCTGAATAGTCACATCAAACTGTGCAAGGACTGGGCTAATTTCTGTTCCTACCTTGACGGCAAAAATATTATCCTTTCCCCATTCTGTGGAGAGATTTCGTGTGAAGACAAAATTAAAGAGTCTAGTGCAAGGTAAGCTTTTAAAAATAGATGACTGGAAGAAAATACTATGATTCAATTTTAATTTTGTATCCTAGCATTAATTTCTCATAGAGAGCAAACATTTTATCAAATATTTTCGGAGGTCTAGAACATCAAGTATACACAGCCACTCGGAAAAGTCAAGGATTTTAGCAAGTACTGTGTGGACTCAGTCACTTCGGCTGGTGGCATCTGAAAGAGTGCAAACAACTTTTAAGTGCTTTTTTCCATGATTTTATTCACTATTAGCGGAAATTTCGTCTAAAGTTAGTTGAGGAATTTTTGTCTAAAAATCATATTACCTGTAAGCCATACAGACCTCTACCAAAGTATGTAAATCATGCACAGGTACTGGCACTCATTTGCGCATAGTTGTTATTTAACTCAACAGGACGCTGAATTGCGCTAAGGATGCCAGAGTGTGCAAACCGGCAAAAATCGTCCACAAAAAAAAACTACGCGCAACTCGCAATAAGAGAAACAATACTTCTATGTTATTTATATTCTTGAACTTTCATTGTGCAGTTCTCAGAAATTCACTGCCCATCAGAGAAGCAGTCAAAAGCTTATCTTCTATTGCCTAATTGGATTGGAATATAACCAACCTACTTTGTATTTGCAAGCACCATTCTCACATTGTGTTGAAGATGAGTGGCAAAAATTATTCATATCGCAGTAATAAAATATTATGATGAAGACTTGAAAAATCAATTTGAGATTGCTCAATTCATTAAGTGAGTTAAATTGATTCTAATATTTTTGGTGTATTTTTATTTTGCAGAGATGATACTGAAGTTGCTGGTGCCCCTGCAATGGGTGCAAAAAGTTTATGTATTCCATTCGATCAACCAAAAGAGGGAATATCAGCAACTGATAAATGTATCAATCCGTCTTGCAGCAACAAGCCTCAATTTTATACTTTGTTTGGTCGTAGCTATTAATTTTTAACAATTTTTTATTTACTGAATAAATAAATGTGAAACTCAAGTGTTCCCATGTTCTTTACATCACATCAAATCCTTCAGTTATCAAACTGGACCTTTTTTTATTTTATTTTATTCTGCTTCTCTTTCTTTTCTCTCATGGAACAATGACAATGAGAATGAAATTTGTAAGTTCAAGTTTCAGTATCTGAAGGCTTGTATGCGCAGAGCCGCAGAAAACGCCAGATTGATATCTTCCAAGTTTGTGTGGTTTGAATTTATTAAAAACCTCAAGTTATTTTAAAAGATGATGTTTATAAATTATTGAAAGATGATACTGCATACACGAGTAAATGTTACAGAGAAATCTTTTGCAGAAGGAAAAAGAAGGGTAGCTGTTGTGAAAAACACAGTTGAGCGCATGTAGTTTTGGTAAAGAAAAATGGAAACTGTTATTTAGAAAAATTTTGACTGCTTTGCTTCATTGGCATTAAGTCTAAAGTGCACTGATTTTGTTTTCTATTTTTTATTTTGTGAAGGAAACTGTTGAGTCTGTTCTTTGACCCCCCACAAATTGTAAATGCCTCCATAAAATGATATTTTATGTAGAAGCAAATACAATGAGAAAGCAAAAGAACTTTCTGCAACCTCCAGTTGGGTAAAAGGTAAGAATTTATCTCTGATGAAAAATCAGCCAGAGGCTGGAACCGATAAAGGCACGTTTTTAGATAAAGCATTGTTTTTACTCATGAAGAAAGGAGAGAGGGAAAAGAAAAAGACATTTAATTTAAATTTATACTAAAAAATTTTATTTAAAAATAAAACAACATGATCATTTAACTTCTGATCAGAACTTTTGGTAAATACCCGCAACCGGCAACGTTACCTGGGTACTCTCATGAAGATAAGAGATAAAATAGCCATGATGGAAAAAAAAATTATAAATATGATTGGAATTACTGGTTCTGTAAACTATTTTACTAATTGTACTTTCACTAAACATCATCTCTTGCTTATTTTCTTTGGCATGTTTAGGCAAACTACATCAGCAGAATTTACTACACATTTGCACAGCATTTTCGACAAAATTTTCATTTTCACCCAAAAGGTTGCATTCAATCTTATTCTTTAGAAGATGGAGGTAGAATTTCTTTTACATCAAAGGTGACCCAACCAGGAATATATTTGGGTCATAGGCAAAAACCTAACAATATTTTGTTGAGACGTAAAATGAATCAGCGAGAAAAGGATAATTTTTATTTGACTTTTTCTTCTTACATAAAATGATTTCTAGACGTCATCATGAAAAGCATTCTTCAATAAGCAAGGTGTGAAGGATAGGAGATCATTGGTAGAAAAATGTTCTACTGATGCAAAGTCTGAAGAAATAAAATGTAAAAGACTGATATGATGTACCTATGCATGAAAATATTTCTTTAAAAACTGGATTATGCTGATAATTTTATCACAAAAGGCTGGGGGCAATTTGTTGTACCTAACAACTCAGTCAGACTATCTTAAACAAAAATTATATTAACACCAGAGTGAAGGCAAACTTTGCATTTCAAAAACATAACACTTCTTTTACCCAAACCAAAAGTATTCATGAGTACATAAATCTTCTCCCTAAAATTTCTGATCATAAAGACTTTTGAACAAAATTTAATCGGAAAGTAGTAAGTGAGGAGTATAAACAATATTATAAAGGAGTACTAAACAAAGTCACTGCATGAGATCTTTCTTGGACAATTATTATTTTAAATGAAAGGATAAACTTGGCATTTTATTTTGATACATTTTCATTGAAATTCCCAAACAGCGTATCTTGGTTTGCTGTGTTGGAGACTTCCTGCCATTCTTCATGATTACAGTAAAACAACATTATTTCTTGAAAATTTTCCCAAATTTCCCCCTGTGTGAAGAATATTCCGTGAAAATTTGAAGAGTAATTTTGATGTCATCTCCTTTTGAAAAATGAAATGGAAGAGGAGATTTTTAAAAACCGAAAAGGAGATACATTGTTTGGGATGTTCAAAGAAGAAATGGTGAAAACAAGTTTGGAATATGATTGGTAGTGACAAACTTTCAGCAGCTGAACAAGTCAGAGTGCCGTTTTCTGCACTGCTCATTACAATGTGAACCTAGGCAGAATAAGGCACATTACTCGTTTGCAGTGTCTAAAAATTTCCGCCTCTATATTATGTTTTTAAAGGAGAACAAACTGACATCATTTCTTGAAGTTTTCGCAGAATTTTCTTTGTAGAGACAAGAAAAATTACGGCAATCTCAAAGAATTGCTGTTGAGTGGTTTTCCGTTAAAAAAATCCAGTATGACAGGAAGTCTGCAACGTCACAAACCGAGTTATGTGATTGCTGACTTACACCGTCGATATTCACATTCCCATGCTAAAATAATTATTCTCTGTAGAGAAATAGAGACATCGTACTCCTGCACTTTTGTTCAACATAGATGGTCAATGTCAGAAAAAAGGGAGTATCAATTGAGTAACGTTGACATGGAGAGTGACTATGCTTAAAGGATGAATGTAACGTATACAAATTGAAATTAATCATTTTTGGAGGGAGCAAGAAAAAATAGCGAGCATGTCTTCACAACCAAAATTTGCTAAACAACAAGTTTCTCTATAAATGTTTTCCACAAGGTTAGAAATCAAGTTGATGGACGTAATGCTGATGGATTATTTTTTCGCATAATATAAAACTATGATTCATGATTATTCATTACGTAGCTTGATAAAGGTAGAGGGAATTCTAACTTTAAATACAACTACCTAGTTAGAGGTCAGCTGAATAAAATGATCTAACAGACTGTGCCATAAAATTATAGAAAGAAATAGAAATAAAAAAATGCTTGTGGGTTGGGACGGATGACCGTTTTAAACATACATATTTATGGGAGTGACAAAATATTTGAATTGGTTAGCCCTTAACAGATCCAGAGCCATAAGTCATATACTAAAGCACCTGCTCGTAAACTTCAACTTAATTTAGCTGGAAATATTAGGATTAAACTAATTTTAAAAACTTATGTCAAAACTTAAAAGGAATCGGGCTGAGTATCTGAACAGCGAATTAGCTCCATAATACAAAGACATCTGTCTTTTTCACTCGTCAAGCTGACTAGTTTGCTTTACACTTTGATTAGGCATAATAGACTAAGGAAAAACTGACCTGACCCTAGTAATGACAATTATAAAAAAAAACTTCTAAAACTCGTAAACTTTAAAAAGACAACTCCGACAAATACTGTTGGATTGTTTGTTTTAGGAAATCTTTTTGAATTTTTTTTTTTTTTTTTTGGTAAAATTTACAAAAGGAAGGTAATCATAGTGTTAACCTTTAAAAAATCAATGGTAGTTTTTCAAAACTAAAATGTTTGAAGAAATGTTAGAAACTCTAGAAAAATGAGTAATTATTATTTTAGACTTTATTACATAGATTTCGCATAGAGTTAAATTTTATTTAAAAAAAGAGTCGAGCACGGTTTCCTAAAGTTAGCATTGGGGAAATTTAATTAAAGAGCTTTTGAAAATTGCTTTTTTAAGGTCATTGCTACTGGAGGACCTTCAGATAAGCATATCTGAGTTCTAAAAATTACTTACTTATTAACCGTTCTAAGAAACCATGAAAATATACAAAAAAATTGTGAATATCTGCTTTAAGATCCGCTCACCCTCACATCAATCAGTTTTTCATCATTCTATTATTGACAATTAGAAATATTATAGAATATAATAAATTTATAAGAGACTATTGAGGTATAATAAGTAGGTGCCATCACAGTATTTTCGAAACTTTTCTCCATCACCGTCTGCCTAAAATAAATACCTATTTCACAATTTCCTATATTAGAGAAGAAAAAAGAAGAAGAAAACCAAAGGAAGAAAGCAGTGGAAAAAACGTCCAATCAAAAGTAAAGAGACACTTTCCTTGCGAAAGAGAATAAGAAGACCATCACCATGAATAATATCCTTAATTGTTTTCTTTGGAGCTCCTCTAACTACCCTCAGGACAAACAGATATCAGCCGGTTGACACAGAAAAAAAAGCAAAATGCACAAATGGCAATATTGTAATTACAGAGCATTCGTAGATGACTGTAAATTTTTTTTCTTGGCATTGCGAACATTCTAGAAGAGATGCTTAAATCTAAACATTGTCTCCCTAGGACGTTGTCCAGTTAGGTCCAACAAAATGAGTAGACAATCATACTTATTGCACCAATTACAGTTTCAAAAAATTATTTTGGTGGTTACCCTGAAATTCGAGAGGTTAAAAATAGTCAACCTAAGACAATGGACAGAAAATGAGCGGACAGACATTGGATGAATTCTTAGATGCAAATCACCTCAGTTCATTGCCGAATTAATAAATAAAAAATTGGGATTCATCTCTTCTCTCTAAAACCTCATATCATCTCCTATCATTAGAAGCGGAGAGGAAAATAAATGAGGCACTTAAGATCGGTAACAATTTACAAGAGCAATTAATCATGCTTAAATAAATAGCTTAACATAGTATGGGTACTTTTTGGTTCTGCATTGAAATTTGTTCTAACGTGGTTCAAATTAATAAAAACTGAAGGGTTACTCTTTCTTTTTGATCTTTTTCTCTTTCAGGTCATCTACTGGGGCTATTGATTGCTTCAATTTGTGAGGAACTTCAGTGAATATCAAAGTGCCGGCAAAAACAAGGATTGTTCCAACCCAATGATAAATAGTGAACGGATTCTTAAAATAGACTATACTAAAAATTAAACTTGTGAATTTGCGCAGAGTAACAACTAATGTTACAGTTAAAGATGAGCATTCAGTGGTTAAATAATATACTGATGCAATACACAAGTACCTGAAAATGCTTGTTAAGGAAAAAATAATTAGTTGATAAAAACATGACTGCTAATTGGTAAGCGTACATTACTTAAATTGATGAAGAGACTAATTTTTTGTAAGTTGTGAATTTCCGTAAGGAACCAAGAATGAACTGAGCATTTAAAATGTTTCTGAACCACTGTCTCCCACGACATTGCATTTATTATAAAGGTTCCAGAACTTCTTAATGTTTTCTCATTTTCATTTTTCCTTGTGATAAAAGTTTGACTTATAATTCATTCAGCATCCCAGGGTGCAGAGAAGATAGGATTGTAGGTTATGGTTAATGAAGACGAAGAGCATCAGTCTTTCACTGAGAATTTTCAGGGATTTTCTCAAACTTTTCCATGCTTTTTTGAAGCTTACACTTCATTTAGCCATTATCGTTGCGCCACGCAACAAAATTTGGTGCATTTTGCCACATTTATTTTTCTTGTTTCATTTCTTTACAGCACCTATATACCTATAATCTGTAGCTAAATGCATGTGGCGCCACACGCTGTAGCTAGGCGAACAGATATCAAGGCTTTATCACCGAACCAACCTGAATTCAATGCCTATGAGGTTTTACTGTATTGAAAAAGGCCAAAATGAACTACGCAGCCATGTTCATCCAACCACCTATGCCATTCATCTCTCCTCCCAGTCAATTTATTCTGTAAAGGAAAGGGGGAAGGCCTGTGATATACGGCAAATTATTTTTAATTCATCCACAATGTCACATTTCATTCCTCAACTGCTACTTATACCTCTCACTACCACAATGAAAGAGTGTTTTGTTGATAGTCGAATCAAAAAAGCAGGGTAGGCCATCGGCAAAGGACATTTGACACCAACTTCTGCGACTTCAAAATTGGGCCCCTTTGGTTTTCTTTGAGCTAATTGTGAGTGCTGACTTCCATCTCAACTTTTGCTATTCCAAGTCTTAAGTGCTGTACCTTCATATGTAACTTTCTCCCACTAAATGCATTAGAAAAATTCTTTTTCGATAGATTTTATGGGAAGCACCCTAAGGTATTTCTTCAAAATTAGAACAGAAAGTTTAGATGGAGTCAATAATGTAAACGTTTTTAGTTGCAAAATTAATGAAAATCAACCAAATAGATTTCTGGAATAACTCAAGAAAGAAAGAAAAATGAATTAAATCACAGAAACTTAGGGCGATTTTGATCAAGTTTAAAAAAAACGCACCAAATTGCATTTCAGAGAGAAAAAATTAGTTTGAAGTTCGTACTTTTTAACTAAACCTATTGCAAATTTTCTCCTGGCAAAAATTCAAAGTGAAAAAGTAAATTGATTAATGTGAAATAGTTGTTAAACTTCATCCCTATTATGGAGTTTTAAGAAGGAATAAAACTTTGAATTTCTTTTTTTCTGTTCAAACTTGATTCAACTTGGTGTGTTCCTGTTAAAATCGGTCCAACTATAGAAGAGAAAAATTGAGGAGAATAAAAAGGATACTGTGACACGACATTTCCTAGGAGCCACAAGATTGAACTTGGCATTGATATTCCAAGGCCTGGAACCACCATTTGAGGACTATTCAGGGCTATTAACCAGTGCTCCCAAATATTTCGATACAAGAGGGCAAATGCGGGTAATGGTATTAAATGCTGAAAAAAGAAACAAACTAAATTAGGGCACTGATCAACAACCATCCGTAGCAATACATAAAGATATTTTTGTAGCAATAAATGTAAAGTAGTGTTTTCACCATCCAAATTAGTTGATCAAAATTTTAAGTTTTAGGCACAAACTTTCTTGCTGCAGCATTCGCTCAAAGAGAGGATAATGAAGTACGTCATTTCTAAAAGATGTGCAATGGAGATTCTTCATAGTTTTTGTGTGTTTCCTGTCCAATGGTTTATTGAATTATTGAATATCTTTTTTGTTATGAATTCATTCATATTAAAAATAAATTAGAAAAATAGTTGAAGATGAAATATATCAAAAGCACTTTGTAAGAAGTTGGGGGAAAAGAGTAATGTTATGTAGGTAGTTTTAAGATCGATAAATTTAAAATTATCCATGAATAAATTGAGGGCCAGGATAAAAGAAATGAGCACTTTACAGATAGATGAGCCAGAAGAAATGAATTGGCTTGCTCAATTCTAAGATTAAGAGGGTGAAACTTACAGTATAGTATAGCGCTTCAAAGGGATGCTTTCCATATTTTTTGTACATCACTTCTTGATAGATACCCATTCTAGCGGAGACAAATAAAGCTCCAGTTAAAAGGAGGATACCTGAAGGAAAATTAAACACAGATAGGTAAATATCATTAGATAAAAAGGAGTTTTTCTGCAGGTTGGTTACAGCGTCGGTTGCTGATGACAGAGAGCACTCAACAAACTTATTTTTGGCATGGCGTCAGGCTAAGTTACCTGAAAGTTGAACATCTAACCATAAATTGAAAAATATGTTCATTTGAAAGTTGTGATCCTGTAACTACACCAAGCACATCGGAAACAGGTTTGATTCAGCATCTCATGACCTCTAGTTCCAATTTAAAGAGGAGCAGGAGCATGTTTCGGGTATGTGTCCGTCGCAGGAGACTGACAGCACCCATATGTCTTAGGTATTTTTGCAAAGAAGATAGCCCACTGATCACATACCTCCATGACCACTTTGTCTTGTCTTATCCACCAGATGAACACAAACATTTCGACAAACCGCCTGCTGTTGGCAAAGATGTAATGTTAATGTCTTTGTCTACATGAGTATGTTTGCAGCAAAGTATCACAAGAGAGGTTTGAGAGAATGTAAATGCCAAAATAATGAAATGAACGCATGCAAATTCAATGCCTGGAGAAAATTCATGAAACCACAAATGTAGTTTACATAAGCTTTTTGCAACACAGATCAGACTTTGAATTCCATTGAAACCTCTTAAAATGCTAAGTAGAATATTTGATAAATATTTTATGTGATAACCCATATTCAGACGGGTGATAAAACGAGCAGAATTATGCAAATTCTGCTGCTCACGAAAAGCAAAATAGTTGTAGGTATTCGCCTCTTACCTACAACCCACCAAAAGAAACCCTCAATATCTTGAGCAGTGTCCAAACTTTCAGCGACTGGTTTTTTCTGAAATTAGAGATATATAAAAGACATTAGTGACTATGGAAGTTAAGAAAAGTATTCAAACAATTTGATAGCATTTTCCTTTGCTTCATGATTCACATTTCAATCTCAGGAGGCTTCAATCAGGGGGCTGGTTGCAATGCTTGATTTCTTTTGCTAGAAATCATATGTTAGTAAAAAAATCCTTCCATTACCACAAGTGTAGCGTCTCGATCCAGCAATTTTGCCAATACTCAGCAACCTTCAATCAGGAGTATTCACAATTCTAGCTCCATCTATTGGGGAAACTCTGAATTACAACTTAAGACACTTCCTGACAGAGTGCAACAGATTTGCTTCAATAAAAAACCAATTTCTGTAAAGCATGCAGAATCTGGCCTGGTAATGAAAGGGTTAATGATCATATTGGTATTTTATGATTTCAAGATTTTATAATAGCGCCATTGTTCTTTTCATAAAATTTTCCGTTCAAATCCGTTATCAATTTGCAAATCCCCGCACCTTGCAACAGGCCCCTGCTGATCATCAAAATCAGAGAACTTGTGTCCATTCACATATTTTTCTATTATTTTACTTTTCCTACTCCATAAAGTTCTCTAGAGAAGTTAGAAATAGTCCTTTGATATTGAAGCACATTAATTAACTTTTCAAAGTTTAAATTTTACAGTAGTACGGCTGATTTTAGATAAGCATGAAGAAATAAAAAATAACACAAGAAGACTTTCAAGGTGTCTCAGAATCCATAAAATTGAAAATCCTCTTACCACATCTTGACTAGATACAATGGTGCATAGTATTATTCCAAGTGTAATCAATGATACAGAGAGATATTTTTCCAATGTATAAGTTTTCTTCAATATTATAATACCCATGATGAGGTTAGAAATCAAAGATCCCTAGAACATTACAACGACAATAATTAGCAAAATAAAACTTGCAATCAAAAATACATTAAGAAAATTTGAATTTGTGATGAATACTTTTTCTAAAAGTACGGTGTCAATGTTACTTCAAACTTTAGAAAAATATCATTTTTAAAATGATAAATAAAAAATCACGATTGATTGTAAGAAAAAATTGATAATTTTTTTCAGAATAAATGAAGAGAGGAAAATTTCCATGGAGCATTTGCTGATGCTTGTTTTTCTAGGTAGGTACAAATAATATTGACGTATACTTCAGGCTCATTTATTTTAGAATTTTTTTCAGGATAGGACAAAAATCAACCTTAAAAGAAATGATGTCATTTAAAACATATCAAGTCACTTTATATTCAAGAATACTGTCACTAGTTCAATTACTGATAAGTAAGTGTGACGAAATGTCTTTCTTCAACTGATTATGCAGAGTTCGGAAAAAGAAGCAAAAAAGACTGTAAAGAGAAGGGGGAAAAGGAAAGAGAAAGCGCCAAAAATGAACAACTTTCTTTGAATTTGCTAAGAGAATCTTAGATCTATACTTTTCATCTATTAGGATTGGCAGATGTAAAAGCCACTTTCACAACTCTCATCGGCCCTTTGCAACACCCGATCATGACAGTCTTCTCCTTCAGTGCTTTCAAGAGTTGGCACCCCCTTATTTCCTACTCCACTCTCTGACACCACCCTTTTACTGACTGTCTCCTTTTAAAAGAAAACTTTTTAGCAGCCTTCCTTCTGTCATTTCTATCATTCAAAATCAAGTCACTTTGAGAAAGTATCCTATCTTGATCAAACTAAATGACATGATTTGTCACTTACACGATCTTCAAAAATAAAAAGAAGAGGTGAAAGTTGTTGATTATTTATACCTTCAATACTTTGAAAAGTTAACTACTAGTATTTTGGAAGGAGTTCAAAATGAAAATCTATTTTTTTTACATCTTAGAAAGTAGGAAGATAATGTACTCACTGAACGGAAAATCATGTGTAGTGGCATGGCAATATTAAAGTCAAAGGCATAGTTATTACAAACACTAACAAAGAAGAACATTCCTACTAGGACCATGTAGTCCCTGAAAATAAAAAAAAGTTGAAATTTAAAGGTCTGAAATTCAAAAGCAATAATGTAAGTACATATATCAAAGTTTTTAAAAAAGGGGAAATTTTAAATTTTCTGACTTTGATGTGAACTATAAACGTTAAATTTTCACTCAAAGATTTTTTTACCTGTTCAACATACTGCGCATTAACATTTCAAGAGAAAACATGTCTTGTGATGCTCTGATTCTTCTCCCGATTGGATCATCAGCGTGATCAGGACATTCTTTTGTGCCTTCTCATGAAAAATAAACTTTTCAAGCCTAAGAATGGTGGAAAAAATGTATACTCATAACACCATAAACAAGCTTGTAATGTACAAGTTGGACATGTCAATTGGAGGCTGGTCGATGCTTTTATGCAAACCTGCCCTCCTTCTACAGTAAAAAGTATGAGCCCATCTCTGGGTTGTGGAGACTGAATTCCAGAATTTTCGGGGGTAAAAACACTTCAGACAGTCTCCTTACATTTTCAGATGGCAGAGTTTCAAATTATGAAATTTTTTACACCTGATGAGCCCCTTAGAGGTCAACATCCTACTGGTGATTGTGCCAATACTTACGTCAGACTTTAAAAGAGCTTCTTAGAGTACTCAAATCTCTTACATCAAAAAGAAAGCCAAATTTTTAAGCTCATTGAAAATATTCCATTTAAAAAAAAGATATCTGTCGCTGGTAATAGGTTTTAGAGACATCTAATACCAGGCTACTGTAGAATCCTTTAACAGATGCTTACATTAATTTTATCTTTGGCTCCACAGTGCCAAACTTTGATGTGAACATAAACCCCTGTAAGGCTATGAACAGGAACTGTGAAAATGTGACCAGATTGCCATTGCCAGGATCATTCCTAAAAACAAACAAATCCAAAGATTAATTCTACTAAATGCTACTGTTACTATTGGTAAAATGAATTGTTATAATCAAATAAGTATCATGCCACACAGATAACACATGACATTGGTATACTTAGCCTCTCTTATTGTGCTTCACCTGCCTTTGAAGTAGGATACACCTTCTTCCTGTTCCTTGACAAGGTCACAACACCACACATCTTAAGTGCCCAAGGTCTCCTGGTGATAATGCCTAGGAGCACTGGCAATTACTCTGCTGGTGATACAGCTTTATCCATTCATCCATAGATAATTACACCCTTCCTCGGCTTGTAAATGTACCGTGTTCTCAATTTACAACACACACAATTATGTGTTAAAATAAATGTGCGCACTTTTGAAGTGCAACTGAAGATCAGCTGTCTTCATTTTAGCTTTAAAAGTAAATGAGAGAATCAAGATCATGGATCTTCTAACGCACTTTAAAAGTACAAAAACTGATTTGGTGTGTACTCTGTATATCAGGATGATAGTCATCAAGGGCAAAGGCACAAGTAATAGATCTCGTCAAATAGCCCATGTACCTAGTTACCCATTGGTCCCAGCAGGGCAATGTAAACTTTGAGCTGATGGTCGATCCTCTATACGTTATGCCATAAGTAACCGGTGATTACTGCCGATTCAGTTGCTTGGTAATCCTAGGAGTTCGTTAGTCCGTTGGGTTGCTGACAATCTCTTGATGTGGATGCTTGTTATAACGCTGCATCATTTACACATTGGTGCAAGATAGTCTTGAAGTGTTCATATAATTGTCATTTTGTTTTACCTCATCTTACAATTTGCAGGGTTATATCTTGCTAAGAATGACAACATGTCTAGCTGCAAAAAAGAGGCAATTAAAAGTTACTTCCTCTTCTATCAGATGCTTTAGATGCTCAAGTGGTCATTGTCAAAGATCCTGCAGCTACTGCAACAGAAGAGTTAGCGGCAAATTTTACTGTTTTCGTTGGGAGTGTGTTTCGCAGCAACAAACCTGGGTACTTATCATTACACTCAACACATCGAGAAAGGTGATTAAACTTGACGCAGAGCAAGACTGAGGAAAATAAATTGCAGAGGTGAGGAATGAAAAACTTACTTCACTAAATATTCCAAAAAGACAACATTGCTGCAACACCCAATAAAGACGGATGAAATTGCTAGGGCAACCCCCATCGAGAAGGGATGATGGTAACTTAAAAACAGGAGACCAAAGTATGAACACGTTGAACTTCACGTCAGTATTTAGAGCTTCGAGGTGCAATCTCATAAGTGCAGGAAAAACGGGTGAGTAGAAATACGTAAGCTACAAAAATAGTTAGTGAAAATACGGGTACTTGTGACAGCGGCGATAAGGTTGACACACGACAAGCTACTGATGAAAGCTCTTCGTTACTGATAACGAAAATGAATGATAAAGATGTCAACAAAAAAATCCGAGTATTTTGAGGTTATGTTTACATTTCCCGCGCGCCCCTCATTCAAAATTTCATGGCCACGGCATGAGTGCAGGATTGAACTTGTTGGAGTTCCGAGTTAGATTTCAAATATTCAAAAGTCTCTAATTTGATCGTGAATTATATACAAAGTTTTGTGAATACCTTGTCTGAGAGACGCTTTCTCTTCCTATTTTCTGCTATATTCGCATGCTCCTTTCTAGTGATTTAACAAACTCGGCCAGTCCAAGAAGAATCTCAAAACTCAGAGCCAGGTGCAGGTATGTAGAAGTAGAACCAAGTTTTTTTCAAAGTTTATCGTCGAACAACACCCTCGTTCATGCCAATACCTATCACAATTGAGGCACAAATACCTGCTATGTATTGATGAAGTGATTACTCTTGTGACTAATCTCTCTACTAAGTATTGTCTGTTCAGCGGGCCGATTATTGAAAGCTTTAAGCTGCCCAATACGACATCGAATAGCAATATATTGCATGGTTAAAATAGGGCTATGTCTTATGGTATTGTATCGACACAGTTCCAATAATAATTGACACAGTTCCACAGCGGCAGTTCCAATCGACAGCCGCAGAATCGGGTAAGTAATGAAAAACAAGTTAAAAAAACAGCAACACTTCGTTATCCCAAACAGAATACGTCTTAGTTACTTTAAGGTAGACACCTCCAAACTCTGAGTAAAAGCCAGTTTGCTCCAAAGAAGAAGGTTTTACAGCGGGTTTCAATATTTCTAATTCTACCCCTCTCAAATTTACTATCCATGGAATTTCTGAAAAATGGCTGATGGAATTTCAAGATCTCTACTTAATGTCCCAAAAGGACTTTTTTTTTATCGCGGATCAGGGTGAATCGCAGTGGAACGCACTGGATCGGAATCCTGAGCGATCTGGACCGATCCAAGTGTTCCAAGTGATAAAAAATCCAAACTTGAAATTTGGTTTGATTTGTTATTGTTTTGATTTTTTGGGGACGGCAACGATTGAGCGTTTTTGCAGGCAAAGACCCCCTACGATGTGCAGGCGATCACAGAGCGGGAGTAGCTGGTGGAGCGTGCGTGCCAGAGACAAGAGACCCTCCACTAGTAACTTGGCCATGGTGGAAGCTTTTACTTTCGGGACTTCAGCATTCTACTGTTGACTTACCTACATGGTTGATGTTCAACAACGTGTTGGCAGTTTCGTTTCGCAAACAAGCCGAAAATGGCCGACGTTTGGGAAAGTTGTTTGGCTTATGACGTCATCCGAAGCTCATCATCGACCATGTAGGTAAGTCAACAGCCGAAAATAGGGTGATGACTGTTGCTCGCTCATAATTGTCCATAAGGAATTGTTGAAACCCCGAAAGTAAAAGCTTCCACCTGTCGCTAGGAGGCCAGTGGAGGGTCTCTTGTCTCTGGTGCGTGCAGCTCGCTCGGACTCCATGATTCTGCTCTGTTGCTCTCTCCTCTCCCCTACTCTTTACTCCTAATGGCGCCAAGCACAAATTTCACTCGCGGAGAAAAATTAAACTGCTCAGCTCAGGGAATTGGCATTTTTGATTGAGATTTTTCTAAACGAGTCCAACCCAAGTCAACCAGGGTAATTCTCAAAATACTTTGGCAAGATATTTTTCTGATATAATTTAAGGATATAATATAATTATTGACATAATTATTATGATATAATTTATTTAAGGATTGAGGATGGAGAATCTTTAGAATTTATGGAGAAATCACAAGCTTGTGTGGGGGCCCCAGCGTTCTGAGGCATTGAAATTAATCTTAAACGTACCTATTTACATTTTGAATTTTGGTGGAAAATACGGGGGGGAGGGGGGCTTTAATTTATATCTGAGCCATGTATGTTTGATTAGAGGATTTACTTATTGCTAAATAGGCAGAGGATGCCAGATGATAAGGGATGAGTTTGAGGATTGTATGCGCACAAGGTATAAATGTTTTCAGGATAAAGCTATGGCAGCTAAAAACTAAGATAGCATCCTTCCTTTCTTATTGGAATCAGGCGTAGATCTCAGGAAAAATTTAAAAAATAAAAGGAGGCTATCTACGTGTGGGAGAAACACACAAGTTACTTAGAGTACTTAGAGTTAAATTTTAGGTAAAAAATATGTGTAGTTGGTCGGTAAAGACGCAGAGTTGTACTTACGTATTTGCCAGGCTGTGTACATGCATGTAGAGTCCCTTTATACCCAGAGTTAAGACAACTCACTTTTGGTTGGGCTGAAAGTGGCCTAAAAAAAAATCCAATTCTGATTGGTTCTCGCTCATGGAGGCCGAAACGAGTGCACCAAGATGGCGGTACCTCGAATGTGAACAAGAATAATGAAAATATTACCTAATTGTGGTTCATCAAGAGTAAATTGTTATTTCCATCGGTCCAAAATGAAAATAGATTAAGAAATTATTCACAAACCAATCTCATTTTCTTTTTAATTGATCAATTTGTTGATGTTGTTGTTTTTGTTTGACAGACATCGCAGGATTCCTGATCCTTATCCCTCAATATCGTTCGTTTGGGTGCACTCGTTTCGGCCTCCATGGCCAGCCAAGGCCGGCTGCCAGTCAGCTGATAATCGAGTTGTCTTAACTCTGGGTATAAAGGGACTCTACATGCATGCAGCACCCGCACTGCAGCCTCCTCCGGAGAATACTATCGGTGCTTAATATTATCTCAAAAATGCTTCAGATGTCAAATTTTGAAATCATCCATGTTGTGAATACCTATCTATTAATTATACCTGTATCTTTCCCTCTGCTTTATGCTGCTTATTAGTACATTCTGTGCGCATTGGGGGAACTAGTTGAGAGGAGGAGGGGGGGGGGATAAATCTTACCCTCACATCTGACTTAATTCCTAAGAAATATGAGGGATTTTGCTAAGTTAGCTGTGTTGCCAGACTTTCATTGTGGAAATTATAATTGTACCAAAAATATTTCCATGTAAAGATGAACCATCAAGCTAAAACTTTAACTAAACATTCGCACAAATTTATCAATTTCTTTTTGTGGCACAATGGTACAACTTCTGGAAACTTCCTGTTAATAGGTAAATACGAGGCACTTAGCACATTTCTTGAAAAATTTGCTAAAACAATATCTTACCGACCAACTACACATCTTTTTTACCTAAAATTTAACTCTAAGTACTCTAAGTAACTTGTGTGTTTCTCCCACACGTAGATAGCCTCCTTTTATTTTTTAAATTTTTCCTGAGATCTACGCCTGATTCCAATAAGAAAGGAAGGATGCTATCTTAGTTTTTAGCTGCCATAGCTTTATCCTGAAAACATTTATACCTTGTGCGCATACAATCCTCAAACTCATCCCTTATCATCTGGCATCCTCTGCCTATTTAGCAATAAGTAAATCCTCTAATCAAACATACATGGCTCAGATATAAATTAAAGCCCCCCTCCCCCCCCCCGTATTTTCCACCAAAATTTAAAATGTAAATAGGTACGTTTAAGATTAGTTTCAATGCCTCAGAACGCTGGGGCCCCCACACAAGCTTGTGATTTCTCCATAAATTCTAAAGATTCTCCATCCTCAATCCTTAAATAAATTATATCATAATAATTATGACAATAATTATATTATATCCTTAAATTATATCAGAAAAATATCTTGCCAAAGTATTTTGAGAATTACGAGCTGGGTGGGGTAGGGAGGCGGCGGACGATAGGATGGGTTATTAGAGTAGGTATTGGGAAGAGAGTGCTCGAACTGCCCTGAGTTCCCGTCGCGCGACGCAGCCATCTTGCCTGCACATCGTAGGGGGTCTTTGCCTGCAAAAAGTAAACATCGACGGCAACTTCCTCGCATTAGGTTAGGATCACAGTGGATCGCGAGCTCGCCCCACCTCGGAAGATCGATCCAGCATTCCACCCTGATCCACCTGGAATGCTTGGATCACGCTGAGGAACGGAATAAAAAAATACCGATGTTCATCGCGATCCACCGCGTTCCACTGCGATCCGCATAAAAAAAAAAGCCCTAGAGGAGCCTTACACTTTCATTATATCAAGACAGCGACAGTTTCCTCTCACTTCTAAAATTTTAATCCATTCAATTTTATTTCTTTTCTTTTCAGATTTTTCACACTGAAAAATGCCACCTAGAAAGAAGAAAATTCAAGTGAGTATTTCCTCTCCTTCAAGATATTTTTTTCTCTGGTTGTGCGTTAAAGGTAACCCTAAAACAAGTCTTCACAGCTCTGTCATGGTTGTATCTATTCAGGGTGTCTAGCATCAGAATTTTCCCGACTTTGTCAGGATTTGAGATCAATCAGGATTTAATCCCGATTTCATCAAGATTTGAAGAAAAATCTGTTGTCAAATCAGGATTTGAGAAAAGTCGGCCGTCCGATCTGATTTTTTTATCGAGCTATTTTTGTGAAGTTACATTTGAAGAACATCAACAGATGGAAATTGACAGTTCCTCATGGCTTCTTCCTTATCCTTTTTTTAAAAGTTACCACTTTTTGAAAAGTGGTAGGTAGCTCTACTATCTATTGATATGTTCATAATTTCACACTCAATTATTTTCATTTCATTCATCAATTGCCCTTGTTCTCAGGAAGCAGTTGTCATCATATTAGACGTTGGTTATGGTGGAGAAAACGCGGGGACATCCTCATCCAAAAGTTTCTTTGAGAAAGGAAAAGAATGTGTCATTGGATTAATCAAGAAAAAGGTAACTAGGAAGTCAATCTGCAGCATCTTTTGTATTTTATCAATCATAGAACTTTTTTTTCCGCTTTATGTGCATTCAACTCCACCTGCTGTATCATTAATTTTAATGGGACTGGAGCTTTCTCAAGCTACCTTTAGTAGGTAACAATCGGTTTTTTTTTTTTTTTTTTTTTTTTTTTTTTTTTTTACAAATATTGTTTCTAGGTACTTGATGCTTCAAAATATAATCATGATACAATCTCACCAGTGAAGGTGTTAGCGATGAGTTCTTACAAGCAATTAATGAGTGTTAGGAACATACAGTGGCTCTTTAATAACCTAAAGAAACATCATTATTTACATTTATACCATGATTTATGAATGAATGAACTCATGATTGATAGTTTCTGTACAGTTTTCACGAATAAAATGTTGTTTTTATTTTTCTATGAAGTTAACCATTTTTATTTTTCTCTTTAGATTTTTTCGAAGTCCCAGGAGTTGGTGAGTTTAATCCTTATGAATTCTGAAGAAACACTCAATGATCTGAATGCCAGAGAAGATGGATATGAAAATATCAAACTTGCATTTCCATTGCGTGAAGCAAGTTGGCAGATAGCCAAGACGGTAGCTGACCTCAAACCAACAGAAATTGATTCTGTAGATGCTCTGGATGCCATGGCTGTTGCTCTAAATTACATTCAGCAAGAACAACAGTAAGCATAAAGATAATTTTTAAGAAATTCATTCCACAAATGTCTGAAAATCTATCATGTATGTGAAGAGATTTGTGACTTCATCTTCTGGGAGAAAAGTTTCCTCAACTCTTTGCAAACACTGAAATCTTGTTTTTCTACAACCTGAGAAATGTTTTCTTTGGACTTCTGGGCTCATATCTCCTTCAATTGTTGAGCTTTCAGGTTCAGGTTCATGCAAAAGTTGCCAGATTATCTTGCTGTTTGCATTAAAAAAAAGTTACGGCAAATTTTTTCATGGAAGATAAAGTCCTTTTTCACAAATTCAGTCACAAACTCATTTATCATTCAAGTGAGGTACAGCTGCAATCATTCACTCTTCAGTTTTTTGGCATGGCATTGAGGCACTGCCTACATCCTTCTATTTAAGAAAAACATTGAAGTGGTCATCTCCTTGCCATAACTTTTGACTCATGACATTTGAGGAGCCGCTTCGTACGATTATGTCTTAAAGCCATTTCAATGCATCACTGCTCGTCCAGAGTGCAGAGACTTCCGGACCACACGACTTGGATGATTATGTTTAATGGGGGAACTCTCGTGAGAATGGGAAAAACAAAGGAACTCTAAGTATTCTCATGAACACCTTATCTAAATTTTGCTTTTAACTGTACTTATCATTCAAGTCATCTCTGACTCTTTGTACCCTCGCTTGAACTTGACGTGAACATGTAAAGGCCAAGTGAATTGCAGTTTGCAAAGAGGAACCAAGAGCATTCCAATGTTGCTATGATTGTGCATTTGTTTTCTCTCCTCAAGGTCTGATGAATGTGTTAAACTGTCAAACATGGTTGTAATTTCAAGATTTGCTGGGGCCACAGACACAGTTCAAGCTAACAGTATTTTGCGGCAGCTAAAAAGTATGGCCTCTGAATTAACAATCATGTAAGTTACTATTTTGCGCTTTGCTCCCAATTTTTTCTGTGATTAATTTCGACCTAAACTAGAGATACATTGTCTGAAGCTTTAATCCTTGAGTTGAAACCCTCAAAAAAGTAAAAAAATTGAGAAGTTTAATCAGAAGCTCCTCTTCAGTAATATTATTAGGGTTTTCAAAGAAGCAAGGTGCTTTTCTAATTGTTTCAAACCCACTTTTACCATTCCTAGTTTGATGGTCTGTATGTGTTTTGTAACCTTAATATTTAATAGTTGCTACCTGCTTGCCCAAATAAGTTAATCAGAGGAACAAAAGTATTCTTACTTTTTAAGCCCCTTTCTCAAAACCATCCTCGGTTATTGATAAAACTTAGCATTACACTATATGCCATTGCCAGTTTCTCTACATGTTGAACAGCATACATTTCCTCTCGAAGGAAAGGATCAGAGAATGCACAATGAAAATTCGTTAACACAGGGATAAGTGCTTCCAACACCGCAGACGGATGCTTCCCACTTATTTCATTCCTTTTTTCCCCTCAAAATTTATTCTTAAAAACTGCTGCCTGAAATATATTCTCGTTCTTTACATAGTTTTAGTTTCCCACCAAGACCACACAAATTTTAAGCCCAGAGAACAAGAATTGAGCAAAATTTGTTTCAAATGGTTTCTGTTTAAAAAATGTTGTTGAAAGATCGTAAAGTGAAAGGAATTTCTTTTGTCTGTTCTTGTTTAAGCATTTTTTTTTTTTTTTTTTTTTTTTTTTTTTTTTTTTTTTTTTTTTTTTTTTTTTTTTTTTGGCTTTCTTCCTCACTCTTCCTAATTTGTTTCTGTTTTATAATTTTGCTTTTTTAGCCCCAATAGTTTATTTGGTTGGTACTCTGTTTTAGTGGCTATGGCGTTGATGAGATTCAAGAAGTTTCTCAGCAAGTTGAAAGTAGCCAAGAAAGGTCATTGAGAAGACTGCACGAAAATTTAGCTGTAATCTCCAGCATGGTGTACGTTATCCTTGTTTATTTTCTAGGAATAATTTCCTTTCATTTTTCAGACCTATCTTTAACTAGAATTTTGTATCTACTTTGCCATAATCAGATAAATTTTTGCTGATGATCCTTCAAAACAACTGAAATTTATTTGTTACAAGCAAATTTAGTGCCTCTTTCATTAATGAACTTTCAAATTTCGATGAAAAGCACTTCTCTAGTATTCTAAATAATTATTTGTGAGCATCCAGTGAATTTTTGCGCCCAAAAGCCATTTGTCGCGCTTTAATTTGGCAGCAATTTTCAGCCCCGAACATGGCAGATTACAATTGTTCTTATCTTTTCTCAAGACAACGCCTTTTGAGCTGCTAACCTCATAAAATTTAAAATCCAATTTGGTTTGACATTTTTGAGTACTTTAAAGTGTCAAAATATTCGTAAATCATTGCTGAAGCCTCTAAACTTGAAAGTCACTTCTCTCATGGACCTCCATACATACCATACATACCGGTTATTATTAATAAAGTATCATGCAAGTTATGAGAATTCTTTGAGGAGAATTTTTGTTGAAGACGTTATTTTAATAACCTTGCTAAAAATGCACTGTGTACTAAAAAAGACCCTTAAAGACTTTTTTTTTTTACAAAAGTGGTACCTATAAATAAACCATTCTATTATACTTATTACTCAATTTTTGTTTATCAGATCAAAGATGAACTCATATGGTATGGAATCCTCAGCTTTATGTAGTTTTGAAGATATTCTCTCACACCTTTTGTACTTTAAGGGAAAATCTGTAAGACCCACAGCATGGCGAGTAGATCTGGAAATAGGCAGGGACATTCAAATTGAAGTTGTTGGATACAAATTGGTTTGTAGAATTATTTTTATTTACCCTTTTTGGTTTGTTAAAGTACGTATTGAAGCTGAACAACTTACCCCCCTTTAATACTTTTGTGTGAGTTAGAGTTTTTTAGTTCTGGCTTTCTTTATGAACTTACCTCCCCTCTAGATTTTGCGCAGAAAACAGCTCTAATATTAAATTTTTTTAAGATCAACCATTGAGATTTTAATTTGTATACTTATTACTCATCAAATAGGAAGCTAATGGTGAGTCGATTTCCTTTAATCATGTAAATTTTAAAAATGTATTATTTTTTGTCCATGCGCTGATGTTAGATCTCCTTAACTAATATGCGATTTGCTTTTTTAATTTTTGAAGAAGATACATTGCGTTGTCTCAATTCAAACCTATGTTTATGAGCCTGTTAATATATTTTTTGCTTTTTTTCAATAGGTATGAAATTAAATTCTGTCTAGGTAAAATTTTATGGGGAGATAAACAGCTTTTTAAAAAAAACATTAAAGCAGGGACATCATATGAGGATGTAGATGTCTAGATTTCTAATCATGATCGGAAAGGCAGACACTAAAGGCACTTCAGTTTTTCAGTGAAATTGTTAACATTCTTTTGAATGAAAGTTGCAGGGAAGTGTCCAGTAAGCAATCCCTGTCTGAGGCATGACAATTGGAAATTTTACTGTAGAATTTTTTTAGGGATAAATAAGAAACAGCAAATATGAAACCCATGCTTTAAAGCTTTTTCATGAGTACCTCTGACCTCTTTAAAGAGTGAGGAAATTTTCAGATTGAGATTGAAATTATTTTTGTTCCTAAGAATATTCTGTACCCCTGTTTTGATTATTTAGGCGTCCATTTATATTTTTAAGTCATTTTCTCAGAATTAAGGACTTCTTTTGAATAATCAATGAAGACTTAATTCATAGTTTTCCAGCTAAAATGAACCCACCTCTCATGGTTAACAAGGTGGAGAAATGGTACTGGGTCCACACCATTTCGCGGGGAAAACAAAGCCAAGGAGTTCCAAAAATTAAAATAGAGTCAAAATTAAATTTTTGAACTCTAATTCTTCTAATTCTAATTCTTCTCTACTTCTTGGCCTTGTTTTCCCCGCAAAATGGTGTGGACCTAGCACCATTTCTCCACCTTGTTACATACAGTTCAGGCCACTTCTTAGTGTTTTTTTTTCTCATGGTTAATTTAACTTCAATCCTTCCTCTTTAATAATACTGTAGTGTTAAAAAAGCATGCATCTAAGCTGTCTGATTTTGTTTCCCAATCTGTCAGAATACTTCACCATGAAAAGTTGAAATTCATATCGAACAATTCTCTTGAGTGAGAAAACTTGTATTTTTTTTCTCTAGGTTGCTGAGCAAGAAAGATTTGAATGGACCACTCAGAAAAAAACTGAAAATACAACCATATTAGCTAAAGATTCCGAAAATGGAGGAGGAGGAATAGCTGATGCTGTAGCAGGAACAGCAGATGCTGCAGAAGGAACAGCAAATGCTGGAGCGGTGATAACCGAGGAGCCTAAAAGTGCTGTCTACAGGGATATTAAAGCTTACATGGATGTGGATGATCAGGGTGATGAACGAGAAGTTGCCCCAGAAGATATTGTCAAAAGTTATGTTTATGGAGATAAAATTATTCCATTTCCCAGTAAGTTTTATCTACTTCGTATTTTGCTAATTTTTCCTCTGATCATGTGTTACATAAGATCGTGTTATTCATTCTTTAGAATATTGGAAGGCATTTCTGTCAAAATCTCATATTTCAACGCAACTCTTCAAAAATCATTCAACTGAAAATTTTTCTTCTGTGGGCCATATTCCCTTCCCCCGCAAATGTTCACAATTTTAATGGTGAGATGGTAGCTAATCCGTTTTATTTTCATATTTGTTGTTCACTTATCTCAAAATTAAATCTCTCAAAAACAAATTGAAAGTATTAAACATTGTCCTCTAAGTTTTTGTTTTTGTTTTCAATTTTCAGCTCATGACAGTGAAACAATGGCGTATGAATCTGGGCCAAGATCTCTCAAGCTCATTGGTTTTACCAAACAAAGAAATGTTCCTAAATATATACTGCAAGGGAATGGTGTAAATGTTCTCACTTGTGGCAAAAATTCGGTAATACGCACTCTCAAATTTTAAATTTACTTGATCAAAGATAATATATGTGTGCTAATGTGTGGTTTTGCACTTTAGCCATCAATGTGTATTGTATGCAATTTTTCTGGAATACAGTAAGATCTTTTACAACCTAAATTGACCCCTCCCCCTCAAAAATTCACATGAACTTACCTATAAAACTGGGTCTTGTTTAGAAATCTCTGTTGAAATATTGTAAGTCCATCAGAACAAATTGGTAAAAATTTAATCGAATTCCATTGCTTGCCAGCAGCAGGAACTTTGAAAGACTTGAATAACTGTCAGTATCTCTCATGGTTTTTTGTTTAACCTCTTTAAAAGCTTCGACCTCATTGCCAACAAAAAGGTGGGACATACTTCACCTTTGTACGCGGTCTGTAGCTTGATTCAAACAGGTCCAATAATGAGATGCCAACTTGTCAATTTCTCTGGCACCTAAGATCTGTGGCGAGTTGATGAAGAAAAAACAATAATCACAAAAATTCTTAATGTTTTCCTCCAAATTCAGCTTTCAAATGAGAAAAGAAATGAATGTTAGACTTCCTCTCATTTTTTTGATCATTTACCCTTTCAAATTATTTTTTTTTATCCTCTCCGTAATTTCACATTGACATTACTGTCTTCACCCTAGATAGAGCAATTTTGTGTGTAAAAAATTAGTCTAGCTAATAATACTTAAATGGCTTTTACAGGGAGCTGTTTTTGCTGCTCTTCACAAAGTACTAGAGGCACAGCAGTTGGTGGGTATTGTAAGGAGGGTGTATAATCGGAATAACGCTCCTGCCATTGGCACCCTGTATCCTGAAGTTGTAGACGGGAAAAAGGTATGTTTCAAATTATTGCTCGCCCGTTTTTGTCTTCTTGTTTCCCGAGGCTTAGTTAGGAGCACATGAGAGACCTCAATGGTCAAATATTACACATCAGGATTCTTCAATGTCCTTGATTACCTGACCGTCTCATTATTCATGATTGGTGTAATCAGTCAAAATTGTTTTTAACCCTTAGAATTATATTCGGAGAAATTATCAAATTTTCACTTCGCCTTTGTCTCTTTCATTGGATTATCGAAAGTGACTGGCAAATTTATTTTTCACAACATCTGGCAAGTAGCTGACATTTTTTTCAATTTTCGTCAGTGTTTTGTCTGACATGGCAAGATTAGCCCAAAAGGCGGAGAGGAGTCAAAAAAAAGTCATCTAAAGGTCCAGAATTTTCTCTTTCAAAATTCCGTAGGCACCCTGCACAGCCAGAATAAGACCGCTGCCTTACAGTTACATAAAACTAATCAAAATAAATTTTTATGTATATTTCTATAGGTTCTAACATTTATTGAGCTACCCTTTGCTGGAGATGTCATCACATTAAAATTTCCGTCTCTCAGTCATGTAAATCCTACCTCGGAACAAAAAAATGCTATCAACAAACTAATTGATACACTAGATCTCTCCAACCCAGAGTAAGTTTTGTTTTCTCACCACTATTTCTCAAATTATTAACTGAAGAATTGAATGTTTCAAGTCATGAAAGTAATCATTTCAAATAAGAATCCAATTTATCAATGCAAAATGGTCTACTTACATCAGTACTTAGGAGCAAAGGGGTCGTAAGTAACATTTTTTGAAAAATTTACATATGCTAAGGAAAACAATTTGGTATAAATAGTAATAACGTGGTATTCAATGCCAGATGCCAGGTACAAAACTTTGATTGTAGCAAATTACATCACAAACAACAGAGTTGCCATACAGTTGTCTTGCCATGTGTATCTTGAAACAGAAAAATGTAGTTACAACCCCTCTGTTCTAAGCTACTGTCGTGTGTCAAAATATGTATCAGATTGGTCATTATTGTATCTAGGGCTGTGCGAGTACTCGAATTTCAAGTCGAGTCGAGTCGAGCCGAGTATCGAGTACTCGACTCGGCTCGAAAGTTAGGTTAGGTTCAAGCGAGTACTCGAACTCGGCTCGAGTGTCAGCAACACGAGTTTTTTCGAGTATATTCGAGTTTTTTTGAGCCGGAAACGCCGAAAGAGTCCAACTTCCAAATATTTCAATCATACTTCAACTAACGTTAGTTTTGCCAATATTTTATGATTGAATAACATCAGAGTCTCGTCGGCAAATTTCTACCATCCGCAGCGCCAACACGCTACCGCCCGGCGATTTCCTGCCGCCCGCGGTTTGTAAATACACGGAGTCATATGAGCGCATTTATGCGCGCGACCAATTTCAACCTGCGGCGGCGACCGCCGCTTGGAAGACTGAAAGTGAGCACGTGTTTTGGACCTTTTGCGCTCCAGATCAACGGTGTCGCGGCGGCAGAAAAAAGGTGCTGCGGCTACAAAAATATGGATCGCGCGATTCCAAAAAACGTCGCGGCGACAACTGCCACCGGCGACACGGCGACACGAATTGCATGCATAAATGGGCTCTAAAGCCTTCACTTGTGCCGCCCGAAGTTCCTTTGATGTACGCCGCAGATTAAATCACGTTTTAAAACTCGAAATTACTCGAACTCGACTCGAGCTCGACTCGGCTTGAGGGTCATTTTCAAAGCTCGAAAAAGCTCGAACTCGGCTCGACTTAGTGAAAAAATACTCGAACTCGGCTCGAATCCAAAAAACCAGGCTCGCACAGCCCTAATCTTAACAATGCAGTCCCAGCACATACAGATGTCCAAGGAACAATACCCCTTAACTGACAATTTTGGCGAAAATGAGACAGTGACAGTGCCGCATTTTACAGTATAAAATACGCAAGCTGATGTTTTTAGTTTTTTCTATTGGAGCTCTGTAATAATTCTGTAATGTATAAAAATAATTTCAAACTTACCCTCAAATTTTTAAAAATGGCAAAGTTTTTTTGCAGTCCTGTAAAATCGTCAGTTGTAAGGTAGGCGGCATTGTCCCTCAGCCATCGATAATCAGATCCTTCAGAATTCATTTATTTCGGATTTAACATAATCCCTCGTCCCAACTAAAGCTACCAGAACGCACAATGTGTCTTGTCAGCTCTGTATTTTTTTATGAGATCAAAGTGAAAAATCTTGAAAGTCCAACTGTTATAATTTTTGTCTTTTTTTCTCTAATTTATCATGTTTCATTTCCCTTTTAAGGAAAGAGGGGGGTCAAGAAGTCATTCAAAATTACTCAAATAGCCCTATACATCTGAAATGATTACATTGCAAGTTTTTTTTTCATTTTCTTTTTTTAGTGATCCTGATGACGAACTATTCCACCCTGAAAAAACTTATGATCCAGATCGGCAGTTAATGTATCATAAATTCGCCCAACAAATTCTTTACCCTGAGGATTCATCACAGTCTGAACTCCCAGATCATATTGAAAAACTGACAAGCTTGCCAAATGAATTGAAGGAAAAAGCTGAACCTGTAATTGAAGACATCAAACAGGTATTCCCGCTCGTGGAGATTGAAAGAAAACAATGGAAGAAGGGCAGAGCTATAAAGTAAGCATTTTTGTTCGTTTTTTTTTTTTTTCTTTTTTTTCTTTTTTTTATCAAATTTAAGGGTAAAAATTTAAAATGAAAATGCTTTGATTAAATTTTAAAGAAATTAATCTAATAAAGTTTTCATGAAACCAACTGTACACAAAGAATTTCGTTTGTACTTAGTTTATTACCTGTCAAACATTTACATATTCGATGCTCTTAGTTAAAACAACTGAATTTCCTCATATCACATATTATGATAGAATGTGTTATGTTACTTAATCAGTTTTGGGAAAGTTCTCGAAAATTGGGGAAATTCTGGAAAAAAATCTGGGAAAATTTTCAATTTATCACTATATGAAGTGGTCCGGAATGGTCAAAGTAATTCATGTAGATCTAATTTTAGTGAAGAAATTGGTCCGGGACTGTTTATACCATTAACCAAATTATACATTTTAAAGCTGCGGTTGAAAATCACTGGTTCTACATTAATTTCTGATTCGTTTGTACACTTAACTTATCTAGTGGGAAGGTTGATGATGAACCAGATGATGGAGAAGTGAATGATGATGGCCCGAGTGGTGCGCAAACTGCTGGAATTTCTTCTATATTCAAACCAACAGTTGTTCAAGTTACCGCCATTCACCCTGTCAAAGATTTTGAAACGCTCATCCAGAGAGGAGAGGATCATACTGAAGGTATCTACAGTTAATTATTAGCTTCTACTTTTACTTTCACATCCTAGCACATTTTAGAAAGAAAAATATTTTTTGTAACATAATGGTAATTAAAAATGGGCTACTCGATAAGATCTGAACTTGTTATAACCGTTATGTCTTTTGTATCTTTGCCATTCAACCAATGTTATTGGTAAACACCTATATCTTGTTTAGGTGGTAGTTTCTAGACTACTTGTTGTGCGATTCGTTTTCTTGGTGGATTTTGAAGAGCGAGCATGTTGCTTAGTACTTTAATGCATACCTCGTCTAGAGGCCCATTATTACCATCACTAACTATCAAGGCTTCTTTCATCTTATTTTTTGATGAGAAGGGTGAAGCTGATTCCCATGAATGAGAAATGACATGTGATGCAGCTTTGAACAAACTCTTGCATTTGTCTCATCAAACAATTTATTTTGTTAGGAGACAATTTTTAAACTCTTTTTCCTCTACTCAATCGGTAGAAATATTAATATGTGTAAAAACAATCAATCATTTATGAACTTATTTCAGGTTTTTAATCATGGAAATTTTAGCCCCCATCCCTTTCACCTCCCTCTCACATTGTGAAGTAGCTTTTCACCGTAAGCGCTATCATCCCCTACCCAGCGCTCAGCGCTGATTTTGGTTACAAAATAGAAGGTAAACGAACCAGCCAAAATATTTTTCATGCATCTACTGCAGCAAAATTTCCCTTTTTCTCCCTATATTGTATTTGTTAAATTAATCAAAATCACCTGCGGAGAATAGTGTTAAGTGTAAACTTTGTAACTTTCCAATTTTTGCCTTGATAAAAATAGAATCAATTGTTTATCTCATCTTTTTTTCCAGTGTGTAATCAGTTGAAAAAAGTTATTCTAAATTTAGCTAAAAGTATCAAAGAAAAGGAAGATTTATTGAAAGTCATTGCAGCATTGAAAACACTTAGAAAGAGCTGTCTGGGAGAAAATCCGGCTTTGTACAACAGTTGGTTACGCGAGTTTAAAACATTGGTCCAGGAAAGAGACTTGAAGTCTGTGTGGGAGAAGATTGAAGAAGGTAAGTAATGAGTTTTTGCTCTTTTTTCGAGCAATACAGTGCCTATATAAACTTAATTGTAGTTGGCAGTGATTTCAGTCGACTCTTTCTCATCCCCTTCTCTTGTCACTTAAAATCTTCTATGAAAAGAATAAGTTTTGGGTTGACCCTTTTTGACCAATCAGAAGCAAGAGCACTATCGCATGATTTGAGAAAGCAACTACAGTTGAATCAAATTGAAAAGATAAAAAGGAAGAAAGTTTTGTAGACATGTGTAGACTATTGTGGTTTCAATTCAAATTAATGCACACAAATCTGGAAATAGTGGTTTTTACGTCCAAAGTATATTTATTTATTATTTTTTTTTCTAGTTTACGATTGTACAGTTTCATGAACAAAACTAAATGGATTGAAGAAAGCACAGATAAACATGTCATTAAGTAACTCAGTATATTTTATGAGTTGAACGGGTGAAGTTAATCCAGCTGAAAATAAAAATATTCATTGTGATACAGGACATGGTTCAGACAGGAGTCTGTCTGAATTTATATTCAACCATTGTGCCAGAATTCATCTTTAACTTTTTTCTCTAAGTTGTGTTTACTTAATAATCTTGGAGAACCTTTCACACATAGATTAATTGTAAAAGAAAACAAATATTTAATTTTGAAATAAATCATTTTCTTCAGTTTTGACCTTTTTTCTATTTTTTAAGTTATTGCTTGAATGATTAGTAATCGGTGTGTTGCCTTATTGTTCTGTTTAGAAAAACTTGGTTTAATTTCCAATAAAGAAACAGCCAACAGTGATATTTCTGAGGAAGATAGTTTTAATTTCTTACAGCTGGCTTCTGCTCAAGTAGAACAAGAACTAGATGTGGATGTAAGTCACCTTTTTTCATCATTTTATTACACTTTATTTAATTTTGAATTTACTTCTTTATTTATTTACTCATTTTTTTTGTAGTAGGTCATGATATGCATGTGGCATCTGAGGTATAATAATTAAAGCACAGAAGCCAAACATATTGAAAATTGTTCTTTATAGTAGCAACAAGCAATGAGTTGGTTCTTTTGGTTAAGTGGTTGTAATCCTGGCTCCATAATCAAGAAGTCCCAGGTTTGATTTCTGGCCTGGCGCTAGCCTGGTGACGGATTTTGATGGTCTCAAACAATGGTTGTCTGGGGCTGGTTGTTGATTAGGGACTGGGGAGGTAGGGCTTTAATTGTAAGCGCAGGATTGAACCCCCCTTTTCCCCACAGAAGGGGGAGTAACTCCAAATTTGATACCGCGATGAGCTAAAGCCTTATATATTTTGGAATCTGATATTTTGATGCTTCAACTACACAATTTATTAATATATTTTAAAAATGATCACCTATCCTCTTCACTAAGTTTTAAAGCCTACATTGAATCTAAAAGCAATTAAGTAAAAAAAAATTTCGACATTTTTAAAAGCGGTTATAAGTGAATCAATGCAAATTAGAAGTACTTAACCTCAAACCTAAGGAAATTACAAAAGGTCTCCTTAATTTACTACCACTACTACTAAGCACATGTATTTAATATTTAACTCTATACGATGCACCTCATGAGATGTACTGAGTTGAGCCTAAAAGAGAGGTATGCCTTAAAATGAAAGGTGAACAAAAAAAAGATGCGTTGACGTTTGATCTAAAAGTATTACCTTAATCCATTGCATTTTCTCTGGATCTTTTTTCTCTCTCTCTCTCTATTCTTTCTTTTCTTTTTGCAAGATCTCTCAAAATGAATATTCTCAAAGTTAAACCATTCTCGAAAATAATTCATCTGCTTGAACTTTTCTATCAATGATTAAAACTTTTGTATGTTATAGATGGACGATCTGTGATCCTGTCATTATTTATCACAACACTTTTCAGGCACCAGGAAATACAACCAATCTGTGGTACTCATTATTTTAGCCTCCTTTTTTCACTATACTCATTTATATACCTTTTTTTAAAAAAAAATGTACATAATTTTAAACATAATTTTCAAGAGAAATCTGTGTAATATGTCTACATCACTCAGGAATTAAGTTTCTCTCAGTTCCTAAAAACTGTTTTTGGTTAATAACCATTGTTATCTCATGTCGTTAAACCTTATGCATTGTAGAGTAAATATAATTTTCATAATTTCCTCCTTCTTTTTTTACTCTTGTATGTTAGGTTCCTAAGTAGAAATGGTTACATATATCATTGGTTTTTCATATTTTTCTTCACCAATAGGGTGGGCTTAAAAATGGTTTTTTCTTGGAATCGTTTGCAACTAGTGGATATATTCTTTTGGGGTTAAAATGGTGAACATTGATAGGTATTCAGCTTGGTATGTTTTGGTATAAACAGGTAGATTTAGTTGTTTCATCATCAGTCAACATTTTCAACAAAAATGCATCTAAGTACATAAATGAAAAAGGTAGTTATCGCGCAGGAGGTGGACAAGTTAAGGAAATAACCGAAGATGAAAAGAAGGAATTATCAGATCAACAAAATTATATTTGACACTCAATGATCGTGTTATAACAATTAAAAGTGAGTCTGTACAAAACAAATGGTTAAAAATACTCTAATGACTCGAAATAACAAATGTTAACTTCTGATAAAAATAAACTTTAATTTGAACACAACTGCTGTTAGAAATGTACAAATTTATTTTAAAAAACGTTCACTTAAAAACCAAAATAAAGAATAGAATAGAAAGAAAAACTTGAGGAGAACAATGATTGATACTTCGAGAGCATCCAGAAATTCATTTGCACCTTTTCACTATGAGGGTGTTGCAAATTCTTCAAATTATTTTTATTATTACTTACAAAATCAACCAAGTTGATACATACAGAAATGATTTAATGGGAAACATAAGTCTTTCAGATGTTAATCTATATGGAGTGACTTAAGAAATTCACGAGTCAAACTATGGCACACTTCAAACTTAAATTGGGATTGTGCTCTATCTTAAGTAACCAAAGAGATGAATGGGTTCTCAGTCTTTCCACACATTAGTGTTTCCTACTCATAGAATGTCATAGGATACAGAATAACATATCAACGTTGAAATGACCAGACCATGTATCTCTAATGCAGTGTTTTGATATCTCCTTTGCTGTAAGTATTCCTTTTTTAATGGAAAACAAACAAAAATCATACTTTGAAATTTTTAAATAATACTCTTCAGACAGAGAAGAACAAGTTTTCAAGAAATGAGGTTGAACAGTTTTCTGCTGAAAAATTAGGTGTGATAGGAAGTATGCAACTACTCAAAGCGAGGTATGTGGTTCGGAAATTTCATCAACAACACAGAATGTTTCCGCCCCACTTCTATGATGACTCAAGTTAGATATATAAACTTAAAAGAGAAGAAACTCTGATGAGGTGGTTTTGCGTGTTGCAGAATTGTGTTTTGATAAATGATTTTGATGGATTGGCAAATGATAACAAAGTCTGTCTACATGTCAAGTGTACTTTAGAAGAGTTTGGTTTAGCAATTAGGGATGATCTGGTCATCATTTTTCTGGGGGTTATTTGCCACAGGACATCAAAATGGGCATCTGCTCATTGATATCCAGACCTAAATGAGCCGTTGATAGCTTTCATTGATAACCTTTAAAAATCCTATGAGTCATGACAGCTTTTAGCGGAAAGGAACTAAGTTCATTACAGTGTTTTCAAAATTGTACAATTCTTTCTTTTTCTGGAAAACACCCCAAAGTTAGAACACTTTTTATTTTTCTGTCAAAGAATTGTTAGTTTGAAGTAGAAAAAATTCATAAGTTTGATTATTGTACGTGCATTCAGTTTTCTTTATGGTAAAGTAGAAGTTACACGATTTTGAAAATACCGCAATGGACTTCGTTCCTTTCTGCTGAACGCTGCCCAAGAGAACATACTTCGGTGACTATTTCAGCAAGGATCCAAGTCATCAATCCCAAAAAAGATGCATTTTTCGATGTTTACAGCAATAAAATCATTCCAGCCGCCGAAATTGAAAAATTTCAACCATCATCGCAGTAAAGTATCAAAATTCCTTATACTTAATGGGTCTCTCCAAAGTTCCTAATGTTTTTTAGAGTTCTCTCCCCACAGTTAATTTCCTATTTTCTAGAGCTCTGGTTTCGAGAGCTTTTATTATTATTATGTTTTGCTGAAACTAGTTTGCATGATTGGTTGCAATCATAAGAACAAAAACAAATTCTGCGACAAATGCAACTTATCTACCTTTTAAATTCAATAATAAACAGAATAACCTCGAAGAGAAGTGGATCATGATACAAAAACTTTCAGTACATACTTAAAATAGCATGTTTTACCTCCTGGTTACTAGTTTACAAAATAGTTCCTATTTTTTGGGTCTATGATTGGCCTACAGGTAAGTTGGAAGCAGTGCTCTTTTGTTTTAGTAGGAACTGAAATCAATTTGACAATCACTGGACTAGTGCTAGCACTACCTACGGTACAAGTCCAAGTAATGAGATGTCATCAAGCTATAAATTCGTTCGTTGGAAGGCTATTCCGAATAGATTAGTCTCGTTTATCACATTTTTTCACTATTGAAAAAACATTCTTCAGAAAATACTGACGAATATGCAGGTACGCAGTGACTAAACTGGTCAAAACTACCTTTTTCTTAATCAAGTAATAAAATAGAAAAATTTACATAAACTTTAATGATTTTTCAACTTTAGAGACAAGTTAACGAGACAACCAAAATGAAGGGATGAAATAAGGAAGAAGGCAAAGGGAAGTTAATGATTAGGCTAAATGTAAAAAGAGACATCCTTCAGACAGACTAATTAATATCCACAGTGGAAAATACCTGAGCTGTCTAGAAAAATTGAAGCGACTAGCTTAAGTTCAAATGAGTTGCATGACTTAATAACACAGACAACCTTTAGAAAACTTCCTGCTTTGCCAGAAATTGATATAACTTTATGAACTACTAGTGAGTTACTTACACTAAAAGAGAGAAGTTTGTTCAGACAGGAACAATCTTTCCCGCCGAAAGCAGAGTAAATGAGAAGATTTTGAAAGGGCACTTGGAATGTAATAAAAAGATAAACAACTCTCACTATTTGATGGAGACCTTCATGGAAGACACCCACCTTTTTTAAAACTCTCAAAGAAAAAATAAAGGATTCATAGATAAATATCTTAGGTTTTCAAATGTAACACAATGATCTGCAAAAAATATTAAGTGATTCGATAGTTAAATTCAGATAAAATATAGTTCAAAAATCTCAATTTTCTAGAAATGAATAACAACTGGAGTTCATGTAAGATTAGTTAGCTGATTAAATGCAGTAGAGGATCTACTATCCCCACCTTTGCATTGGAATAAAATTCAGGAGTCAAGATGCTAATTCTTAGTAGTAATCTAAAAATCAGCCACCTCATTTGGCGCAAACTCTGATGCTTTTCTCATTTGACCATATTCGATGATGTAATTGATTTTTCATTTTTTATTTATTTCCTGACTATAGAAAATGTGCCTTACAACAAGGTATGAATTATGTAAAGTACTATGTGACATATGGTCTCGTCAAAAGTCCATAAGGAAAGCAAATGACACGACGGCAAGTCTGAAAATCAACTCTTAAACAAGTTAAAAGTGTTTACCATTAATATTAATTGAAGGGCGAAAATACAAATGGTGCGATTCATCTGATCAAATTTTCATTTAATCTGTATTTAAAATACTTCGTCATATCTCATTCAGGAGATGATTACTAAAGTTGCCGGTGTGTGTATTCCATTCTACAAGAGAATTTGTAGAAAAAACGTGCAACGTTTGTCTCTAATTCAGACCTTGTCTAGTGGTTCATTCTTGAACACACGAATAATTCAGTATTCTTTCAAAACTGATGAAAATTCACGATGTGTTTACAGAGTTTAGCTCTGTTGAGCAACAACTGTAATACAAGTCCGTAGCATAACTTATTAGAAAAAAGAAGTAGGAAAAAATTAAGTACCATCCTAGCATCACAGTATCGCAACTTTACTCACTGAGCAAAGAATTTGGAAGAGAGGCTCCTGGTTTCCTGACAAAACTTTAATTCTAGAGCACTCTTCGAAACTTGTCAGACAAGACATGCCTCCTACTGTCCCTTTCGATCATTCTGTCAATGCTTACCTTGCCCTTTAAAAAGGATTCAATTCCTCAAGACAAGATATTACAGTGAGGTTATAAACTAGTTCAATTGATTCTTGGGAAATAAATTGGATGACTCACACCGAAGAGACCATTTGCAGAAAAATGCTTGCATAGGATAGTGGACTTCTTCATTTCAATTACATACCTTCAATACTCAGAATTTTTCCAATTTGTAAGAGATATTTACTTTTCAGAGGTAGAAAATATTTTTTCTCCTGGTCCACAGAATTGCACTGGAACAGACAAAGTTGAAACAAATTAATACACATCAAATAATGGGAAGGGATTGCATACAATATTTATAATCATCAGAGTGAAACACAAGGGTTATTCTTGAGTTAATATAACCAGAGCACTGCAATATTTTATATTTTTAAACCACCTATTAGGTATGTTGTTACAATAAACTTATCCGACTACTTTCGATTCATCAGTTTACTAAACACAACTCAACCATCTCTTCGACCTCTGGAGACCGATGAGTGTTGGGCAGAAATGCTGGGTATTCATATGTAAACGTACAAGTCATTGAGTAATTCAAGCAGATTCTAAATATTCTGACTGATTAGCATTGTGTCATTCTATTTCCAAACGGTCCCAAACAACTTACTTTGACAAGGCACCTATTATTTTTCAACTGGTTATTGAATTGAAATCGAATTTGAACGCAAGACTTTCAGAATAGCAGAATTCAACGAAAGCACTGCCTTAGTAAGATGAGGGGCTTATTTATACCTGTTTGATTAATATGTTGAATACTTAACATTTTAGCATACAGCTAGTGCTACTTTGGATGTGTCACTGTGAATTTTTTTTCCCTTTAAGCCCAATTTTTTTTTTTCCATTACTTCGAGAGGCAAGAATGCAAAAGCCCATGTCTCATAAAATTTTAGCATACATTTTTTGGAAAAGTTTCATCCAAAGACTTGAAGAAATTCACCTTTTTAGTACTGTCTCCAGACATTGTTCAAGCCCCCGTCGAATTATTGAAGTTTAGAGAGAAATGTGTAAAAGCAGTTTTTCAATTCAGCATTTCAAGAAAACTTAATTCTGCTGCTAATAAGAATTGAAGGAAAAAAAATCACTTTAAAATGAGGACATACCACAGGTTCTGAGATGTTATAGTAGGATAGAGGCTTCAATGGTGGGGATGGCTCTTTAACCCATGGCTTCGACCGGAAGGCTGCGTTGACAGGAAATATGTGACCTTCTGTGCTAAATACGAATTTATCAAAGTTTTTGTTGACATGATTATCAACATCAAATAGCTGAAATAAAAGAAAGAAAGAAAGAAAATTACGAAATATAATGAAAATTTTAAGAACTGATCATTAATAACGGTCTAGGTGCTAAAAAATTGAAAATTGAGTGAGATGGTTTTGATGGTTTTTTCAGAGACCTCATAGATTAACCTACATTGATGTGAGTTTTCAATCTGACAAGATTTTAATTGATGTAAAAAGTCTTGATTTTTCACAATCCAATGAAATAATGTGAACTTTCTTGAAATCTGAGATGTCTTAGATGCTAGCATGACTTGCATAAAGTGAAATATCACAAAGCATCAGAGCATCTCTAATATATTTTATCATACAGAGTTAATATTTGATACAAACTTTTAGAAAAATGTTTTCCAGCAAAAAAACTGAGGCACTTACCAGGTACAAATATTTTGCAGTTTCAGACAGAAAGAAGCTCTCCATTCGATCTTCTAAACTCATGTCGAAAACATTATGAACGGTTGCATAGCCACATTCCGTCCTGGTAAAATGATTCAGACTTTCCAAAATATCACGACCAACGTGCAAGTAAAATGGACTTTTGGTAGCCTGAAATAAAAATTAATTTCAAATTTTTATTGAAGGGAAGACCTTCAGACAACTTAAAATGACTTTTTTCACTGTTGATTTAGATTTAATTCTCATTTCTGAATGTCCTTCTCAAGTTAAAATACACTGTCATTTTGGAATGTAATTTTTATGGGCAGGGTTGTACCTAACTCTCACATTAAAATTTAGGATTGTAATGAGCTCCAATTCAAATTCAGTGTAGCTCTTTTTGGCTAAAATGTAAAGGTAAAAACTTGAATACTTCGATTAAATACACACCTGATAGAGAATATAGGTTGATTCAATTAATTCCGGTCTAAGAGGGTAAAACTTGACATCAGCTGCTAGGCTTTTCCAATTCCATCTCTCAGGTAGAACACCATGTCTTTTCCAAATCAAATAATAAAGGGCGTGTGAGCATATAGCCTCTTCAATATCTCCATCTAAAACCTGATTTGAAAAAATAATTTAAAATTTGAATTTAGAATTTAACGATTAAAAAAAGGAGATCAAAGATGCCATGGTTCAAAACGAAATTTTACAATTTGATAAGAGTTGCCATTCAATGGACGTTGAGAAAAATAACATTAGTTTAAAAACATTCTGAAAACATTGCGCAAGAGAATCTTCTTACGAAATCAATACATTCCCTTCATACTTTGCAAAAATAAACATTTCAAGTCATTGTAAGCGAATACAAATTCAAATCCTCAATAATTCAGAGATTTAAAAATATCATGAAACCGAATAATTAAAAGTCCTTCGTAAAAATTTTAGTGGGACCATTTATTTGGTCTTCGATAAATGCTGGAATAAAGGACATTTTCTGAATTTTCCTGAGCTCATAGCTTTACTTCTGCGTTTAAAACTGTTACACATAAAAAAATGAGTTAACCTGAATTCCAGCAAACGCTGCTTGCAAGGAATCAATCCACGTTGATAAAACTGCACCAGTATTCATGTCGACATTAACAAAGAGAGGATGATCACCTTCTCCATTGTTACACTGTGAGCGTCTGAAACAGGATTTTTTAAATGCAACATAAGTTCATTTAAAGAAATAAACATCGTTTGAGGGAGTAAAAATATAAAGCCCTTGCAAACTATATGAAGCACTGATACAGAAGACTACTATTGAACATAGAGGTGCCATGGAATTGGCAGAAAAGAAGCGTATGAATTGTTGGGCGCCTGTACGTAGCATTTGCCATTGAAATGCTCACACAAAGTGAAGTAAACTTGAATGGAAAACTATTATAAGGACGAGATGCTATCCTAGCACGCACTAATACATACCCTCTTCTCAAATGCTGTTTGATATTCTGGTAGGCCTCATGAAACATTGCATAGTCTTCAGTTTCACCAAACATGATGTATGATTTGAGCAGATATTCATAAAAAGAATCTAAACCAGCACCTAAACCGCTTAAATTACCAATCCATTCACCAGACATAGCATCTATGACATTTCCTGTAAAAATGTAAGCACATACATCAGCACAATACTTGTTATATACAAATCAAAAAAGCTACACAGATAAGGATAAAAGTACTGAGAATATACTGAAAGTATTAATCATATCTATGCATATTTGACAAATTACAGATAATGCTGAGCTTACACTCTGACTAAAAATAAAATATAATAGTCAGTTGTACGAGACAAAATTTCCTTTCCAATCCGATGCATTTTAGATGTAAGTAGCTTGCCACCAACTCAGATGTTACCCACATAAATGTAGTTGCATCTTGGCTGATGGCCATCTACTTATGGACAAAACGCGTCAGATAAGACAGAAAAGTTCATCTCGGACAAGTGAGTGTATGTTTCAAACCTCAGTGGTTGGGACCTAGCCTGGTACTTTCCAAACAATTATATCAATCATTACACTCTAAGCCTTTCATACATCTGAAAAAGAGCAGAGAACTGAACAGTATAAACTTTGTTTTAAATGAGCATTGTTTGGAAATAATATTCAAACCAACCTTCATTTAATCAAAATATTGCTTCTTGAAAACGGCCACTGAAAAAAAATTGGACAGTACTTACTCCAAAAAGCAATTCTACAACTTTTTGTACTTTGTTTCTTTTTGTACAAAAAGAAACCAAAAAAATAAAATTTGAAACTATCCTTGAATACTCTCAAGGATTTTAAAAGGGTGCAAATAACTTGTTTTGTTTCAAATCTGGAGATTAAAAGTAAAAATAAATTAGGCAATGCAACTCAGGACTTGGAGAAAAGTAAATATTAAAAAAAAACTTCATCACTGTCATGAAAAATTACCTAGGAGTCCAGTAGATTTAGCCCGTACTTTCCACAGTGCCCTTATAGCGGTTCTTGCATAGCCCTCATAAACAGGGTCACCAAGAAGTCGACTGAGTAAACCCATCTCCAATAAAAGACTCCCTGCTCCAGCAGGACATGTCTCCGTGTTGCTAATATTTTTAGGAATTCCATGCCTTAGGTTTACCTGCATTTACATTAAAACAGTATTTAGATATAACGAATATGATTCTGCTTTAGGTTGCTTGAGATTTAAGCACAAGAAAGGGCCATGAATTGGATTAAATAGCACAATTTATCTTCAGTGTAGGTGAATTTTCTCCTGTCAAAAATTTGAAGACAAGAAAAATACTCTAAACATGAAAATGGTTGTAAAAATTTGTACTAGATTTTAAGTCTTATGGAGAATGAAACTCTAGACCTCTATTTTACGGTACAAACTTGTAGCAATTGATGCATTTCTGTTAAATGTGGTTCATTTAAAAGGGCAAAACCAGCAAACCTTTCCCAGAGTAAATTTTAAATAATGCTTTCCTTCATTGCTCAGAAAATATTCATTCAAAGAAAGTATGAATACTGTCTAGTGGTTAGCCAGAGCACTGTAAGTTCAAGTTGCTTACATATTTTAATAAAAATCTAAATACATTGTTGGCTGACACAGTTTTGACCCGTCCTCAAGGAATATGACATAACACAATATACAAATCACTACACTATTTGAAAAAAAAAACAAAAAAACTACATACATGCGTAATTTTGAACCCCCTGGGATGCACTCCTTAAAAGTTTTAAACTACTAAGTTCCACATCGATTTCACTGCAAAAAAAAAAAAAAAAAAAAAAAAAAAAAGATTTTCTGGTTTGTAAATTTGAGCAGTTTCTTTTTCACCCCTACAAATTTAACAGCCCACCTCACTAGAGTTCTGTTCATGAGCCTTTTTTTTTATGGATAACAAGCAGCTTTTGATTGATTGAGGTCATAATATAACTGGACACCCTGGCTAACTTCATAATTTTTTGGTACAAACCCTTGGTTGAGGGATGCCAGTTGGAGTATCTTCAAATGCAGGCAACAACCGCACTGCAAGATCATGAGCCAGCTGCAACAACTGTCCCTCATACCACGATGGTCGTACATCACCAAACGGTTGCTCTTCATCCTCAATGAGTAAATGGGCCGAAAGAAGAGCTCCGATTATTCTGGAAACAATTGAAAATAAGGTGTTAGTTCACAGGCAAGCATGATAGCAACGCACTCCAGAAAAATTGTGGGCAAAGGGAAAATCACACAAAAAAGCCTCAGTAAAAAATGGATGCTTGCAAGAGAGCTGTTACGGGCATCAGTGATTTGCAATTTGAGTGCTTTTCTTTTTTGTACAATTCTCTGAGAAACTTGATGATGTCACTGGTTTTCTATATGATACGTGATGCTCTGAAACTCAGAGGAAAAGTCCTGAAATCCAGAAATTATCCATTAATCAATGGACTATCAAATCTAACTTCAAAATGCTGAAAATACACCTTAAACTTGTGATAAATTTAAGATTGAAATAAATCATACCTGATATTAGCTTCAAAGACTTGTACTACATTGTCTTTATCAAAGTCAACAGTTTCAACAACAAGTGATACGGCACGCTGAAATTCGGTAGCATTGCCCACAATAGCTAGAGTGTCGAGAGTGTCCACTAGTGTAAGACAGTAATCGCCTAGAATATCATTTATGTTAATGTTGGACCTGAAAAACACAAAATAATGCTCTCAGAATGGTGTTAGAATTATTTAAAACATTATGTGAAATATTTATACGTTTAAAACGTCAAACAGGTTTACTACCTCATAAATGAGTTTCTTGCTATTTCATTGTTTGTGTATTTTCCTAAAAAGAGTATCAAATCATCTAATGAAAAATTATTTCAAAGGTTTTACAATGATTGTCAGTCCAAAATTGGATTGTTGCAAAGCTGAGAATTGACAAGGAATTTAAAACTGATCGATAAAAAATAATAGAAAAATAATAATACAAAAAAATGTGCGATCTAGAGTCCCTTTATACCCAGAGTTACGACAACTCACTTTTGGTTGGGCCAGGATTGGGCTGAAAGTGGCCTAAAAAAAAATCCAATTCTGATTGGTTCTCGCTCATGGAGGCCGAAACGAGTGCACCAAGATGGCGGTACCTCGAATGTGAACAAGAATAATGAAAATATTACCTAATTGTGGTTTATCAAGAGTGAATTGTTATTTCCATCGGTCCAAAATGAAAATAGATTAAGAAATTATTCACAAACCAATCTCATTTTCTTTTTAATTGATCACTTTGTTGATGTTGTTGTTTTTGTGTGACAGACATCGCAGGATTCCTGATCCTTATCCCTCAATATTGTTCGTTTGGGTGCACTCGTTTCGGCTTCCATGGCCAGTCAAGGACGGCTGCCAGTCAGCTGATAATCAAGTTGTCGTAACTCTGGGTATAAAGGGACTCTAGTGCGATCTACAAGCTCTCAGAGGGAATGATATATCTATAGAAAAATGTAAATTCTGATAAGTACAAATTGGATATTGAGTGTCTCCCTCATAAAGTTAGATCAATAGGCATTGATATCCAATTTTGATTTTCTCTTGGCAAGAAAGAGCCCAAAGACAGCATTCCTTCCAAGAAGCTTAAGCAGAAAATTCTAATGTTAAAACCCATCCCTGAATCTAGGAAGCTATCCTCTGAAAAATAGAATGCTTTAGAGTCTTGACCCAGGGCAAGGAGTCTCTTCACCCTCTCCTTCAGGAAGATCCTAACTTCCCAATCTTTTACTTCTCAAAGGAGTTAGATGAAAGACGGCATTTCTTATCAGATGGCCCATCCCTGGATGAAATCAAAGTGAGTCCCTGATTTAAAGGTCAACTTTGCAGGTGGCTGTAACAAACGATAATACTGAGTCCACGAGCAAATCTAGATCCATTGGGCGTTTCTAGGAGTATTTTACCGAAGATCAAAATTATATGCTAAATCTTTCACTCTTCAGAATTCACTGGTGCATTATGCAGACGTAAAGCATGCACCATGCAAATCTAAAACATGCTATTGGACTAGGCAATAAAATTTTTAAAAAAAATGAGTGCAACGATTTCTTATCGCACGACAACTTACGGATTTTCGTAATCTGGGCCCCGGCCTGTGCAAAGGATTGGATTGAGCTCATCCTTAGGAAATGCATGTTTCATGTAATTATCGTAGCCGAAATAAAACATTTCTCTAGCTTGATCCAACATTTTAATTCGAAGCTCTTCAGAGAATGAGCCATACTTGGATTCTAAAAAGTCAAGTGGTTGATTGGGTCGAAAAATATTGAAAGAGGTTTTTAAGGCAAGAGACAACTGAGCAAGAATACTGATAGAAAAACTGATGGACCAAAAGTAAAACATTGCAATTTTGAAGAAAACTCAGGAAACATACTGAAAAAGAAGACAAGAATTTTGTTTGACGTTATCGTTTTTCACTTGAACTGATAAGAAGTGTTGTGTTTACGTATTCGTTTGTACTTGTTTTTATTTTATTGTTCTTCGACCAATCACAAAGCACTTTGGTATAAACGAAGGACTGAAAATAAAACTCCCCTTATCATCGGAGCTCGAAACATCACCGATCACCAATTATCTTACGTCACATAAATTGAGCCAATCAAGAGAAAGCATTCCTTTCTGTTGACTCGGCAGTTCGGCTCCTTCGTCCTTCGTGTAAAATTCACCTTGTGTACATTCTGCAAATGCAAAATGGAATCATGAAATTATTTCACCGATCATTGCGAATTTAGACCTTTCTCAATCACGCTGTAAATGAGTGCTTACATCCAGTTGTTTAATATTTACCAGTGCTTCAGTGTTTCGTATGTGTTCATCTTTTCCATGGCACCGTGGTTTTAATAATGTGTCGCGATTTGACCGCGGTTCCCAGGTAAACAACATGCATCTCATTACTGGGCGTTACCGCGTTTGAAATAACTGTTGGAGGATAATTCATGAAGATATCAATTTATTATTCAACCCAGTCAACTATTCCAGTGCATTTTTAAATGTCAGGATAGTTTCAAGTACTATTGCCGCTAAATCATGTATTTTACCAGCTGCCCAGTATGAGAGACCACTGCAGTAATTAATGTTATGGCCTAAGGCAGCTTATGACTCCATGAGATGTTTGATCGCATTACTCTCCAATGAAAATGATCGCGCCGTTCCTCATTTTACAACGTTAAGCTCATATGAAACCCTAAAAATTTCGAACATTTACACTGAGAGGAGAAAAGAGATATACACTGTGTTACCTAATAGTAACAACATGGTTCTACGGTGTTACTGCCAACCTTTAAATAGCTGTTTGGTCGTCCGTTTGTTTTTTCTATTTTGTTGCTTCACAGTATAAGTATGCTCCAGCAAGCTATTTCTACTGTGAGATAACTATGCGCCCGTCTCTATTAAATTTTACTCATCCTTTTACTGTCTTCAAGTTTAGTGCGCGAGGGTGTGGTTTCAACTTCACCGATACACGTAATTCTTGATGATATCTCATGACTTTGCTGAGTTTTGGCCCTTCATAGAGAATTTTGCTACCATTTCCCCAGTTTGATGGATCACAAGGTCATTAAGCCTTATGATTTCAAAATTCAGGCACAACCTACCGAACCGTCCAGACCTGGTGATTTCATATGTAGGGCGTTTTTTTATCCAAACCGCAGAGGATCGCTACGGAATGCATCACTTTTTTATCCCGTTCCAACTGTTCTAGTAGAATGCTTAGACCACTCTTCTGAAGTGGGTTGAGGCCGCGGTTAGGCCGGTCGAACTGGCCCGAACCGCAAGGATCTCGATCCATGCATTCTATGGATAAAAAAAAAGCCCTTCTCAGTGGCAGCTTGATGTTATAGTTTCGGGAAAATGTAGCCAATCTACCTCTCAATTTTTCTTTCTAGTATGGGCAGCTCATTTCTTTAAGAGGGTAATAACTTTCACCCAAAGGAATCTAAAAGCTTTAATGATCCTTATTTTTACTTGCGCACTTTTTAACCTGTATGGAGTTCACCCCCAAAGAAATGAACGTAGTTAGAAGGTGCCTTCCAGTTTGAGTATTGCATTTCAATCAAAGGCAAATATTAAATGAATAGTATCAAATTAAGGAAATTTAAATACACTCCAAATCTTCATCTCACCATAACCCCTCAAAGTACCTTTCCCTCCAGTGATGTTAACATGCTTCATCGGTCTCTTCTAATACTTTCACTACTATGTATCTTTGAAGCCTGCAAATTATATGCATGTTTTGAGCTCACCATATGCAAGCTTATCAGAAATGTTTTAACTTTTTCAGCTAATATTTACCTTGCGTTGTGTTTCAATCTTTTTCAGTAGGAAAATGACTATGTCAGTCGTTTTGCTTTTATGCTGCCTCTTCGGCTCCTCGATGAGTCAAGACCTGCCTTATATGACTGATCAAGATCAATTCAGTAACAGGCCACCTACTTGGAGTCCTGAAAGAACTCGCTTCAAGCCTGACTTCAGCGCAAGTGGAAATTTGCCGACCAGTGGTTCAGGGATCTGGTCCAGCTTGGATAACAATTTAATCATTCAAGAAGCGTAAGTTACTTGAAGTTTCCCTTGCCTTTTGAAATTTTAAACACTGAAGTGCTTTAATTAAATAATTTTAAGTTGCATTTTGAAGATTTGTTGATGATATTCATTATTGGATGCAAACTCCTTAACAGTGAGATTCAGATGGCTATCAATTACTTAAATTTTAAAGGCTCTTATTTTCAAAAGATTACTACAGTTGAAAAAGTGAATTAGTGCTTCGCAAAAATAGACGAGTAAAATTTTCAGCTGAAGCACCTGCTTCCTTTATTTTTGAAAGATAGTGTGGAGTGGTCAAGGATATGTGAATTAACAGCAATGTGTCCAGTCTATTGACCACAGCCCACCATGGTCACTTTTTATATCTATCTATCTATCTAATCTAATGGAGCTTAAGTTTCCATTTACACGTCTTCTCAGGATTTCATTCAGTGTCTTGATTCTAAAAATCAGAAGTGACATGATAGTGTGGCGGTGCCGTAGGAATTTTTGTATAAATGCCAACTGTTTAGCGTGCAGACTAACTAATCACAGGGTATTTCGAGCACTCATCATGAAAAACATAAAAAGGCGCAGTGCACGTACAAGTACTATTTATTAAAAACAAAAAACTCGACATGCATAAACACTTCAAAATTTGAACGTTCAAATCACAGTTTCCATGGATTGCTGTAGTGCTAGCGCTTCCTACTGGTTAAGTGTTAATAATTAGTACTTCCGAATTATTTCTGTAGATGACCAGCACATAGCGCCTCTATTGCCCAGCAGGGCGTTGAGTACATGCTGTTTATTTCTATCACTAGGACTGGTTTGGCAGTGAACAAGTAAAATTTCTGCTTTTTTCCTTTTACAGCCTCTTGTGCTGTGAAGATTGTAATACTTGCTCTATGATCAGGAGGTCTCAGGTTTGATTTCTGACCAGACAGTGTCAATTCAATGGTCTCAAGCAAGGGTCCCCTGTGACTGGGTATAATTTAAAGGACTGGGGTATCGAGCTTGGGTTCATCTCTTACAGGCTACTCGAAGTGGCGATTAAAAAGTACTTGATGCATCAAATTTTTTCTAATACCTACAAAAGAATAAAAAGAAAACATCGAAGAATCTCACACCTTTTTTTTTGCTCATATTTTTTCAGGAGTTATTTCATCGTTGCCAGCCGCGTCGTTCGTCCAGGGCAAGTGTATCGGGTCGCAGTATCTGTATACCACTCCAAAAGTCCTCTAACAGTTCGAGCCTCAATCCAACGAAATCGAGTAGAACTAAGTGCAGATGCAAAGTCTATCAAATTGGACATTCCAGAAACATTAATCTTGAAGGTATGAACCAAAATGTCTTTAAATTATACACCATTGGCATAGCATGATTTTATTTATGATGACCTATAAGTATCTCATTGTTTAAAGTAGAAGGGTTTGCATTTATTACGCTCAGAACCTGCTCCTAAAATATAGAGCTCTCCAATGATTCAACATAGGTTGTCCCAAAAGCAATGTTACAATCACAGTTAAAAGAGAGAGAGAAAGAGAAAAGAAGCTAGATACTGGCATGCAGTTTTAAAAGGATTCTAAAATATTATTATGGTTGTAGTGAGACCTTTTGAACTCTTTTGGTAAAAAAATTCACCAAAATACAGCCTTAAGAAAATTTTAAACACAACGCCTGTACAGTGGATCAAAGAATTAGAAGCGTTTGCGGTGGGGCATTGTGCCTCTGTTGCTACTCCAACCCTTCCTACCGAAACTCTTAGAAGAATGAATCATATGATTTAAATCAGAAAGTGAGAGAAAAACATTTTTGCAATGCTTGTAAACAATGTAATTGGTTTCCACTTTGAAGTATTAATTTCAATTTACTTGAGAGAATTTTGCTGTTCCTTTCATAGTCTTGAATTTCTTTCTCATTTACTTTAACTCTCGATTTCATTGTTTCTCTTCAGGTTCCACCAACAAGTGTTCCAGGTGAATACAGATTGCGAGTTGAAGGACTTTATGACAATACTCTTGGAGGGGCAGCTTTTGTGAATGAGACAAAGCTTCATTTCTCCCAGCGAGCCATGACTGTTTTTATTCAGACTGATAAACCCATCTATAAACAAAGTGAAACAGGTTTGTGAAGCTTCCTCTCTAGCTATAAGTTTTCATTTACCCCCTCCAACAGTCATCAAGTTTATCATGGCAAGAATACATATTATAGTTGCCATTAAACAATAAATTTCATTGACAAAGCATACAAATGAGTATTAAATATTTTAATATTCCTATTCCTAAAGATTGATCAAGTTTTTTCTTGAAAATATGTAGAGTTGCTCACTTGGAAATCTGAGAATAAGACACTCCCAAACAATTTAACTTAGATCTCTTTTATCTTCTAACGCCTTTGATAATTGCATCTGTTCCAACAGATGAATAAGAAAAAATATTATTTTCTTGAAAAGAGTGACCTTGATGGAGAAAATATTGGTTTTTTATTGCAACTTTACGCCGCAACATCCATACCTGACTAGCTCAGGAAAGATCAACTCTTCCTGAAACCCAAGAGATAGTGGAAATGTCTAGCAGAATCAAACAAAAAGCAGGGAGGTTTGCATTCAAGGGTTTGATACATTATATTGTTGCTCTGTGTTCTTTGTTTCTTCGGTTTTTAGGATGCATTATTTTCAGGTCATAGGTTTTTTGTCTAACAAATAGTCATTTCAAAAAAATAGTTACCCAACTAGAATGTGATATTGAAAGTTATGAAATGCATTATTTTCAACAATATCCGTATTTCCTTGTTTCAGTGAGATTAAGAGCCATTCCGATCAATACTGAACTTAGACCTTATGAATACTCTGTTGATGTGTACATGTTGGACCCCAATCGTCACATCATGCGGCGGTGGCTTTCCAGACAGGTAAATTGCATGCCCAAATGATTATTAAAATCATACAATTATTCAAGCATTCTTAGACCAACTAATAGATTAATCAAAAAATTATTTGCGTCTACAACGCCTAACTTAATTTGGTTAAGCTTTCATGTATGTAGTTTTCATGTACTTTTAAATCTGCATTAATTCTCTTAAAGCTGTATTTCTTAACTGAAATTCAAATCAAATCTGCTTTGCGCATTGAAAATGTCGAAAAATTAATTACCCCTTTTTGCCGTGTGACTTCCTACTTCCTATTCAAAAATTTTCGAGGGTCCTATCCTAAATATTCACCAAACTAGTATATCGATGGCTGTTATGCTAAAACACATGTCTCCGGTTGCAATATAGCTGACTTTCTGTCATACTTCATGTTTTCTTTGGAAAACTAGCCAACGCACTTTCCTAACAATTATTTAAACTTTCTTATCTGTCAGCAGAATATGCTGTATAAATTTCAAGCTATCAAGTTGGCTTGTTTCTTTTTGATACACTAAATTGTAGCAGGAATTCTGAAACACATCAATGGAGATATGTATGTGATTTTGCTATTTGGCCATCAATATTGCCTGAAGAACCATGTATATTAGCGTAGGAAATAGTGGACACTTTTGAAATGACTTTTCCACATATGTGATCATTTCGAATTTATTTTAAATGATAAGTGGACTTTACACAGCTCTTTTCAAATAAGTATTGAGTTCTAACGTTTTTTCTTTGTTTTTCTCTTCCTCCTAGTCCAACTTGGGAACTGTGAGTTTACAATATCAGTTGTCTGACCAGCCTGTCTTCGGTGAGTGGACAATCCAAGTCGTTGTTCAAGGTCAAGTGGAAGAAGCCAAATTTACAGTTGAAGAATACTATCAAACGCGTTTTGAGGTATTACACCAGTCTCTGGTTTCTTATTGTAATTTTCCACATCTCTTTACTCTTTACTAAAAGCTGCACAAATGCATTCCATCTCTGAAGAATTGATAAACATAAATCAGAACATGCAAATCAAGCAATTTTTAATACTTTGAAAGATTTTATACCGCAGCAGATTTTATGAGTTAAGTCCAAATCTAATCTAAACCTGATTCAGTGGAGTCTGTTGCACACAAGAGATAATGTCAACCGAGCAAACGTTTTTTAGTTTAGTTTAGAAGATCACATTGAGCTAATGGAAAACGTCTAAAATCTATTCCTCAATGCAAAATTTGTGCACTCCATAAGTTGCATTGCATTTCCCAATTTACGGCGTCCATAGGCACTTTCCTTAGCTGTTAGCCACCAAATTTGCTCAGAGAATGATGTAAGAAAACCTACCCTAAGTATCTTTCATGTACTTAATTATAATAATATCTCTCAACTTCTCCATCTGTAACTCTCCTCAATCTCGTATTTGGGGATTATAATGAGTCCTGTAGAATGCTGCAACATTTTGGCGTCAACAGATAGTCATGGGTGCTTTTTCGATCACATAAATCGTTTTGGATTTTCTTTGAAAAAAAAAAAAAACGTATTTATTTCAACTTTTACACTTACATTTATGCATTTCATTTTTATCACCCAGTCTGAATGAGAAATGAAAAACTGCAAACATCCCAGAATTCTGTTTCAGGAAGATGACGAAATTGAGGATACCATCCTCATATTCTAGTTGTTCCTCTGACAAGCTTTCTGTTTTCCTTTATTACTACCCGTTCCCTTTCATCTCAATCTATCTATCTATCTCTCTATCTACAAATGCATTTATTTGTTAAAAGAGCATTTATTCACTTTTTCCTTTTCTTATTTTTTAATTCAGGTGAACGTCACCATGCCGCCCTTTTTCTTCGATACTGATAGATACCTCAGCGGCTTTGTGATGGCAAATTATACGAGTGGTGGTCCAGTGGATGGTAATTTAACTCTGAAAGCCACAATACGACCAGCAAAAGGGTACATCAGTACTTACACAAATGAAATCCCAATTGTTGAGAAGTATTTTAACTTTGTAAGTATTCTTTTGTCCATTTTTCCTCTTATTTATAAAGCTCTCAATTAATGCTCGTGTAACTTCATACTTTGAATGAACTTTCAATCCATACTTTAAATGAACTTTCTATCTTCTTGTATGAGAGCGCATTCCATGTCTCTTGTCTTGTAATATTCACAATGCTTTTACAGAGTAATTTTTAAGTGTTCCTTGATCAAATGCATTTAGACACCTGCTGCGCCTTAGCATAATCAAGGACCTGGGAAATATGTCAGGGCTTGAGAAAAATGTCTTTACATCTTGATATTACTTAGCTTTGCGATTGAGGACTTTTTTACGTCATTAAAATTTTTCGAGAGCTTTGGCTGTAAGGAATCAGAAACTACTCACAGATTGAATTATTACTTGAAACATCTGAGATATGAATTAAAGTAACTTATTTTTTGGATCACCCTCTTGGGAAGTTTTTTTGTCAAAATTTCAAAAGCTACTTTTTCAGCCATGTTGCCATTTGGGATTAAAAATGCTTTTCCCTGTAAAGGGTCGCATTTATAAAATAAACCGCAAAATTATTTTTCAGATTAATGTCCTTTTAGACCTCATTATCCGATTTGAGCTCGAACTCACTCTAGTGCTAATTTTTTTTCCTCACAGGATGAATCGTATCCATTTTGGTTTCCCCGCCCGACTGAATATGAACGAATGGCCCAGATTCCTCATTTAAAATTCGTAAGTAACTTCATGTCAGTAAGAACTGCTCCTCTAATACTTCTAAGATTTTGTACCGTCCGTCACACCTTTACCTGGAATAATAGAAGAGAAAAAAATATCCAGTTTTCCTAATCTGCTGAAAAATTCTTTCTTTGACCAATTATTTTTAACAGAAATGAAGTAGATAATATGTTTTACTTGTTCCTTACCAACCCATTGCCTCATGTTGACGACTATTCTTGTTTTGGTTGCTCTGGGCTCAAATCAAAATGGACCAAGCAAGACTTTTTTTGTTACCTAGCAGTATCATTCATTGTGTGGCTAAGGATGTTTCTTGTTCACACTTGAATTTAAAAGTCTGACTAGCCCAACACATCTTTGTATTGTATTTTTTTTTCGTAAAATTTAGTTTCACTAAACCCCATTTTTTTTGGCAATTTTCTTGGTTTGACAGTTGTGAAGAAGCAAAGTGAAAGCCTTTCAGCAGCTATTTTTGAATTCTTTGTCTTTATCCAAGGCTAATAATCAACAATTACTGCCCGCTCTCATAATCTCTCTGCAATAACTTCTTTGACTTTTGTCACATGTTTCAATAGAATATTTATCATTCTTTTTATTTTTTTTTAGTTTTACGGTGTGTATCACTTCAAGTATCCACTAAGTGAAATAGAGAAGTATGTCCCATCACTTGAAGGAATGGAAATCATGGTCACAGCCACTGTCGGTGATCGATTTTTAGACGAAATCATTGAAGGTTATGCTGTTTCTAGAGTTTATAATTCCTCTTTGAGAGTTTCTTTCCTTGGTGGATCTCCGCAAGTTTTCAAACCCTCAATGCCGTTCACTATTTACGTAAGTCAACAACGTCCTCTAAAGTTATCTAACATTCAACTTACCCTCAACAATATAAAACATTGACAACTCATCACCATCGACAAGTCCCGCTATGTCGATCATTTATTAACCTTTTACCTCAGTATTTCCATCATTTCAATTTCAATTTCATGAAGATCATATACAAGGTATATCCTTCCTAATTTATTAATTCGTACGAATCTAAATCTTACACCTCCACTTCTCAATCACATCTGAAAGTCTCCAACTTATTTAAGCACCCCATTCGCATATTTCATCATGATAGAAAATATCAGGTAAAATGTCCTTCTCTCCAACCCCATCTTTTTTTACTCAATTCGTGTAGGTATGATCAAAAGTGAGAAAAAGTATCCGAAATTGATGACCAATAATGATAAGCTGCATCTACGACTTTGAAATAATTACTCATTGTTAGATCTATTTCTTTCATGTTCAGAGGCCCCAAAAATTTAATACCTCTAGAGCAAACATAAGTAGTAATGATTTTCATTAATTTGCGTCACAGATGGCAGTTTCATTCCAAGATGGCTCCCCTCTTTCACTCAATCGGTTATTAAACGGCAGGATGGAAGTGAGTGCAGATGTTGGAATGCGGTCAGGAGGCCGGCGTAATATCGAAAATCAAGAACTGAAAATGTCTCAAGATCATGAAGGTGTTTGGGCCATGAAAGTTGACCTGAGCACCCAACTTGGTTAGTTCTTTATGTTCTGTTTATTTTATTTTAATGATCAATCAAATCCAAACTTGGGCCTCGCACAATTGGATCGGTGATCATGAAAACACTTGGAAAAATTAAAGGCGTAAAAAACTGCACAGTAAGTGAATAATTTGGCCGAAGAAAAAGCTCTTTGGTGCCAAAGAACTAGTGCTCTGGAACACTTTAGAGACCCAAGTTAACATAGATGCACCGTCCTTAATGGCTTTTATGAAAATTGGGTATTTTTAAGTTTCCGGGTTGGTGTGTTTTCATTCTCCCAGATTCAATTTATTACAGAGTATCAACAGGTCACAATAACATATAAAACGAGGAATTGTCATTCTGATATGAAAAAGACAAGAAACTTGAAATCTGAAAAAACATCAGTGGATCTAGAGGAATAATTTTCATTAAGGAATTGCAATTTTAGTTACTTGAACGATTAATACCTGCCAAACATCCCTTTTTGCCTTAGGACCACCTTCGCTACCTTGAATATTAGCTGAAATCAGAATAATCTCTACTTAAAAACAAGGACCATATTTTATTGAGCCTTAAACCCAGAAAAATTCTGCATACACTTGAAGAACTGCATGTAGTACCGTCTGCTAGTTGTCGGGGAACATAATGCTTTTATCAAAATAACAGAAGAAAATTTATCAAAACTATTCTCCACGGACTTTGTGACCTCCAGCATTTCTTGGAAAGCATAGAACTTGTACAATCCAGTTAAATGTGGTCTCACTACGCTCTGTAGTATTCAATTGAATACTGGAAACATGCATTTTTAATATTCTTTCTTTTTTTCTCAGGTCTTGATGAAAATTCGCGAGCGAATGAAATTCTCCGTGACATCGAATCAATGAGAGTTACTGCCAACTTCAAAGATATTTCAAGTGAACGGGTTACTGCTGATCTACTTTTGCTGGCCCACTACTCTCCATCAACTCATCAAATCAAAGTCTTAACCTCAACTGAGAATGCCAAGGTACAGTGCATTGTTTGTGAAGAGTCCAATGTTATGGTCTAGTTATTTTAAATTTCAACGTTGATACTTGGTAAAAGTAACATGGCTTTTTTGTGCGGCAGTAGTAATCTGATGATGGCTACAACCTGTAGTGATGTCAGATGGGTCAGTGAAGTCATTTTTTTTATTGAGTCATTCAAGGGTATTAAATGAGCTAAGCTCACTGATTTTCCCCTAATTTTATTTGATAAAGGCAACCAGCAGAAAAATTCTCTTACAATTGCAAAAAATTAGGGTAGCCAAAACAGAGGTTTGAGTTTCACGCTTGCTGCTTTTAAATGAATCCATCATGACATTTGTGTCATAACAGACCGCCAAAAACATTGCTTCAAATGGGTTTAGATTTTGGCGATTTTAAAATTGATTATCTTCGTCAATTTGAGTTAAAAAAACGGAAAAAATTACTGGGAGCTTTACTCACTCAGTACTTCAAGAAAATTTTAAAAAAAATTAACCCTAAGTACTCATCTAGCAACTATGAGTCAGGTGATTTTCAGAAGAAGCACCACCCAAGTTGACCGCAAGGAAAATTTGAAATCTCTATTGCTGTTCTCTGTTTCATCTACGTACGTAGTCATGATATTCCTTTATTTTTCCATGTATGTTTTGCCGCTTAAAATGTTTTTTAATTCATTTCTATTTTTCATCCTATCTTTGAGATCAGTCAAAATTGACCTCTGACCCTTTTTTTTTTACCATTTTTGCATTTTGCTTTGAGTTTTTTAGTAATTTTTTGGAGTCATTTAATTACATTCTAGATAACTCCATAAATATTAATTTTCTAAGTTCCTCTGGACTGACTTCTGCTATGACAACATTCAATCATTTGCTAATTACTTCTCGTATTTTTCCAGGTGGATGAATACATTATATTCCATGTGCAAAGTAACTTCAGGATGGAAATCTTCAACTACATCATTCTGTCGAAAGGTATCGTTCTCCTAGCTGGTCAAGAAAATATGCAAAACTCAGTTCGTACTTTTGCCGTTGCTTTATCTGCTGAAATGGCTCCCTCTGCCACTATTGTTGTTTATAATGTTGGTAATCATGGAGATGTTGTTGTAGACAGTTTAACATTCCCTGTGAATGGTATTTCTAGGAACAACTTCACTGTTTTCATCAACAATCGCAAAGCAAGAACAGGAGAAAGAGTTGAAGTGGCCATCTATGGTGAACCCGGAGCGTACGTTGGGCTCTCAGGATTAGACAGACCTTTCTTCAGTTTACAAGCAGGTAATGAACTTACTTATGCGAAAGTCCTTTTAAAGATGGATCGATTCGACGAAGAAGGTAATGGTACTTTCACCCACCTATTTTATTCTCATGAAGGAGACCCTGATGATATTGTTCATTACCCCTCTTCTACATATGGTATTGATGCCAACAGAACCTTCGAGTATGCAGGACTGGTGGTCTTCACTGACATTGTTATTCCTCATCGTTTAGACCAATGCAATCGCAGTCTTGGATTATTGGAATGTTTGAATGGACGCTGTTATAGATATGATAAGCGCTGTGATGGACGTTTAGATTGTGAAGATGGGACTGACGAAGCTAACTGTCCTCTACGAAATTTAACTGATATTTCATTGTTCCGGAAGAATCGTTTCAACCGTATTCAGAGACATTATGAACACGTTTGGCTATGGAAAGATATTAATATTGGACCTCATGGAAGATTTTTGTTTGATATTGATGTACCTAAGCGCCCTGCTCATTGGATGATTACTGCTTTTTCAATGTCACCTAAATTAGGATTCGGTATGATTAAGAAACCCATTGAATATAAAGGAATTTTACCATTTTACATCAATGTTGAAATGCCAACCACCAGTCATCAAGGAGAACAAGTTGGTATTCGTGTAACAGTATTTAATTATATGCTCAATGATATAGAAGCAACAGTTGTCTTGACAGGATCAGACGATTACAGATTTGTTCATGTAGAAGAAAACGGTATTGTGCGGTCGTATAATCCTCGTTTATCTCATGGAGAACATCAGTTTTTCATTTACATCAAGCAGCAAGACACGCAGGTTGTATTCTTACCAATAGTTCCTGTTCGTCTTGGAGAAATATCTGTTACTGTTTACGCATCTACTCTGATAGGGAAGGATGTTGTAACAAGGAAATTGAACGTTATAGCAGACGGTTTGCCGCAGTACCGTCATGAGTCAGTCCTACTTGATTTGAGTAACAGAGCATACACATTCCAGTACATGCATGTCAATGTGACTGAAACTCCAATTATTCCTTATGATATTGATCGGTACTATGTTTTTGGATCAAACAAAGCTTTTGTATCCATCGTTGGTGACGTTGTCGGCCCAATCTTTCCGACAATGCCTGTAAATGCCACATCACTCCTTGAGCTGCCAATGGACTGTGCAGAGCAGACTATGTTCAGTTTTGCAGCCAACCTCTACACCACCATGTACATGAGGCTCATCAACCAGCGCAATCGAACGCTAGAAAAAGAATCGTTTTATCACATGAACATTGGATACCAAAGAATGCTTTCATTTATGAATCCTGATGGCTCGTTTAGTCTGTTCCGTACTGATTGGAACACGTCATCGAACAGTGTTTGGTTAACTTCATTTTGTGCCAGAGTTTTCCAGGAAGCTAGTTTCTATGAGTGGGAAAACTATATCTACATTGATCCAGTTATCATTGCCAAAGCAGTCAGTTGGGTGTTGCAACACCAGACCATAGATGGAGCTTTTTACGAGATAACTTGGTTACCTGACAGGAAAGTGAACAGTACTACCAATTGGCCCTATGACAACGTCAAGTATCGAAACATTTCTCTCACCGCACACGTACTCATTACCCTAGAGACAGTGAAAGACTTGACTGGTGGGCTCGGTGCTGAGGTTGCTAATGCTCAGAAAAAAGCTATCTCTTGGCTCGAAAGGAATTTGAAACTTCTAGAGCAGTTTGGTGAAGCATACGAAGTAGCAATAGTTGCTTATGCTCTCATGTTAAGCAAGGCCTCCTCTGCAGAACAAGCTTTCAGTATTTTAGTGCGCCATGCGAGAACAGAAGGTGGTTTAACTTGTTGGGGAAAAGGTGACATTCCAGCGCCGCCGTACAAAAATGAAAATCAAAAACCGTTTTTACTACCAAGATTACCGAATGCATACGATTCATTGAATGTTGAAGCTACAGCTTATGCCCTATTAGTGTACGTCAGCAGACAAGAGTTGATGATAGACTCTGTTGTGAAATGGTTGAATACTCAAAGACTTACCGATGGAGGTTGGGCGTCCACTCAAGATACAGCAATGGCAATGAAAGCTTTAATAGAGTACACCAACAGACATCGATTAAGGGACGTGACTTCGATGGCCATCACAATTGAAGCCACTGCATTACCTGGTCAAGTCAAAGTGCTGGAAGTGAATCAGAAAAATATGGCCACATTGCAAAGAATTGAAATTCCTCATGCTTGGGGTACTGTCAAAGTTCAAGCTAAAGGTGCTGGCTATGCTATCCTACAATTGTCCACTCAGTACAATGTTGACATTGCCAAATTCCAAACTGCTCCACGTATTGAATCATTTGGCGTGAAGGCTTGGGCTCATTTCCATGGTCGCAATCAGTCTCACATCACGTACAATGTTTGTCAAAAATGGACGCTTCTCAACGAATCAGTTCGATCTGGAATGGCTGTTTTGGATATAGGTATACCCACAGGCTACATAATACAGCAGCAGAAGTTGGACTCCTACATCTTATCTCGCTACGTTCGTAATCTTCAAAGAGCCCGTTACCAGGAGAAGAAAGTTTTATTCTACTTTGACTACCTAGATGAAGAAGATATTTGTGTTAATTTTACAATCGAGAGATGGTTCCCAGTTGCTAATATGTCCCGATACCTGCCAATTCGTGTGTACGATTATTATGCGCCTGAAAGATTCAATGAAACAATATTCGATGCACTACCTACATACCTATTAAATATCTGTGAAGTTTGTGGAAGCAGTCAGTGTCCGTACTGTCCAATCTACAACTTAGCCGTAACCCTTGCCAGGCCAACTCTTCTGTTAACGATATGTTTTTCCATAGCTGTTTCAGTATTTTCTCTGACACGGTTTAACAGCAGTTAATAATTTCCTTCTTCACTTTGTTTCCTTCTGATCAAAATTCGAACAATAATCTTACTTTTGCCCCTGCTCCTTGCTCTTGAGTTCAAGGATAATATATAAACTAAGTAAGGCGTTGATCGATCTTGTACATTTCGTACGGTGTATAGGTGTTTTAGCCAGACAACACCATTAACTGATTTTACCATAGTTTGTAGGCTTATTACGTTCTAGTACCCAAAGTCGATATTTTGACTGAAACCCATTGTGTTCCTAAGAGGGCATGAATCTCTATTTTCCATCCAAGTTTCAGGATCACAACTTATCTTCTAATTGATGCCTTGATCTATACTGTACATATTTATTGCAAATATCATCATTTGCATTTTCCTTCTCTCAGAATGTTGATTTTCGTGAAATGACATAATAAAGTGAGAAATAATGTTTGTTCTTGTTGCTATGCATTATTTTTGGCTCTTGCGATTTTTCATTCAAATTTGATCAATTCTTTCCTCAGTTCAAATGCCACGCGTTTGTCACATTTTGAGAAAAGGAATCCGGCCATTTTTTATTTCCTATTTTTTCTTCTTTTGACAGGAATAGAGTTTTGAAAATTCTCTGTTCAGCTGAAGTATTTCAAGTTTAAATTTGTTTAATTGATGAAATCTTTATTCACTTCATCACGGTGAATTAGATAATTTAATTGAAAGAGTATTCTCTCTCCGTCCAATCAAGAAATTATTTTTTTATAATTGAAAGTCATAGTTTATTAAGTGAAGTAGAAGAAAAAGAGCTTTTGAATTTTCATGCACTCAAGTTCAATGCTGTTATGAATGAAATGCTCCTGTTATGATGATGCTTTTCTAGGTGCCGTTGTTTTGTCTGTTGAGCAGGCATTTTTTCAATCCTGTAGTAATATTCATCAAGGGACATGGTTTTCGGAATTAGAAAAAATGAACAAACAAGTAGTCAGATAATATGTGCGAAGACTATTGTTACTCTTTTACTTTTATTTTATAATCAATTCACACTACTTCGAAAGTGCCCTGTTGTGACAATTATCGGTATTTTTAGTGGCAAAATATCTTGTACAATTCTGTATCTATATTTTTTATTTTCTTCGTGTGTTAAGTTTTATACTTTTATACTGATTTCATACTTATTTTTGTATAGCTACTTTTCGTTTGAAATGTGTTATAACAAATTTATTGCAGCATTAACTTAACGGACAAGGGTTTTAATTTAATTTTTTTGCAACTCACAATGTCTTTTTTTTCTCAGTTTTTTCGAAACTCTGAAAACAAGAGTGTAAAAGAACAACCTGAAATTTCTTGTCTAAGGTTATTTTTTTTAATTAATTCAAAAGGTCCTTTGGTCGCTTTGAAAAGGTTTCTCATTGCTGTGATTTTTTCTTTATCCTGTAATCATTGAATTTAATATGAAACAATTTTTGGCGGAACCTGTAACCTGACGCGATCAGAAGGCATTTTGCAAGTTTTTAGTAGTTTCATATTGCATGGATTTAGTATGTAGTTTCTTACATCTGAGAAAACACACCAGCCTTGAATATCAAGTTAGCATCAAAGGTACAAAATCATTAGAATCTTAAATCATCAGAATCCTTTATCCTAAATCATCAGAATCCTTCTAGACATGCTATTGGTGTGAAAATTTATGACATCAACTTGTTTCCTAAGTTCGTATTTATTTTAATTTGCAGATTTTCTCTGTCTCCCTCTTATTTATTTTTTTTTATTTTTTTGGAAAGTTAGCCCAGAATGGTATGATGAATGCAATATTTAAGAAAATACTTCTCATGAAAAAAATGCATATTGAATAAACTATCGTATTGTGTTTCATCTGTGTGACAGCAATCTTAAAATCTGCCTTATTTTTATAGTATTGTACTCATTGAATTTGATTGGTATAAAAACGCCTTTGCAACATTATTGTGCAAATGCACTCCTTTCAAAGACATATTTGCATCTATATTTACCGCTCTCTTGAATTTTTTTCTGTGAACCACTTATATCATTTTTAGAACAAATTTAGAGTTTTTACAAACTTCTAAAATACGCATTACCAAGACATATGCACAATAGTTTTAAAAGTTAATGAAAATAATGAGTCAAAACCAGCAAGTATTCTTTCAATCCGTCCACATTATTTTTATAATCTTTAATCCAGGTTGTATTTGTACATCTACTTGTGCCCTTCTTATTATCAGAACCTGTATTTGTATCAAATTTTTCCTAGATAACTTACATGAAATTATTACTCAGTCAATTTTTCCCTTACACTCTGAATTCTGATTTACACTCCATTTCAGTCCACATTTTAGTTCATGTATGTTTCACTGATATTTACTACTTGAAAAGAAGACTTAAGGTATCTTATCAAAAAGCTTCAAGCAGATGAAGTCTAAAACTTGTTGCAATAAGTGAGTAAATAGTAAAAAATCTAATAATATGAAGTTGATAGCACTCAAATTGATCACGATGACAAAGTGTGCCATATTTTTTATTGCAAAGTTCAAAAGGAAATTTTATGTATTAATCAAAACGAAATTAATCCGTCAAACAACATCAAATTGCAGGATCATTTATTAAAAGTGCTGGACTCCATAAAACTGAAGAAAAAATTTAGTAATTCATTGTTGTTTTATAATATTTTAACTGTTTTCCCTGTCTTTTTACTGAAAAGGATGAAAAAAAACATGCTCATGATTTTTAGAAATACGTTTTAATTGGTTTGTATTGACAGTTAGGCTGAAGTTCGGTTTGATTTATTTATTTTATCCCACTTAATACTTCAGCATGTACAGTGTGCGTCTTGAAATTAATTATAATTATGTCTTCCTTTGTTTTTAGCTCGTTGATTTTGTTTAAACTCTTCTAAGTCTGTGAATGTGTTTTGGAGGTTTAAAGCATATCTATATTGCATGTTGCAAAAAATTATGCCGGCTATTTTTTGCATTCAGTTCCACCTAATTTTCTCTCCATTTTTTACCACTATTTCTACATCTTTTACTCTTTCCTAAAAAAATCTCATCCCTCAACTATCCAAATTTTCTCCTACCCTCTTCAGACCAGAGATCACCTTTTTATCATAAATATTTTTATCTAAGTAGAAACCAAAGTTTACAGTCATAGTCCTTACATCATGAACAAATGTTCATTAGGGTATATTGGGTAATTTTAAAATAGACAATGCAAGAAAAATTTATTTTAATTGGAGTAAGGTCTGTGTATAGGCAAAAAAATTTGCCCAATAATCTTTGTTACTGACAGAAGTTACCTGTCAAGTTTTAGAATTTCACTTTATTGAAGAGCTTCAATTTAAAATGGTTGTTTCATAGTTCTGGTGAAAAATACCTCAACTCTTTTCATTTAGTTGCTTTTGAGAACCGTTTTCTCATCTTTTCATTTTCTCTTTCATTACGCTCCTGAATAAAGTTAGTCAAAATTAGTTCTGTTCTTTCCACTTCTCTCTTTCGATGTTATCATTCCAATATTGCTGAACTGTATTACAGCTTGCAGCAATAAACTTACCATATCATATCTCATATTATCAAATTCTTTTACGTTTGAGATTCTCAGCAAAAAAGTTTTTTCTTACCTATTTACTGTGTTTGATTTTTCTTTTTTCTTTTGTTCAACTCTTTTTTTATTTGCCGAATCTTAGATTTACATTTTAAATGTAAAATTATGTAGTACCAGGAATACCTGCCACAGTGTATTTTGTGTAAGTTTGTAAATATTAGCTACACTTGTTACAAAACTTGTTTTGTAGAAATCATTTTCCTCCTAGCTGTGAGTTTTATCGTAATTTAATATGCAGTGATTACCTCCACATATCCCATTCTCCTAACGGTCCATTCTGTTGGAGGGCTCTTGTCACTGATTTTACAAAAACACGAACTTTTCTTGAAGGAGCATGCTAAAATTTGAGGTGGATATAAACTTTAGTGCAGCTTTCAGCAGTCTGTAACAAAGCTATTTCATGCTCTGTATTAAGTTGTGCACCTACCAGCCATTGTGTAATGGTGAGCTGATATTTCATATGCATGTTTTGTTGAAAGTATTCATTAGTGCATAGCTTCCCGATTTCACAGAACACTGCATATTTTTCTAGTTTGTATTAGGAGGTCTACTTGTTTTCTTATTGGATTTTTTTCTTTTAATATATATTTTATTTTGAAAATTAAATCCCTCTGGGTAGAACTGACATCTGTATTTACTCATTTTTTAAATGTAATAATTTATTATGTATATTTTTTTCTTTCAATCTTATAGTTGAATTATATTGTACATATTGTCATGGAGAAATTAAGAATTTCACGAATAAAAAATTTAATAACCCTGTAATAAAAAAAGAAGGTATGCTGTGCGGAAGAAAATCTTCCGTGCTTTAATTTTGTTAAAATATTTGACCCTTTTCTATCATGACTTCAATGTTTTATCCAGTGATAGTCAACATAACCCTGTAGGAATACTCATTTCCTCATTTGACTAAAGTTCTGTTCGTCCGTCCTTTTGCATTTGATCTGAACCATTTGATACAAAGCAAATTTACTAAGTAGCTCAATTCGAATTCTCCTAGCTGTTAAGATCTGAAATATTTTTGTCACGCAAGGACTTAGATAATGATCATGTCATATTGCCTTATTGTTCGTACAAACTGAAGTTGTTTCTGTAGACCAATAATAAGCACCTATATTTTGCATGAAACTGTGTAATCAATCAGATAATCTGTCTCGATCTCGTCCATAAACTTACAGTTTTTGCTGATATTACTCGTGTTTTTTCTGCTTTGATCTTCCTCTCCTGCCCTGGTTCAGACGATAAAAAATTTTGAACCACTATTTCCCATCATTTTTACATTTTGTAATCAAATTCAATTACATTTCCTCGTGCAAAAGCGCCAATGTCCAATACAGTGTCCCAGAATTGCAGTAGTTTACCTTGCCCTACATCGCTGATTAATAAAGTGGATCTCCCTATAAAAATTAATCATATTTGTAGAAATTTTGATGAAATTATTCTGCATCTCTAAAATCTTAAACCGACTTTAGTCTGCAAGTGGGAACAAAATTTTCCATGCAAATTCTGAAACACCGTATTGGACATCCGACGTTTTTGTATAAGCCGATTCAATTCATCCACAGTATTTGAATAGGAATAATTGAAATTTTTTCGATGGGTCTGTTATGCTAGTCACAGAATCATGTTATATTAATTTCAGATTACTGATCAGCCAAAAGCAGCAAGATCTGTCCTAACACAAAATTTTCTCGTCCAATATGAATGGAGATATTGCTCCTCAGAAAAATAGGCATATGGTTTTATTCACCTCGATGGTTTTTACCTTGATTTCCTCCACCTGGAATTCATATGTATTTTATTTTAAGCAACCAGCGCTTATGCGTGTATCACATATGGGGTTGCTGTAGGTATGATTTATTTTCCTGTTTATTCTTAGAATGTTTGCAAAGAAACGAGAACTTCTACCCTTTTTCGTTTTTTATTCAATCAAATTTGGGCTGTGAAAAAGACCCTCTGAGAAGGAATATCCTCAGAACCCAATCCCAAAAATATCGAGCCAACAGATTTAATGATGTCACAAGAAGAATTGACTGCTGTGTAAGCACCCTCTCACCCATGCACGTTTGTTTATTTACATTCAGGTCGCAATTATAACGAGACATAACGTATCCAGACCAGGTGTGCAATATTATTGCTGTACAGAGTGAATATTTTTGTTGTCTTTTTTTTTATAAAATCGACCGTTTTTGCTACGAATCATACAACAGCCTTGCTGCATTTGATTCAAGGTGGTTCAAACCTCCGGTTGTTGCTACACATATAAGTAATACATCACAAGCTTGAGGCCAATGGAAAAGTTCTTTTTATAATAGTTGGATGACCAATTCCTAAAATTTTCCCACTTTTCTTTTTGATGACTGCTACTTGCAGAGAGAATGATATACTTTATTGCAGGTACTTAAATTTGAGGAAAGAAAGAGTTGGTTCCTTTTTCAGAATTGATATCCAAGCTACAGTTATGAACAAAGAATTAAATTAAAACAGCATTTTGACGCGCTAAGTGAAAAATAGGGATACCTATCCTCAAACTTTTCGCACTTGATTTATGAATTGATTTGTATTCGCCTATGAAGAAATTAATAAGCTGACAAAATGAGCTACCTGACCGATTGTGTGCTCAAGCTGTATTATTTTCTATCATAATCAAGTACAAGTACTCTTTGCCTGAATATTTTTGGAATACTTCGGGAAGTTACTTTTTAATTTTCAATTACGCATCAATATAAATTGACACTCATTGATGACAACCTATGCCGTCAGAACCTTATAGACCAAATATAAAATATTTTCTCCTCAGATATTTTTTTCCCCTGATACAACGGTATTGCTCAAAGTCATAGTTTAGTACATTCGATTCCCGCCACAAAATCCCGCCGATTAACCTTTGTTCAAGGATACCAACAAGGTTGGAGTGCACCGAATTTTTATCTCTGATGTGCGGTGATGGAAAATGAATAGGTACGACAGATAGTGGCAAATATTTATCATATATTTTTGTCTACTTTTTTCGGAGCTTATAAATTTCGATTTTTTTTTTTTATGAGTATGATAGAGCGAAATTGAAATTAAAATTCCATCTCAATGAGAAGATAAGTAGTGTAGTTGGACTCTCTGTAATCTGCAAACTTGTTTGTTTACATATTTTGAGTGATGGTTTTCGAAGTGATAACATGGACATGGACCAAGAGAATAAATGTGATAAGACAGTAATGATAAGTGGTCAATAAGCTGTGATATTTAATGCAATAAAAAATGTATCTTTTACCGGCTCGCAGTTGATTGTGATAAAGAGTATTTAAGTTTAATAAGTGAAATCATGAATGAATTAATCACCCAAGCTTTCTTGAAGTTTCCGCTCCTCATCCCAAACCATAATTTTACCAAATGGAACGGCTATATTTCCTGTTCTAAAGTAAGTCTGCTTCTATAACTTACTTTTTTTTTTAATAATGACCTTCCAAGTTGTTTATAGTTTTAAATCAATGCAATGTATGAATGGCAAATTCAAACTGAGCTGAGTCTGAAGAAATTGAAGGAGACCTGTAACATCCACTTTCTTCCGTCCTCCTAAATTTCTTTGATGATTGACCCGACTTGGGATTTCTACCAGTACCTAAAGTCATCAAAAAACAAATTCCTGGCATGACTTAACTCTTGCCGAGGTACCAAGTTTTAGACGTGCGCCCTCCAGGGCGCTTGAAAGACTTTTAAACCTTTTCCCACCTTTTTTTTTGTCTAGAATGACTATTGATTTGAACTCATCGAAAGTAAATTTTGAGCAAACTTATACCTAACTTTTCTCTAATTTCAAAAATGAGAACACCTCAATGCGTGATGATAACCAGCGCAGAGATACAACTAGGTATCGGTGCTTGATGGATGTCCATGTTGCATCTGCAAAATTGAAGGCGCACTGGCGCGGAGCGTGAAACAGCAATGCTTAGCTCTATGCTGCCCACCTTCTTTGTCCATTGCAACCATCCGCCTCCTCAAATAGGATCCCTCCATGTCCCTTTTGTTTTCTTTGTCTATAGCTTTGTCTAAAGCTATGTCTATGGTCTTATAGTAACTTGTTTTGCTCTCGCATTAACAGCGGATTGACGACTCATTTTTAGTACCTACTAATATTTTTTCGGTTTAAAATGGGATTGTTTTTTTCTTTTTCGAAACGTTCAAAAATTTTTATTTTTTCATCTTTTGTTTGTTTTGCAACCTTTCTTCAAATTTCCCTAACTATGGCCCCAGCCCAAAGCTCCGGGCTCGGAGCTGGAGTTTGGAGCTTTCAAAGTGACTGGAGCCAGCTCTATGGCAGAGCCTAATTGGAGCCTAGCTCCGACCTGGGAGCCCGAGCTGAGAGCCCGATTCGAAGCTCCGGACCGGAGCTAGCTCCGACCTGGGAGCCCGATTCGAAGCTCCGGACCGGAGCTAGCTCTGACCTAGGAGCCCGATTTGGAGCTGGCCCCGGACCCCTGGCTGCCAATGAGGTGTTGATTAGAATCGGAAGAAATTTTAAATCAAGGCCCGAATGTGTCTCTCCTATTTTTGGCTGCACTGGGAAAAAAAAAACAAATTGGATCCAGAGTCCAGACTCTTGAAAACATTGACAAGAAAAACGACTCTTGATTCAATCAGATTTAAGCTTAAATCAAAAAGAAATCCGCTCAAATTAAGAGGCTTGGTTCTTGATTTAAACAAAAATCCGATTGAATCAAGAGTATCTTTTCTTGTCGATGTTTTTATGAGTCTGGGATCTAGATCCAATGTGTTTTTTTTCCAGTGTGCTTTTTTTTTTTTTTTTTTTTTTTTCTCCCAATGTGTGTTGTTCAAGTAGCGTTGAAGCACAAATGCAATAAAGACAAACGGAACCAACACAATACAGAGATATAGCACGGGAAAGAAAGTGCGCGTTGAAGACGGCGCAGAGATACAACTATTCGTGCTTGGTGGATGTCCGGGCAGCATCCGCGAAATTGAAGGCGCGATGGCGCGAAGCGAGAACTTGCAATGCTCCGCTCCATGCTGCCAATGAGGTGTTGATCAGATTCGAGGGAAAAATTTAAAAGACGAAGCCTGATTAGGTACGTCTCGCCGATCCTCGGCTGTGTTGCCCACGTAGCCCTTAAAGCACCACTACAAAACAGACAAACGGAACCAACGTAGCATGAAAATAGAGTGAGGGAAAGGACGCGCGTTGATGACGGCGCAGAGATACAACTATTCGTGCTTGATGGATGTCCGGGTAGCATCTGTAAAATTGAAGGCGCGATGGCGCGAGGCGAGAACTTGCCATGCCTCTATGCTGCCAACGGCGAGTTGTCGCTTCAGATTCGGGAGGATGGATTAAAAACGCTGAAGTTACTGATGATTGCCTACAAGTGCAAAAACTTACTATTAAATCTCAAAAACAGAGACACGTTTGGCCTGAAGCAACACTCCATTTACCCTCTAACTCTCAAAAATACGCGAAGGAATCAAATCGGACCAAATAAAGACAAGCGAGTTTTACAAAGTGCTTTGGCGTTCGAGTTGTTTTGAGAATGACTGGACTTTCCGATGTTTTTTCGGTCTTAAAAATCAGTTGTTCTGCTTGTCACTTTGCAACACGATGTATTTATGCCGAAGCAATACCGATTCACCAATAACTCAATTTTCGATTCTTTAGCGAGGAGAATCGTGGGCAACAAACAGCGCGCCAGCAAACATAGTGTTTACGGTGCCTTCAACACCATAGAAATACTTCAAACATTACACCAAGTTATGTCGTGTCAATTACCTATACTTCCCTTGTCAAATATACAATGTGTTTGAAGGTGTGAACGGTACCCAAGCCAACCACAGCGTCAGACACGTTCCACTAACCTACCTATATGTCAGGTAGCAATACTTCATAACTAAAATAATTCTCCGTTGGACAATTTCAATGGATGAATTAAAATTTTTCATACCAGGAGGACGACTTTTTCAATTCTGGAAAGTTTTTCGCCTGCTGAATCCCCTGGTAAAAATTGGCGATAAGAGCTGCGTTTCAAAATACCATAGGATTTTTTATAGCCAGCTAAATACGGCCACAGAAAATCATATAGCTGGCCGTAGAATGCGGAGAAAATCATACGGCCGGGCTCTACGAAGCGATAAAACATTATGCAGCCGGGCTATAGTTCCTATCGCCGGGCTTTACACTTTATCGCCTGGCTGTTGCTTTTTCGCCATCGATTATAAAAGGCTACAAGAAATTGTGTAGAAATTCGTGTGCTTTGGAAATCATTAAGTTTGATACGGAACCACCTTAATATTTACAAAACACACATTATACTCGTATTTTCCTTTAATACATATATTTTTTTTTTTCCATCAATTCAAATGAGAATAATCCATACAGGATGTGCAAACATTTCAAAATCATGAGTTGAATGACGCTGACTCCACCAGATTAAATATCAGAGCCTAATAGAAAGCGGAGCGGCGACGCATTGGCGCCTACAAACCTAACAGGGATACTGCACGCATGCGCAACGCGTGAAGTATCCCTGTTAGGTTTGAAGGCGCCAATGCGCGTTTCGCGCTGGCTGCCCGCCTGCCGCGCCGCAGCGTGCCACGGCACTTGAAGCAACTATTTCACACCATAGATATCGCACAGTATCATACGAAACTGAAGGCGCTCTAATATATTAGGAATGACAGGAATCCATCAAAAGTACGAAGCTTTCCTCGCAAAATAAATCAAGATACTACGGCCCAAAAAGAGAGCAGTAGTCCTAAAACTCACTGATTGTGAGTCCTAGCACCTGTAATAAATTAGTAACGCTTAGCATACACTTTATCGCCTGGCTGTTACTTAATCGCCATCGGCTACAAAAGGCTATAAGAAATTGTGTAGCCGACTGTAGAAGCTATTGGAAATCTTACAGCCGGCTGTAGGTTTATGGTATTTTGGAACACAGATTCTACTGCCAATTTTTACCAGGGTCTGCCTATCTGAATCATGTCGACGTGTTCGGTAACTAACCAATGTGACAAATAAGTTTGCGTTGCTCGGACTGAACTATGAATGGAAAGGACTTTGTATTTTACAGGAGCAGGAACTGTTAATTTCAGTGGTTAGTCCAAAATTTCCATCTTTAGAAGGCACGATGGTCCGAGCGCCTACCTCCCTGGCAGTATCTCCACTGCAAAAAACCACTCTGCAAAATGTAAGTACTTTTAAAGTAGAAATGGACCATATTTTGCAATAAGGAACCTCCATTTTTGACTCATTTTAGGAGCAACATATATGCCATTGGTTTCCTTATGCAGAAAGGTGATTTTGTGGAAGAACCAGAGATAGTGACTCCTTGTTGCAAAATGTAATCCAAATTATATGCGATCCTGTCGTTTCAATTTGTTCTCCCTCTCTTAGAAAATTAACTAACTCGGAGCTTCCACACAGGCCAGGGGAGCTCTGAGTTTTGAAAACTATATGTAGTTTTCAACTCTTCAAGTTAAAGTTAAAAGTTTTATTTATTTTTGTTTATATTTTTTTTAATTTTTTTTTCTATATTTTTTTTTTATTTTTATTTTTTTTACGTAAGATGATGAAGTCTTGTACAAAATTGTTATCTCTTCACCTTTCTTATGTCAACACAGGAAAAAAAATTGTTCGCTGCATAGTATGCCAAATACAGAGTTTATGTAGAAAATTTTGAACGTCGTATCCTAACTGCAGGGTTCAAAAGAACGGAAGTGCTAAAATTTTGCGCACAAGATGAAAGTTTAAATCTCATACTTCTGATGATGACTTAAAGAAAAAGCTTTGGAGAATGTTTCTTTTTGCCATCCTTTATCCCGCTGTCAAAGAGTTTCTTTTATTTTGTCGTTTTTTGTCTTTTAGATTATTAGAGGAGCAAACTCTTTTCTAGGCCTTCTGGGTGAACTGCAAATCTTCTACGTGAGTACATATTTAGCTACCTATTGAAATATTTTAACTGCTCTTTTGATACTCACCAAAACTGAACCTATGTGCACTTGATACTAGACTTGTTTAGTTCCCAAATAACGACATAGGTATTACCATCACATTCAAACTTTTTTTCTATTTTTGGAATATTTTAGAATAACAATAAAAAATAAAAATGAAATCATAGGTATATTTTGTTGAATACTTCTTAAAAACGCCAAAAATTCAATAATCAATTTTAATGGAGCCGAATTAAGGGCTTTTAGAGTGTGCTAATGCATGTGTGGCTTAAGATTTTGGTAGGATCGAATTATTCTAGCTTTTTTTCTCCTTCTCCCTCCTCGTTTTGAATTTTCAGAAAAAATTTGCGGTACGAGAATTTTTTTTTAACTCCAGTCAATGGCTTCAGTTTTTTTCGCAATATTTTTCCGTACTTGGCTGTCAGCGAATTTTTAATGAAGGTAAAGGACCCACTTTTGAAAAAGAGAAGATACACTTTTCCGGACAACGCGCGACGCTAAGTCTAGAAATTCAAACCCCGGCTCTGATTTTGATTAATTATACCTGTTTCTACTTGAGATTGAATCGTTCCCTTCCCAGAATAATATCATAAGCGCCAATTTGTCAACTTTACAGGGAATGCAAAGCATCGCTTTGATGCTCTACGTCGGCCAGAAAGGGTCAGTTCCGCTGGCATCAGAATCATGTTTTGATGCTTGATTCGTGTAGATGAGTCTAAAAAAATAAGATCTGTCCAAACAGAAACTTTCTACGTTCAATATTAACCAAAGTATCGCGCTTTGAAACATTCGGTTTATGACGTCATCGACAGCGGGAGTGACACCATTGGTTCCTTCCACTTTCCTTTAATCCGAGTTTCACGTTGAGTAACTAGTGATTTGTGCTTCCCTGACAAATGAGAGCAAGGTGGAAGAAACCAAAGGTGTCACTACCACGGTGGATGACGTCATAAACCGAATTTTTCAAAGCGCTATGTCTCCGTCAAAATAGAACGTAGAAAGTTGCTATTAGGACAGATCTTACTTTTAGCCGATCGACAATAATCAAGCGTCAAAACACGATTATGAAACCAGCAAAACTAACAAATTGTGAAAATTGCGCTTGTTATAATCTTCCCGACAAGGGACGAAATAAGATGATTCCGAAGCTAATAAAACAATTTTTGAAAAATTTAAAAAACTTACGACGATTTTTAAATTAAAAAAATATCTAATCAACAAATTGTCGCAAGTGAGTTTTTTAAATTTTTTAAAAAATTGTGTTATTAATTATCTTAACTTGTGCGGAATTATCGCTCCCTTCTTTACACATCGATTTCAATGTTCTACCTATTTTTCTCGATCCAGGCATCTCTGCTGCCGAACGAGACACCTTCGGTCCACAAAGACATTCAGGCATCTAACAAATCAAACGTATTCGAGTCTGCGCGCGACATCTTGGCCGAGCTGACGGACAAAGTTGGGCTCGATGCTGTACATTCTCTGTCCGGCGATCTCAAGAAACTCATTTTGATTCACATCGATGACAGCGAGAGAGAGCATCGGTTAGAACTGAAAATTCCCTCCAACTATCCGAAGGATCGTCCTGAGATATTGTCCGTTGATTTGCCGGAAGCCGTCCAACCACAATTCGCTGAAGTTAGTTGATTTACATGTTATTCCGTGTACAGGGTGTCTACAAGTCCGGAAATAGTATTGATTTTTTTAAGGGCGTTCTAGAAGTACTGAAAAAATGCGGAAATTCCGCAAGAATAAGGTTCGGAATTTTCGTCATCTTTGTCTCAAATGGACCGCGTTGAACAGGAAGGAACCAAGCCACATCAGCTGTTGCCAAATTTAACAGGGGAATTTGATTTTTTACGAGAGAACGTTTGTGCGGATTCCTTTGAAAATTTTAAGGAATGTGCTTTGTATTATGGAGACAATGGACCACTAGACAAGGTAAGAATTTAAGCAATCTAATACATGTTTCTTAACCAGAATTTCGTGTTGAACACGATTCGCACAACGAAAATTACTGAAACCAACTCCTAACGAAGATATTAACCTTTTCATTTCACATTGGTTACGAGGAATTTGAACTGCCCGCTCACAAGAAACTCAAAGCTCTACGTGAGTCAAATCGCGCACGACAACGGTCTCAGCAAGTTTCTTAATCGAGCAATATTCATTTCCCACCATGTGTTGTTCCAACTATAGGCAATTTGCTATAGCTGAGCCAAAGCGTCAAGATTGAGGTTGCCAGATTTTTACATTGCGTAGAGACTGTCATGATAACGTTTAGCGCGCGATGTGAATCACGTAGAGCATTGAGTTTTCATGAGCGGGTGGTTTGAATTCACGCCTCAAGAATCATTAAATATCGTTGTGAGGAGTTGATTTCGATAATTTTCATTGTGCGCATCGTGCTCTACGTGAAATTTTGGTCACGGATCATATATCAGAGTGCTGAAATTCGTACCTTGTCTAGTGGTCCATTCATAGAAATTTGCACCAAAATCCGCACAACCGTTTTCATGTAAAAAATTAAATTGCCCGATTAAATTTGGCAATAGCTGATGTGGCTTGGTTCCTTTCTGTTTAACACGTTTCAATTTGAGCGAGAAATTCAAATTTTTGAAATTTTTCGAATTTCGTCAAATGAAGGTACTGAAAAAGTACTATGGGTTTTTGTGTTGAGGAGGTACTGGATTTCCTGGGAATGTACTGTAAAAGTACTGATTTTTGGCCAGCTTGTTTTAGTAGACATCCTGGAAAATATCCAGACAGTGGCGATTTTTCAAATAACAACACTGTTTTCCTCCATTTAAATACATTAAAACATCAATTTTAGTTGAGACAAGCTGCCTCATCAAGAATCGAATCGATTGTTTTACGTATTTGTACATTGTAAATTTCTTTTTTTAATGAACTAGCCTGTTAGGCGCCTGCACGTAATCATGTAAAATAATACAGAAAGGGGTAAAGAAAATACGGAACCAGACTTCAAAGACAGTGCTCAATTTTCGGCCCTCGTTGCAAGTTCTGAATTGAGGGAACTGGCTTTCTTAAATTTACTCTCATTTTTTTTTTAATATCGCGGTCCAGCAAATTTGGAAGCTTTTTCGTTGAAAACTCGAAAGAAAAAGTTGTCGGCTCCCTGCTGCTATGTCCTCATATGTTTTATGTCACTTAACATTTCTTCATTCTGCCGCGCTACGGAAGAACGCTGTATGAACTTTCAGGCGTTGCCAAATCTCCATTGATGAAACACGAATTTCCTTGCGAACTCATGAATATTTTCCTTCCAATTTCTCAGATAATTTTGTTTGCAATTTCACCTAAAGTTCCAGAAAATTGCAAGGAAAAATATTCATAACTTTCCTAGAAAATAAACATTTTATGGGTGGAAATTTGGCAACGTTCGAATGCTCATACGGCGTTCTTTCTTAGCACGGCAGCTCTGTAATGTGGTTTTTGATCCGCTCGTTTCTTGTTTCAGTTACACTCGATCAGTGATTTTTACCAACAGTTTACATGTGTGATTCAGTCATTGCAAGGATTCTGGCAGGCGTGCGATGTTTTACGTACGAACGTCAATGTACTTGAACCTAGAGACCCTATGTTTAAAGACACCGTATGGCGAATAGCAATCGGTAAGTCACACAAAAGTAAAATGCAATACAATAACAGTCTCTGACCGGACTCACTTCACAACACACTACCACTACAGCATTAGGTACTGCAGCATTGCTGCACGGTTTTCACTCGCTGCCCTGCTATTTTCGATCTTACATAGCAAAAAGATCTGAGTTTAAATTTCAGACAAAAAATTGCAATTTTTAATTGATGACAAGTTCGATGAATACAAAGATATGGACTTCAAACAGCGCCATTTATTGCTCCAGAAACTTAAACGCTCGGGTAAAGGCCTGGATACACACGGCGATTAATCGCTGCGAGTGAAAGAAGAAAGCCAGCGGAGAGCCTTGATTTCGATATATCGACGTCAATGGATCGAAATCAAGGCTCTCCATTGGCTTTCGTCTTCCACTCGCGACGATTAATCGCCGTGTGTATCTAAGTCCAGAGAAAAATACTGCCGCGCGAGCGTTTACTATGTACTTTAAGTTCCATCGCAAGAGAGCAGAGAAATTCATCTTGTCAGACAGAAAAATATGCAATTTTTCGTTGGTGACAAGTTCTATGCAATTGCAATAAATATGAAGGAACGGCCACCTTAAGCAGCATGTCTCATTGTTCCGGAGACTTGAACACGTGGGTAAGAAAAATACGGTGCGCAAGAGCGTACTTTAACGTTTGTCGCAACTTATTAACTAATATGGGTCACTAAATCTTGCCTTTTTTATTCGATATTCTAAAAGTACCAGGTGTGTAGACTGTAGATTACGTGGTCATCTATTGCGTGTTTTTCGAACCAAACTCCCTGACAAGTCCGATTTTAAAAAATCCAAAGACTCGATTTGAATTTCAAACGCGCCACAATGGCGGGAAAATGTCGGAAGTGATATACTACGGCAGTCAAATCGCTTAACTCGTGTTTGTTAAAATAACACGCGTGGAATTGTTGCTTGTTTACTATGGATAACATGAATGAAATTCGATGTTTTGATTCTAAATATATAGTCTCGATTTTCCTATATTGGTTTCAAGTACAAGGAGTAGAGAGACATTCGATGGAAGTCGTAGAAACCCTTGCTCGCTTCTGATTGGTGCTGGATGACAACATCCGATTCGGCGCGAAAGCGGGACGTTTTAAATTTGCGAAAAAATTGCGCTTTTTTAACTGTGTGTTCCTCGGTTTCGGAGTTAATTTTTCGCATTTTTAAAGTACACATCATGTTTTGCGAGTTATTCCCCATCGGTAAATGCACTCGCAAGTCAAAATTCGTTTGTGCTTTAGTGACCCATTTGCTGCGCTAATGTAGTCGTAGTCCAGTCTATACCCCCAGAGACTTGAACGCGTGGGTAAGAAAAGTTAACGAGAGGGCGCCATAACTTTCATCGCAATTTACTTAATTTGCTGCGCTAATCTAGTTCATTCTATACCTAGGTATAACAACTGGATTTATTACGAGATTCTCGTGCTACTGAAAAAAACGAACTTTCCGCTTATTAAATGTAGACTATTGCTGAATCAAAGTTATAGTGAGTGATACTTTTCCGACACTGAACTGATTGCTGTCAGCTTTAACGACTGAAAACTTCCCTGTTTGTATTGTTTGTTATTATATTTCCATAATTTGAAATGAACGTTATTGTTTCCAGCGAATGACGTTTTTGCATCCTTAATCCTTAACCCACTGGAAGTTCAAAATTGTCCGATTATCCGCATTGTCGGCAATAGAAAAGATAGTTTAGAGTTTGAAGCTATTCTGGAGAAAAACTTGAAGGCAAGTGTAAATCATCATTTCTGGAATTCATTACTTTTAGAATCTGTTTCCTAACCCTCGGTAACTTTAGCTACGTGTCGAATACTCTGTCTTGTTTAGTTTTTTTTTTTTTTTTCATCCCCTACTCCAAACTTAATCAGTTGAGCTCTACTAATACTCTTAAGTAAAATGAATTGAACACTTTTGATGGATGAACCACTTTCATAGAGCGAAGAAGAGACATCAATAAAGGCCCTCTTTGGGCCCACTCTAGTTATATCTCCTCCACTGTGCCATTTTTTTTTTTTTTATCACTGAGGGTCTATTTTTTGCAACACGCATCATGATACTAATACTGACCTAAACATGGGTATGAAGGCTGATTTTGGCGAAAAGGCAAGTTTTGCGGTCGAATGCCAAAAAATCCAGACCCATTTTTAAGCCCGTATTAGACCCGAAAAGAGATCGGCAATGACCATCTCATGACGCATTCCGTAAAATATGTATAAATCTTTCAATGGGCAAAAAATTCAGGCAGGAAATTAAGCTAGGGTGGGTTCAAAAACGATCCTTATCGACTCCCTTCTTTTCTCACGTATTTTGTGAAGTTAGGAGTGAGTTTTAGGCTTCTTGATGCGCTCGTCAATATTTTTTGCCGAAATCACACACTGAATTTGGCAGCTGAATATGGAAGTCAACACCCGACAGTAACAGTCATCGCTCAACGGCTGAACTTTCGCAAATTCGAGTTATTTCCATCCAGATTTGTATCAAATCTAATCGAATTGTTCAGACAAATCCGACATTATCCGATGGCCGCAGAGAATCGTTGCTGAATTTTGCGCGACACGTTGAAAATTCAGGCATCGGGCCGATGACTTCCACATTCGAGCCATATTTAGGTCCCACATTCAGCGTGTGATTCCGGCATTTGAGCCGATTTCCAAAAAAAAAAAAGAAAAAAAAATCAAAGCAATTAAACTAACACTGGAAAAAACACATTGGATCTAGAGTCCAGACTCTTAAAAACATCGACAAGAAAAAGTACTCTTGATTCAATCAGAATCTAGCTTAAATCAAGAACCAAGCCTCTTAATTTAAGCGGATTTCGTTTTGATTCAAGCAATTATCCGATTGAATCAAGAGTATTTTTTCTTGTCAATGTTTTCAAGAGTCTGTACTCTAGATCCAATGTGTTTTTTTTTCAGCGAACTCTTCTCTTTGCCCCAATAAAAGTTTTCGTTGGGCTCATCACCATACTTTGACGTAATGCCCAGTTTTGTAATACTAGTTTTTGTTTGTTCACATTATACATTCTCTCCAATTTTTTCAAAATCCTGTCCGTCCATGCAGGAGCTTGAATGGGACTCCGAAAGAGATTTGCTGGATAATTTAGGACGTTTGCTGGAAATTAGCGAGTTTCCTCCACCTGTCGAAGAAGAGGACGAGAAGATCGCCGACAGTCAGTTGTTCCAAGCTCAAGAGTGTTGCATCTGTTTCACCTCCAGGGCCGATGATAATTCTGCTCCGCATAAATATTGCAACAACGAGAAGTGCAACGCCTATTTCCATTATGGATGCTTATTGGAGGTACGTCTCGCTTTTGCTGCATGTAATATACAGGGTGATCCAGGGTCAAACGGCCATCGGCGGATCCAGCAAATTGGCAACATTGTTTTTCTCCATTTAAAGCTATGGCAATATATCGATTCTTGGAGGGGCCAGGTGCTCCGACAAGAATCGATTATTTGACGTACGTTTAAACGGAGGGAAACCGGTGTTGCCAAATTGCTGGATCCGCCTCTATCAACGGCCAGACTGCAGGAGCCGAAACACCCCCGAACCCCCTCTTCAAATTGAGATTTAATTTTTTTATCATTAATTGTTTTTTAATTCAAGGCATAAAAGTACAGGAAAGTTCAAATCTTCATGGGATTTGGTTCACAACCGTTGCCAAAATTCAGGAAAAACGATTTACTTTCCTAAATTTTGGGGGTCCGTAGCTCCGACTGGGGGCACTTTTAGAAAAAACTTCATATACAACAAGAATGTCTTATTTTGACCCATAGAACCCACTCCTGCAGTCTGGCCGTTTAACCCAGGGTCACCCTTTATACCACTTCACCCGTAAAAAAAAATTCTCAGGATTTTAGCCAAGAATTCTCGTAATCTGGAAAACCCAAGAAAATACTTGATCAGGCTTATCCGCACTGCAATATGTATATTGTCCATAAAAATTTTAAATAAGTGAAAATTTCACCCTTCAAATGACTGCACCATAGATAACCTTAATCAAGAATATTTCCCAAAACTTGAAGCTCATCAAAAGTGATCTCCGATTTGTGTATACACTTCTGTCACAGTTTTCTCTATATTTATTTCATTCTTCATTTTTATTTTACAGTGGTTTCAGTCCCTGCCAACTGGCGAAGTTTGTGATTCCGACTTCATCTCTGGCGACTGTTTGAATTGCGGCAGTGTAAGTACTTTGACTTTGACTTGACCAATTAAGTCCTGTTTTTGTTCCTTTTTTTTTCCCCTTCAATTTTCGGCATCGAAACATTTTCTTGCAGTTCCTTTCCCCTCAGTTTACTCCCTCGTGACCAAGCAGGCATTCCTCAGATTTTGAACATTTTAATCACATGCTTCCTGGAAACTCTCTAAAGGAATGTGTCGATCTTCAGTGTTTATTTTGGACCTCGACTTGTAATTACGTTTTTCAACTAACCCATGACGATTCCCTAGTCGTGCGTTTGTCACAAGTTTTTAATATTTGTCATGATCGAATCTCGGTAAATCAGCAAAAATTAAAAACATCCATTCAAATTCAAGTTTTTACCCAAGTATTAGTAAGTACCAGTGGCGTGGCGTGCTATGCGATTTATAAATTTTTCTGCCATTTAAACCTATGGTAAAGAATCGGCTATTAAGGTGTTCGCTGCAAACGCCCTGTCTATTGATCCTTTTCCATAGGTTTAAATGGCATAACAATCGATATATCGCAAAGCACGCCACGCCACTGATAAGTACATCTCCGTTTGAAAATCACTGCCGACGGCATCATCTACCGCCTCAGTGCTTGTTAAACTTCCGTTCCGAGGACTTATCAATACATCTGTGAACCAGTGGCTCTGTGATATATCGATTGATCTGCCCTTTGAACCTATGAAAAAGGATCGATAAACATGGTGTTCGCAACGAAAACCTCAATGATCGATTTTTAACCATAGCATAGCTTCAAATGGGAAAATATCGATAATCAATCATTTACGCCTAGCCACAACTGTGGATGTAGCGGACGCTCTGTCTTATTAAGTATTCATTGTCAGAACTAAAATGGCATAAACTATGGAACATAAACTGACACCGCAACGTAAGTGAATTCAACCGAAGTGTTTTCTTAAAGCCAATATCTCTGTTAAAACCGGACATGGAGCCTAAGCGCTTGGATAAACAACTTTCGTGTATGATCATTTACTTTTTTCTGATTGAACTACTAAACTACTCGATTATTAGTGATGAAAGTACCTTTCGTTTTGTTTCAGAAAATTTTATGTCCTGCACAGAAATGATGATATGATAGAAGACTCTAAGCGAGACTTGAACCGACCACAAACTGTGATAATTTTACGTTTAAGCACTAATTATAACTAGTAGACAATTAAGTTTTTCCCTTCTCCGAAGCGCCTATTTCCCATGAAAAATTGTACTCTATTTTTCTACGCATTCAAAAATACAAAACATCTCTAAATGTAAGTACATCTCTAACGGTTTTTTCCCCATTTTCTCAAACCTTTACCCCACATTTTCCATCACCATGATCACTTAGATAACTGATTGCGCGTAACCATGAATAATTGTACTTAAATATTGAGCGAAATAAACGTCTTGTCAGACGTTAATTTCCCTCTTCCTCTAAAGCCGCAGCACAATATTTCGTCACCTTCCTGCCAAAGTATCACAAGCTTCATGCGACGTTTAAAAATTTCCGCCGCCATTTTATTTATTTACAGAGAAATTGTTCAACGAAACTGTCCGAAAATTTCACTGAATCATCTTTGTGCTGCCGATAAAATTCAGGGAAATTTTCAAACAGATTCAACGAACAATTTCTCCGTAAAAGAATAAAATGGTGGCGGAAATTTTGAAGCGTTGCATGGCGCTTACGATACTTTGATCGGAAGGTGACGCAACGCCAACTCGATAATGTAATGGCTAAAAGGAACGGCAAAAAGAAATAGGTAGGGAAAGGTTCTCATACGTAGCATATAAAAATTCAATCCAAGAGTAACAATTATAAAATGAGACTTGTTAATAAGTAAAATGTTGACAAGTACGACAGAAATAACTTTTTTTCAGATGTTTGTTCATAAGAAGATATTGAGGAACTTAAAAAATGATAGAATTCATTTCTTCTTTGGTTTATCTTTATTTTTGATTTTTTCCCCCGTAAGTGTTTAAACTTGACCAGGGCAGGAGTACTTAGCAATTATTCGCCAAGAAAAAAGTGTTCCAACATGCGCTCTGCTGTGCTAAGGAAAAACGTCTTATAAACATCCGGGAGTCGCCAAATTTCCCCTCTTAAATATTAATTTTGAGACCACTAATGAATATTTCTACTTGAAATCTTTTGATAGGTACTGTTGATCACATCGCTGGGAAAATTTGCTGGAAAATTCGACGGAAAATTCTTACAAATTCTCCTGAAAATTCGTATTTTACCGAAGGAAATTTGGCAACGCACAATGGTTTATACGACGTTCTTCCTTAGCATTTAGCAGCGCTTGGGAGCTACGAGAAGTCTTTAAGCCTGGCCGGTTTCTTTTTTTAACTTCTCCATCAGCGGTTTAGTCAACTTATCCTCTGGGTCCCATCGTTTTGCCAGAACCGTCCATGCATCTTGATGCTCCGTCTGTAGAATTTCCAGTATGTCTAGCGAGCCTTTCTTCTGTTTATCAGTGCATTTCTTGCATTCCGTGGCTAAAATGTCCGGCAATTGGTCTGAAAAGGAACCGATCAAAAATTAAATAGGCAAAATAATTATTATTATAATATTTTAAAGTATCATATTGTCTTGAGAATCGTTACTACACGCAACATAATCGCCAACATAAATGGCTACGATTGACGCCACACGGTGGGTCGAGTCAATCAGAGAGGTCGAACGTGAAATTCTTGACTGAAACTGCAAAATTTCGTCACATTTTAAATTTTAAGGGGTGCCTCGAGAAGAAAATTTCACGAGGAAACCAATGAAATCACTTTTTGGAACATCGAAGTTGTATATAAACGAAGTTATTTAAGCTTTTAAAGTTTCTAAATTTTGTTCGACCTCTCCTATTGACTCTGTCCACTGTGCAACATCTCAATAAATTATACCCGATTTGGTTTGTTGACCGATACGTCATTCTAGATTCAGCGTTTAAATGCACATTATTTTTACGGGCCGATTCCCAGTCAGTATTTTTCAACGGAAAAATCGCGATAATTTGAAGTATAGTTGCGATTTTTTACGATTTTTTGGCGATAAAATCATTAGGATCATCAACACCTGAGTGATTACCCTCAAATTTGGGTGTTTTCTAAGGTAAATTTTACGAAAAAACCAATAGGGAAACCAACCGACCAACAGCTACACAGGTCTCCAAATACGCAGGGCCGAATTTAGGGGGTGGCCACATGGGCCGCGGCCCATGGCGGCAAATTTTGCAATTTTTTTAAAAGTAGGTATAAAAAAATATCGGATTCAGAAAAAAAATTACAAACGAGAAACGGCGACAAAATCTCTCATTTCCTGAGAGTAGAGTAATTTCTAATTTTGTCGTCTTTTGGCGATACAAGAGACAGCACCTTTAATTAGTCGAGTTAAGAGAGAAATAAAACACGCAATTACGCGGAGCGTCGCGGCGCAGAGAGCAACGATGACGAGAACTTGAGATGAAAAGGAGAAGCCCTCGGCGCGGCAGTCGGCATATAACAATTACTAGGGGGCTACGCCCCCTGGCCGCTACGCGGCCCAACCCCCTGAAGGCGCTCCGCGCCATCAATGGGCCGCTTCGCGGCCCTATATTTACCCTCCTATCGGTGTTAGTTTTATTTTTCCCCTAAAAAATTACGATATGAGGTATACTTTAATTTTAAACTTTACTTAAAATTACTTTAAAATTAAAAGGACGCGTTTTGGAATGACTGCTTGATGAAATATTGCAGTAAAACAATGAACAATGATAGTCAGGTAAAAATTTACATTTTATGAGTCGGGGATCGAACCCACACTGTGATCAGTATGACATCTCAGACGACTCGGCCATCGCTCGACATGAAGTAGCAAGTGCGAATCTTGTGTAGATAAGTGTAGAGCTGATGCGCAGGCTACACAGCTACTGCGCAACCTCCTCAACCACTGCGCATCCTCCCGCGCATAGCGGTAGCAGTACCGGAGCATTCTGTAAACTCACTCACTTTTATAACGTGATTTTAAAAAAACCTGGGTCTTTTTTCCAAAATCTGATTACAGCGGGCTCATCTAGGGCCTATTACCTGTCGATTTACGCAAAAATCATGGAAATCGGCCCGGTAGAACGCTCAAACGAACTATGACAAAAAGTATAAATTTACATTGTTTAAATGGGAGAATTCGCAACTTTACCACGTAATATAAAAAAACCTGGGCCATATTTTGAAAATCTGAAAGGAGTTGGCTTATCTAGAGACAATTGCCCGTCGATAGCCGCAAAAATCATGAAAATCGGCCCGGTAGAACGCTGGAACTAAGCGTTACCAGTTTCGCAAAATTAGGAGGTCTTGGAGCTTATAGTATAGATAACACATATTAGCGCCTACAAGACTGCATGAATACTTCACGCATTGCGTCAAACACAGTGCGGTCAGCGTGGAACGCACAGCGCCTACCAGACTGCATGAATACTTCACGCATTGCGTCGAACACAGTGCGTTCAGAAGCGGTCGGCGTGAAACGAGCAGCGCCTACAAGACTGAAGGAATACTACACGCGGTCAGCGCGGCGGCGGAAGTTAACCATCTATGGCATAGCGTTACGAATTCGTAACAACTTATTTTCGGGGTTTTAAAAATTGAATCTTTCTGTGCCGTGTTTTTGCATAATTTCAATAGTTTTTTCTTTCTTTGAAAAATTAATTCCCTTAACTTTAGAATTTTAAAAAAAAAAAAATTGGTAGGTACTCTATTTTTTTTATGCAAGCTACAAAATAGATTAGTGTCCCCTAGAATCTGAGATCCAAAATTAAATCATGCCATAGAGGGTTAAAATTATTAAACCACATTTATGTTTGTTCTTTCATAATTTTTTTGTTCATTTTTTATAAATGGAAGGCCTTGTCTACACATGCAGAGGTAGGTTTACGAAACTTAACTTTTGCGCAAAGTTTCGTGAACTTTTGCTAGTAGTGTTGACAGGGCTTTCGCAAAAAAAAAATGTGTCCAACACGAGTAAACGCGTCTTATGCACCCCTCCCCCTCCGGCACGTTCACTTGATGGTTTTTCTCGATGTTTCAAAAACCAATGAGAAGGGGGCGGCAAAATACAGGCGTCCCATGGGCGGTAAGTAGTTAAATCCGGCCATGCACTTTTTACCCTTTAAATTTAATATTTTTTGGTGGAAAGCCAAAATTTTTCTGGGAGATTTTTTAGATAATTATGAAGAGGGGACATTTTTACAATACGGTAATCGCACTGATTCCTTTTTGCTAAATGCGCTCCAATTAAGAGACTGCACATTAGAATTTTCAAGTGTTGATGATGTTCCAGCTGGGGTGGAGACTTTACTACGTTCCATAATTCGAGAAAATCCACATTTTGGAGAGCAAGGATTTTTCAAGTGCAACTGCAAAGGAAGTTTCGGCGCAAATAGGTGTGCTACTGCAGGAAGAATGGAGGACTACGTTCATCAAAATGCCACAAATCATCTGCCTTTATACGAACAAATATCTACGATCAGGTAAGCTTTCTCTGCTAAATATGTTTTGTTAAATGGCTCGCAAACGGTCGATTTTACATCAGCCCGATTTTTTTGGCCGATCGGGATCTGCTCGGGTCCACACATCTTGATCCGAGAGACCCATTAATGATTCATTCAAATCGGCCCAGGGCTTCAAATTGTTATATAGAACTGCTAAGTTTGAACTTACCTCGCAATGCTTTGCCCTCTGCGGTGCAAGGTCCTTCGTCCAAAAGGCACTTGACATAATTATTGAGCAAACGTTTGCTGTTGAGGATGGATTTATAGTCAACATCGTCGTATTTATCGGAATATTTCTCCTCATCCGGAACGGGTGTTGCTCGGAGCACGTTGAAAACGCATACGCTGACGACAACTAGCAAAAGTGCCCTGAATGTCCCCATTGTGGACCTTTAAACGAATAAAACGGATAGAGTAAGCAATATATTGTACTTAATACGTACGTAACGAACCTATGCAAGGAAAATAATGTGGAGATTATTTCCTTAATAATAAAAACTGTGCAAATCTGTTTTAATCAGTCATATTTATCATACGCGAGTCAAATTTCAAGTTTATTTTAATTTTTTTTGTCTATTTTTTTCCGCGGACTCACGCAAGTGTTCTGTTATGCCAAGAAAAAACGTCGTATGAACTTTGAGATGTTGCCGAATTTCCTCTCATATAATACGAATTCGGGGGAAGCTGTAAATATTTTTCTTTAAATTATTTTTAGACCATTTTGTTTGCAATTCAATCTATAAAATATCTAGACGTTTCAAGGGAAACTGTGCATAAATTTCGTTAGAAATATATGTTTTATCCGGGAAATCTGGCAACTCTCGATTGTTTATACGGCGTTCCTCCTTAGCATGGCAGTGTTGTACCCTTGAGCGGACTTCTCAGAAATATGCTTGAGCCCCTCCAGAAAATATAAAAGATGTTGATAACTAATGGGTTACATATCTTCCATCTTTGAAATCGTACTTTGAAACTTATTCCGGTAAGAACAGCTCAAAATTGCGTCTGAGACGACTCAACTCTTCAATATTTGCCCGAGAAGGATCCTTGGACCCCCCTCTGGAGGAATTCCCCAAAACCTCCTTATTGGGGTGCCGTCTGCGCCCCTATTAGACCCTACTTGATAAGGTGCCTTTCTACCATCCCCACAAAAAGTTTCTATCGTTCCGCCCGAGGTTGCAGTTAACGGTGGATAGTATCCACGCGGATTTTTGAAGCATTGACTCCACGAAATCTGGATTTTCTGATGACCCAGCAACATAGGCTGAGATAAATTACGATGAAATAATTGAATTCTCGCGATTACACGGAATTGTCACGTATGTTGCCTATCAACTAATGGAAGGGGCTTCGCATATTGAAATTTATTGTAAGTATTGAAGTTGCAATGCAGTAAGTTGCAATTTTTCTTAACGTTGCTCTTTGCCTAGCATTCTGATGCATGGAACTATTTTTATTGATTATTAAAATTATGTAATCCAATAATGTAAAAATATCGCTGATCTATATCGAAAAAAAAATCTGCGCCGAGCACTCAAGGTACCACTGAACTTCAGTACGACTTCAGTGACTGAAGTCGTACCTACCTAAGAATGAAGGTTTAATGGTAAGTCAAACATTTCACCGTTGATGATTTTTAGGAGCTTTCCTGATTTTTTTAGAATTAGGTTGACTGGTTTTACAAGAGGCTATTGTACATATTCTTCACTACACTTAGATTTTTCCCGTCACCAGTAAATAATATCAAAATTATTATTGGTACTTTTATCGGACATCGTAAATTCTTTTTAAAAATAAAATAATTTATTTTTAATAATTTCAATAAATGCCCCAGTGCATCTGCCTGGGCTGAAAAATTCCCCCTCCCTCTTCAGACTCGCACTGGTACTCATTAGAGCTCAAAATTGTTGACTTTAATTGAAAATGCTGAATTTTTTGGCCTTGTTTCCCACGTAAAATAGTGTAAACCCGGCACTATTTGATCACCTTGTATATTGTCTTTTAGTATTAACTTTCCTCCTTTTTTTTCTAACCCCATTATTTCAATAAGTTATTGTACTCATATTGCACAGAGAGAGAAAACTGCAGAAGAATAGATATCCTAAGAATTGTCAAAATGTTCGTGCTTACCTCGTCAAAAAACGAAAGAAGAACGTTGCGTATGTATCCACTAGGTGACCACTTCACGGACTCATCACTGGAAGGAAAATCATTTCCCTTTTATTTTTATAATGATTTCCTGGTCTCATGGTCTCTTCTTTTTCTCCCATCTCTTCTCTCTTTCCAATATTCGTCGTTGCTTTTCCCACGAGTCGCCCTTAATATAATAATGCTAACTAATTAGCCACGAACTTCCAATGCTTCATTATCATAAGTATAAACTAAGATGAACTTACCTCAAAGCTCTGAGTCATGAGTGCTATAATGAAATATTCCTTTCGTTAGTCGTAAATGTATGCAAGCTTTTTCTCCATCGCGTCTATTTTAGTAAACCTAGCCGAAAAGGATCGACGAACTTTCCCCGAATTATGCTGAGAATTGAGGTAGAATGGAAAACAGACTGCCAGATTTCCGTTAGGGATACGTATTTTGCAAAATTAATTAGCGACACTGAAATTAGCTAAGTTACGTAATTTCAAAATGTTCCTGATTGACGAACCACTTTTACCACTTTTTTAAACTCGTTTAAATCAGACTATATTTTGGCCCATAATAAAATCCAAAAGAGTAAACATATAGGAACCTATTCTCTTTTTCTTCTGGGTGGACTATTTTTCCATTTTTCTTTTTTTTTTCTCTTTTTTTTTTGTTTGTCCTATCGCCCAGAGGAAATTTCGTTTTAAAATTGCGGTGATTTGGGAAGTCGCCGCAATGAAGTTCTATCAGAGTTCTATCGAAGCATTTTCAGGATATTCTATAAGTCCCCACTAACTTTCATAGTTCTTTTTTCTATCTCAAAAGTTAAATGAAAGTTTAAATCCCGCTCAGGATCGCTACAGACCAAGTAGAGAGAAAAAATTGTAACTACCAAATTAAATTCGCAACTAGTCGCGAAGTCGCTGCAACTTAACATTTTGAAGATACTGCCTGATGACTTAGGTTTTCCAGTGGTCCCACTGAACCTTTTTTAACTCTTCTTGGGAACAGTAATACGACGACGTTTAGTGGGTGGTTTTAGGTCATTTTCTTTGAGAAACATCTTTTTTTTTTTATTCTAGCCCGTTGCATAAGTCTTTTTCAGCAGACGCGGACTCGGTAATGGAACCTGCCGTAAGATAAATTTCCAAAGTCAAAAAAGCTCATATCTGAAACATGTCCAAACATCTGGAATTTCCAATAGCGATGACATGGCCGAAACAAAAATGCCCAAAAAGATGGTAAAATCCCACCATTTAAATGTTTGAAAATTCATAGAGTACATGCGACAAGATCGAAGGGATACACAGCAACTATACCTATAACTGGACTTGGGTCATACATGCATTAAGCAACAATTTTTTTAAGTCAAGAATACATCAGGATAGAATCATCAGGCGCGTCCCAGCGGTATCGAGAATTTCAAGATACATATACTATATTCCACGATATCCTAGGGGAACAGCCTAGTGTATTCGAGTTAGTATAAAAAATGTATACGAACAGGTTGGCCGGACATTCGGAAAAGTTTGATTTTGGCCATGTTACCGCTATTGGGCATTCCAGATACTAGGAAATATTTTATTCTTGGACTTTTTTGTACGGGACATTTTTTTACTCTGGACATTGATTTTTGGACATTTTGCACTATCACCGCGGACTGAGTGCTTAAAAGTTTTTCAGTCGATGAAGCCCATAAAATGTTTATCCGGTAGGTAAACACGGCGCGCGCGCGGTGAGTACGTAAATCAGATAAACTGTTGATCGGGAGACGTTGATATTGCGTGACGGGAAATGCATTATTAGCTTTTACCTTCGTTTATACCGGCTCTCGGTTGCCAATTATCATGCTGGAGGTTTTTACGCCGGGGCAGACCAGGTGAATCGTCGGCGAAAATAAAGTGAGAAGTATGACACTATCATCTCGAAAATTATTACTTCGGTAGCGGTTTTCTTCGAATTATTTTTACATTTTCCGCCCCTTCCACTTTGCGCTTCCGCCACGCCGCGCCACACAGTGGATCGAGTCAATCAGAGAGGTCGGACATGAAATTTTTTACTAAAACAGCAAATTATGATAGTTTATTTCACCACATTTTAAATTTTAAGGGGTGTTTCTTGAAGAGCATTTCACGAGAAAATCTATGGAATCACTTTTGGAACCTCAAAATTTTGTATAAACGGAGTTGTAGGCTTTTAAAGTTTCCAAATTTTGTCCGACCTCTCTTGTTGACTCGATCCACCGTGCGCCGCGCCGCTTCGTTTGTCAGATTGTCGTTGTTTCATTAGGTGTGTGCATTCTTTTCATGCAAGCTTTCATTTAAAGTGAACATAAATTAACAGAATTGAATCACGTGACAATGATTTCTGTGTTATTATACCAACCCTAGTTTGCGGGCCGATTATTGAAATTGATAGACAAAGCTATAATCTAAGAATACAAAAGGCTTATGGAGAGACCCTATTGGTGGAAGCGGGTGGTTGTGATGGATATAAAGGAGGTAGGTAATAGACTAAGTAACTGCAACCCATGAGAGACCCTACAGTTAGTTCACAATTTTCTCCCTCAATCTATAGAAACCACCCATTTCAACCATAGGATCGCTCATTACTCCTTATGTCTGCTTAGTCTATCGCTTCGTCTATCAATTTCAATAATCAGCCTGCTGATGGACTTGGATATTTTAGATCCGGAGTTTGCTATTACGGGTTTGTTGCAAACATTTCGTAGTTTCCGGGACGAAGAAACGTAACTCTATTCCAAGGTTGCAAAATTGATTTAAATCATTCAATGTTTTACAAGATTATACATGTGTAATACTTGTCTAAAATTAAAGAGTAAGTCAGAAATTCACTCCTGATTCCACAAGCTGCGTAAGACATTTTCGCCTTTTAGAGCTTCCCGTTACTTCCATCAAAAGTGTACCATGACGAGGACATAATTTTATACTCCCGAGTCCCCCGATTTTATTTTTACATTTACGAAACTTAATCAGTTTAAAGTTCTGTCGACTCTAGTTCCGCAAGAAGGCCCTGGTCATAAATTCGATCAGAGACGTATATTTTTTTTTTCAATGTGAGACCCACAAACAGCTGGCAACACACTTATACATATTCAGAGGACCAAGTCTCCATTTTAGCTATCGTGGACAACAAATGGACTGCATTTTGCGATTAGAGACTACAATTTCGACTGGCACATCCGTAAAAACACTTGTGCACACAGGGGAACTAATGGTGCATGCGTTGTTTCTTAACTGAGCCAGAAATTGTAGTATTCCGACCCGTTAAATGTAGCCCAAAGAGCGCGGCGGGAAGCCGCTTTACAGCGCCTTCAAAATTGGTAAGATACTTCAAACATTACACCGCTACGCATGAGCTTCATGTCAATTACCTTCCGAATGGAACTGTAAACCTACATTCATCATCATAAGGAGTCGGGCACGTTTCTCTAACTTGTTTATGCCTAATGTATCCAGTAGCAATACTTCATCCCTAAAACTTTCTTTTTGACAATTTCAATAGATAAATCACAATTTCATGCTAGCAGGACAACTAATCGTGAAAGGTTTAGGTCCTGTCTTCTTGCTTTTTTTTTTTTTTTTTTTTTTTTTTAAATTTTGGAAACAGTGTCCGTACACATACCACACTTTTGCCCTCCCTTTCTTGGCTTAAAGAAACGAATCATACAGGTGGCTGAAGTCGCAAAATGCGTATCTTTGTTTGTGACAGTGTAAATCTCCGCTCAAGTTCGATTCTTTTTTAACAAAAAATTAACCGGCAGTTGATCTTGAAATTCACGACAAATTTTCCTCTCATTCAAAATCGCATTCTCAAAAATTGTGATTGATTTTGAATCATTCCGAGGAGACATTTCGGCCTGCCCTCTTTTAAAAAATGGAGCATACTCTGAGATTTTCAAACATCGCCCTGGAGATGCACATTTTACGCTTTTAGTCATCGGAACGTTTCCGTCTAGGAGAGTGAAATAAAATCTTGTCGGAGATAACTTGAAAAAAATCTAAAAATTCACTTTATTCAATCACGTACGGAATAAACTTGATAATTTTTAAAATAAATAAATAAATTATTAATCACTAAAACTCTTTCGAAATACTTGATTTCCATGGCAGCCTAATAATCTTACGCTAAATAATTGTTAGCCAAGAATTCGACTACTTTAGTATATTCATTCTCTAAGCAATCCGAACTTGACTAAGTTGGGGTCGAGTAGCTGGCTCATTTGCAAAATTAACATTCTGGTAACTAAAGCAGATTGGAAAGGGTCTCGTTGTGTAGTTTGAAATTGGAATTGGAATGGATTAGGCGGATGCCTTGAGGTACTCTTGAACGAGGGGCTTGTACTTGGCCCAGTATTCTCCGGTGGGGTCCCACTTAGCACTCAGCTCCTTCCATTCGGTCGGGTACTCTGCGGTGACCCGTTCTACGATCCTTGCAGCGCCTTCCTTTTGCTTTTCAGTGCATTTTGAGCAGGCCGTTTTCAGAGCATCGGGGAGGAGACCTGAAATCAAACACCCAGTCAATATACACCTTTTTTAAAAAAATTAACTTCATTAATTTTTGGCTCTTTGGAAGAAATATATTTAGCTTTCCTCAAAAACCGCCCGGCTATTTTGAAAAGTATTAGCCTTCACTAAACTGATTTGAACATCTTGTAAGTATGAAAAAATTATAAAAGATCTAGATCTTTTAAGAGTGCTGCAGTACTCTTTAAACGTTTTAATAAATCTCTAAATAGTTTGTTTCACTTTTTTCTTACTTAAAATCATCTGATATCAATTTTTAATAAAAGAAAAAAAATTCAAAATGTTTTAATTGTAAATTTCAACAGTTTTTTGAGTTGTGTCTTTGTTCATTCACAAGTTTTCAACGATTATTGCTACGAGGAATAGGTAAATCTCGGTGTTCTGGGGAAGAAACTTAAAAACCATCGTGTCCTTATTGTTAAATTAGATAGCTACATAGTTTTTGGCGTATTGAATCATTTTTAAGATTAATTTTCATTACATTTGAAGGATCTGTTTAAGCTAGATCGATGGGGTCAGACTTGCTCGGGTGATGGGGTGACGATCGCCACCTGGCCCTGAGGTCTCACTTGACATGCCGGCATTCCGGCATGCCAGTGATGAAAAAAATGTAAAACATGCAAGAGAGCGTGAAACCCCGAGTATTGAACATTCAATGAAACTCATCCTGAAGAATAATTACGACTCACTGGGGGTCAAGGCCCAACCGGGGGAAAATGAGGGGCCCCGATCACTGCAATAGAAGTTGAAACTGCCGAAAATCAAATTTGAAATGACAACCCAGTTGAGTACTATACCAAAATTCCTCAAACAGTTTGTAATTGTCGTATTTTTCAGAATATTATATCATATTGTCGAAGATGTTTAACAATTTGGCTACTGGACCCAACTCCCCCTTCCCCAGCGTGAGGTGCAATGTCTGGGCCTCTGAGACTGAGAGGCGCAATGGAGCAATGCCTCTAAAACACTGTCTTTATCTTAAGATATATTTTTATGCCCTACTCAAACAGCAAAAACGAGTGTTATCACTTTCAAAGCTCCTTCAAACCCAACTTTCTTTTACTTAAAACATGCTCTCCTGAAAGTAAACGTAAGTTCAATGTATTATATTAGCCTAAAAGGGTACTAACAAATTTTCACCAAAAAAATTATTTCAGAACATTTAAACAGATTTCGGCCCATCCTTTAACCACTTTAAAAAAATTTGAGTCGTGTTGCCTGGCCAGAAAATCAGTTTTTTGCTTATTTTATAAAATTTGGTTTTTGTTAGCTTTCGCCTCTCTCCCAGAAAGCGATCAAAACGTGAAAAGTGGACTGCGTTTAGCAGAAAGGAACCCAACCACAACAGCTATTGCCAAATTTGTCCGGGCAATTCAATTTTTTATGAGAGAACGTTGTGCAGATTCCTTTGAAAATTTCAAGGAATTTGCTTCGAACTATGCAGAAAATCCACCGAAATTTTCAAAAAAAAAAAATGCACACAACCGTTTTCATTTAAAAAATTAAATTGCCCAATTAAATTTGACGAAAACTGATGTACCGTGGTTCCTTCCTACTTAACACGGTCTAAGTAACCGAGGGAAGAATGTTGATGTGTAAGGCAACTTACGTTTGAGTTCACTTCCTTCCGGAGTGCAGGGGCTTTTGTCGAGTAAGCAGGTGAGGTAGCTCTTCAGGAGCCTTTTGCTGCCCAAAATATCGTCGACGTTGATGTTGTCATATTTGTCCGTGTATTTGTCTTCGGCAGGGGCCGCGTAGACGAAAGCGGCGCCGAGCACGCACAACACCACGAGAACTTTGAACATTTTGGCACAAACACCGGATCGGAAACACTCGCTAACTTTCAGGGCAAAGGAAATATTGTGACTTTGAGTTTGGTAGCTTGATTGGTTTTATCAGTTTTATATTGAGCTCGCTCAAACTAGTTTCAGGTGTTTACGTCACTTTCGGCCAGTCGCGGTCACCGGCGAAGTACCCGCTACTTGCTCGAATTCGTGAGTAATGGCTAATGACCGATTACCAATTCGAGTCTATCCATGAACCAAGTGTGACTTTTCTCAGAAAAACAGAAATAGGTGTGCTTTTGTCGTATGATCCAAAATTTGTTGACGTGAGAATTTTAACGTACAGGAAAAATTGTGGGAAGAGGATGACGAGTTGTCGAGAGCTGGCTCTGCCATCTCTAGGGCTGATTATTGGAATTGATAGACAAAGCTATAGACAAAGAATACAAAGAGAAAATGGAGCGATGCTATCAATGGAAGCAGTTGCCTGCAATGGACAAAGGTGTTAATTGCAGTACCAATTAACGGCATCCCCTGAGAATCCTTATAGTTAGTCCATCGTTTCCCCCTTAATCTATGAAAACCATCCGTTTCAACCAAAATGTTGCTCCATTTTCTATTTGTCTTGCTTGTCCATCACTTTGTCTATCAGTTTCAATTATCCGCTCAATGCTCAAATGTATAACCTCTTGCTAATTGCACGGATTTAATCGGAATCTCTTTTTTTTTTTTTTGAAGAGATTTTATTTGAGTACGATGTAACTATACTACAAGTATTTTCTTGTATGCATCTACTTGATTCAAAACTAAATTAATTGCATTAAATTTATAGAGTAACGTTAGATAACAAAATCAATCGGAATCTGTGTAACTATATCAGACATTGCTTGATTTTCTCTGATGTATTATATTTCAAACAGAAAATGAAGCAACACTGAAACTGGATATTTTTTAAGTCTATTCTTTATAATCTAGGAGAAGATCATAGACAAGGGCATCTATGAAGTTCAGTTCTCTGTCAAAAAGCACCATCACAAATAAGACAAATGGAACCAACACAGCATGGGAATAGAGCAAGGGAAAGGACGCGCACAGACGACGGCGCAGAGATACAACTATTCGTGCTTGATGGATGTCCGTGTTGCATCTACAAAATTGAAGGCGCTTTGGCGCGTGGCGTGAAATCGCAATACTCTACTCCACACCGCTATCAATGAGATGTCACTCAGATTTGGGAGTAACGTTAAAAGACGAGACTCAAATACGTTTCTCCTACCTTCGGCTGTGTTGTCTTGCGAGTCTTCCCTTTTTTCCCCAATTTTATGTCCGATTCTTTTATAGAATCTATCTGTACCTATACACACCTGTATCTAAAGCTCGTATGTACCAGCCCCGCATACAACCTGTGGACTGTGGTCCTCGTGTTTTCATTAAGCCTTGGGTCAATTTGACTCGGCTTAAGCATTTAACCCTTACCTGCACACATTATGGGTTTCGAACGTTTTTTTGAAATTTCGAGTTTTCTAAGGCCTGTTGGGTCTAGATAACTCAAAATTAGTGAAAAAAAAATTTTTCGACTTTTTTTTACCCGGAAATTTTGACAAAAAAGGGTGGTCAGTATGACTGACCACTGAACAGGATAGGAATACGCAAATTTCCTATTCACCTATGTGGATAAAATTTTTGTGTTTTTTTTTATTTTTGTGTAAAAAATGATCCTTGTCCGCCTACCTATCACAATAAACTACTAAAGATTATCACTACTAAGATTATCACTATAATCTTTTGTTTGTTTTATTCAAGCTTTTGTATTTTCCGTTTTATTAACTCTTTATTCTAGTGAAATTTAAAGTTTAGTCTATCTTAGTTTATCTCGTCTTATCTTATTTATTTTGAATGATCAAATTCTATTTTATTTAGTCTAAAACTTTAGTAAATGTATATTACTTTTACATAGTTAGAAGCTATGTTTTGAAAAGTTTTTATTACCTAAAATTATTAAATTGTTATTTATCTCTATATTGAAAAAATAGTGTTTTCTTAAACTAAATAATTAATCTAATTTATTTTTGTTTTAAAATTTTTAATTATCTTAATAGCTTCAGTATTATGCTTTATAAATTTAAGCTATTAAAACAAATAAAAATTATTATAAAAATAACTATGATTAAAATTGTAGTGTTCAAATGAATTTGGTTTGTTTTAAACAGCAGGTGTGTTCTTTTATAAATAAGATTAATTAATGAGCTTACTTGATTAATTACTATTCCTTTTTCTGTAGTTTTTAATATTTTAGCGTTTTGAGCTATAAATATTACTTTACCGCATAGGCTTTTGATACCTATCCGCGCAAGACAATCAATTTCTGCCCTCCAAGCCCCCAACCCTTCCCTCGCAGACCTCCCCTTACCTTCCATACTAACTTTACCAGTGAATTATAATTGTTGACTCCGTAGATTTTGTAAGTTTTTCACTTTTTCTTACATGTTTGTAAGTGATAGAGTCTCTGTTTTTGGAAATTGAGTGAAGCTAGTCTTAGAAAAATGTATAATTTATTATAAAAGAGTATAAATAAAGCAGAAATATATAAAACTGCTTGAAGTGAAGAACATATGAACGTAACTGGAATAAGTAAGGAGGCAATCAAAGACTAGTCACAATGAAATAAATTCATTCCTTCAAAATGCAACGATAATGGTCCTTTCCCACATAAGACTAGCAATTTTAAAATAATAATTTTGGTCAATAATTAAAAGTAATGAACATAATCATAAAAATTACTGATAAAATAATAATAAAAAATAAAGCAACAAGAATCCAGTTCCAGCTCCTATAGCCACCTGCACGGTGGTCAGTTATACTAACCACCATGTTCAAGCATGAATTAAATAATCAAAACTTCTGAATTTTTCAATTGCCAAATGACATTCTCGCAGCATTATAGTCTAACTTAATATTTTACTACTAAATCAGAACCATTTGCGTCGCACAAGCAACTGACAACCGCAAAACTGGAGATAACACCGGCGGCACCAAACCTCCAACGAATCGGAGGTAAACAATAGATGATAAAACAATATTGCCAACATAACATCGCCCGGCAATATTTTTTTTCATATTCTGGACCATATACCAAGTATAACTACATGGTTGGTAAGGGTATGTCGCGCCAAAACGGCCATGAATAATTATTTAAAAAGGTGGTCAGTATAACTGACCACTGAGCAGGTAAGGGTTAAGGGTTGAATATCACGCTAGGCCTTTTATGTGTAAAATGATGTCGTTGAATTTTTCCTCATGTCACTAGAGTCCCTTTATACTGAGAGTCAAGACAACTCGGCTCATGGATGTCACAAACGGGAATAAAGATTACAGAAATTGAACGTTTTTCGTAATCTTTGATCGGCCCATTCTCAAATGCCTTTCTCCGTTCCTCCTCTCATTCCGTTTGTTCCTTGCCGAACCCGTAATTCCCTGGTCCATTCCAGATTATAATCTTTGCAATTGGTGAAAATGTAATCTTTATTCCCATTTGTGACACTGTGGAGGCCTAAAATACGGGAACCAATCAGAAATGGATTCAAATTGTCTTGACTCTCAGTATAAAGGGACTCTACATGTCACATGCTGATGAATCCTTCAATGCAAATGGAAGATGTACCCTAACGGCAGCCTCCAACTCTTCTTACGAGGTGATTGAATTTCTATTTTAAATAATAAAAAAATGGTAACACAGAAGTTTTATCATCGCAGCATCATGGATCATTAATACATATCTTCTTTTGGACTCATCATACGAAGCTAAAAAAATTTCACTTTTAAAACGTTGGATTAATTTCCTCTGTTGATTTAATCACTGTCTACACACCTACACTGCAGTTCCATGATAAACTGCTGTATGAACGTTCAAATGTTGCCAAGTTTCCACTGATAGAATAATAATTTCGAAGGACTATTATGAATATTTTTCTTCGAAATGTACACATAATTTAGATTGTATTGCTACTAAAATTATCAAAGAACCCGAAGGAAAAGAAATTCACATGCTTTCCTGAAAATTCAAATGTTTACAAAAGAAATTTGGCAACGTCAGAAGACTTATACGGTATGGCACTCCTCTTTAATACGTCAGTATAGTTATCATACATTTCATAGAATTGAATGAATACGGCTACCAGTTGATTCTCTAGAAATCTGAGTCATGACCAGACACATGCACGAGGAGTCCTTCAGTTTGACATTGGGGCGGCGAAATTATTGAACGCTGGAAGTTGTTGGAGTGATCGCCTGCATAAAAATCGAACTTGTTCCGTCCAGTAAATTGGAACCAGTAAACACATGAACCTACTTTTCTTTTTGTGAAGAACCGGTTCGGTGAATGCACATTCATAGAAATAGTGATTTGATAGTGCATTTTGAAGAGCACCTACGGAACTACAACTATTGCAGTTTTCAAACACTTTCGCAGACATCTTCAAGCGTAAATCTACCTACTTACCTACTTAGTCGAAAGAGTAAATCTCCAGGTTTGTACCAGTGTCCGGATTCTGTTCCAATTTTTAACATATGATCCTCTGATCATTCTTGCTTTTGTTGGATAAAAATGCTCTGTGGTTTCATTATAAAATTAGCTCCCTCTTTCAAGAGTCGCAAACTAAATTTTTCAGCAAATTTGAATGCAAAAAAAAATAAATAAAAAAAAATAATTATTACCAGTCTTAATCTACAGGAGATATTGACGCTGTGTAGTAGTTGTACTGGTAGTAATGGTCCCTGGTATCGGTAGGTCACATGTAAAATCATTTCGAACGAGACACAACCCGACTAACACGAACTAGACTTTTCCTTTATCTCATTTTTTAAAATAAATTTTCGTTTTCAGTTTGAAGAGCAAAAGCACTGGGCGGAAATTAAACATTGGAACATGACTAATTGTAGGACAATAAAATACGATAAGTCGTTCAAACAAAGAACGATTCGGTATAGTCGCTTTAAGGAGCGGCAAGTTCCTACTCGTATTCTCTAAGATAGTTTTCTCATTTTAATAAAACTACCGCTTTTCCGTGGATGGTTCATACTTAATAAAACTACCGCTTTTCCGTGGATGGTTCATACTCGTTGAAATTTTTCTGTGGAGTCAAAGGAAGAGCAAATATAAAACATTAGCGAGAGCTTACGGAGAGAACCTCCACACAAAACCAGCGAGTCGAGATACCGGTGCGTCTGTTTGTAGAAATTGCCTTCAAAAAATAAAAACGCAACTTATCATACAACCAAGCAACGTAACTAACTTGTAGGTGACCGCCTCGTTCGGACAGGTGTTCAAGCTTCAAGCTCACGAGCCTATTCAAATTCGAAGTTTCTGTTATGATTGCACTGTCATACTTTACTGTGAATGCTACTTTTTTTGCACCAGTTTATGGTGTTGTAGGAATTAATTTCTTGAACGGAGGAGGGAAAGGTAGAGGAGAGAGAACCATTTTTATTCTTTGAAAATGAATTAAATTTCGTCAGCTCCACAAGATTATGTCCTAAAAATTTCGTCTTTAAACATGTTAGTCGTTAATTTTGAATGATAAAGGTCATGTAATTTTCACAATTAAGCTGTCTGCTTTTCTACGTATAATTTCTCTTTTTATAATGGTGAGGTATAAAAATATATTCAAATCCCTCCCATTTCATATCAAATTTCATGTATTTCAGATCATCTCAATTTCATATTTCTTTAAGCTTAGAATGACCTTTAAACCAAGATGGGAATCTAGTTACTCAGATTTAGCTTAGGCCTGGCCTAGCTTCATTCCTAAATTTAAAGCACCTTGCTTTCAGCTTTGTCTTCGAAGTAATTTCTATTGAAAGAAATTCTTGCGCTAGATTTTGTTGCAAATTATTAACAACATATTCCACTCTTTTCTTCCTGAAATGTGAGCTGCGTCTAGTAATGGAATACTCGTTGAAATCAATCACTAACTTTCCTTACAGTATAATATCGTAACTGCATTATGCAATCAGGAACTACAATTTCCGGCTCATTTTTGAAACAACATTCGTGTCATTAGTTTCCCTTCGCAGACAGGTGTTTTTCTTTAATGTATGAGCCAAAAATTACATTTCCTTATTGCAAAATGAAGTCCATTTGGTAAAAAAAGAATGTCTCGTTATCAGGTACTGTGATTGTCACATCTTCATGCTTTACTGCTCTGTATGATATGCATATTTTATTATGTTTCTGTCTTTGAAGTTTTTAGTATCGTATGTTATATATCGACGTTGTAACTACAAAAATGTGCGTATCTTGCTTTGCGGCGTTGCAACCTCCTGTCTTTTTTTACTTTCTACATCGAAAAATACTGACCGTCATGCCTTAAAAACTTCCGCAATTTTTCTTCTCTGCATAAAAAATGTTGTATGTAAATTTCAGGACGTGATGTTGGTTAGGTCTCCTTTTAAAAAATAAAATATGAGCGGAGTTTTTGAAACAGCGCAAACGAGATTTGCATTTTTGCAGTCACCATCGATATGATCATTCTAGCCAAAAAGTAAAAAGACTAAGTTAAAGAAAATAAATAATTTAATAATAAATACAAATAATTACAAAAACATCAAATAAGATCGATCCATGCTGCTTGAAGCTAACATTAAAGATGCTAGATAATTTTGGCCGGTGAAGAAATAAAAATCAATTAATATAAAACCTTAAAATAAAAATATACATAAACAGCAGTTTTGACATAAACTATACCCTCTTATGACTCATTCTTCTTCTTTTAATGTTCAAAAAAGGACTCAAAATGAGCGAAAAAACTTGAAAAATTCTGTGTAAAAGGTCACACTGCGCTTTTTTTTATCGGTTTTAATGGTAAACACATTTCAGATTGAGTCCGAGGAACTATTAACTTCCAAGACATTCTAAAATCTATCAAGAGATTTACAATAATCTTTCAATTTCTCGTATTGTTAAGCATCGTCATTAAGTATAATTCAGGAACCTAAATGCCTTTTCAATGACACTCTAACTTTTTACTTATTTACACGTAATAATTGTCAAATTAGCTGATCAAAGCAGAAAATGTTTCAACCACCAAAATTTTCCTCTCTTTGGTTTTTTTTTTTCAACGAAAAATTTAATCGTTTGTAAAAGTAGAAATCCCAATGTGATGCCCGAAAGAAATTCCCGACAAACCTAATTTTACTCTACAGTGAAGACGCCCAATCAAAAAGTGAAAATTCACGTCCTATACATTAAACTTATTTTAGACCCGTTATTTGAAGCTTAAATGTTTTTTACAGAATTTAATTTCATCTCAATGGGAACATTTTGATAGTCTGAATATAAAATACTTATTGAAAAGTCTCGATACACGATCAAATTCCGAACCAATTCTGATCAAAGTAGACCAGTTGATGACTGATTGTCACTATGCAACAGGCCTCTTTGATCAAAATCGGACGGGCCGTCAAATTTTAATCAGAATGGAGCGCCACCATTCATCATTTCTTGCCACACGAAACATTTCTGCCAGGTTTTCATTTGAAAATTAGGCGAAGTAACGATTTTAAGACTGATGACTTCCGACACTGTTGTGGAAATTGGTTCGGGAATTTGATCGTGTATCAAGGGCTTTAGATTTTTCATTTGAAGCTAAAAACGTCAGCAGGTACGTTTTTTTCTTCTTTTTGTTCTTCTTCTTTCTTTTGAAAGATTTAGATCTATCTATTAGGGCAGTGTTTAACTTGAATTTCATCATGGGATTGAAATCAACGGATTTTTAAGGTGCAAAATTTTCCAATACTTTTATATGCTCTTGAACGTTCAATATAGAAACTGTACTAGAGGCGACAGCCTCTTTATATGGAGGGGGAAGAAACTTTCCTGTCGGTTTATAACAGGAGCATCCACTAAATGGCAACATCACTGGAATTCTCTAATTTCTCTTCGAGCTCACTCGAATTTTCTTCTCAAGAAAGCCTTGCTTTTTGAAATAATAGATGCACCTAGGACAGCTCCTTTGTGAAAAATATTCACTGGATGCCCCTGCTGGTTTTCTCCATGCATGGTTTATCCGCATTAAATCAAAGAATGGGATTTATTGCGATAAACTCTTTCACTCTCTTTCTCTTAAACCATCACAATCATTTATGCTCCAAAAGCACGGATCTTTATACAAAAGCTACACCCATAATATGGTTTTCACAATATCTATCAAGAAGAGATATTTACTTATCGCAACTATTTCTTTCTTTAAGGAACAAGGCCCCTTTTTCTCTCAAGGTAGTTCATTGGTTCTATAACTTCCAGTCATTTAGAGTTCATATGGAACATCTATACTGTGGCTCTCAGAATTACAATTTTTTTCATAGTGTTAGGTAAAAGTAGGAATTATGAAAATGTGATGAATGTACCCAGAACTGAACCATTTCTAACTCAAAAATAAACATACAAATCTTTGAATAAATGTGGTTGCAGCAAAAGATGGGGACATTCTGTTCATTATTCATACTTAATTGATTATTTCTTAAGATTATTTATATTTAATCGATCATCTTTTAAGTATGCACCGCCGAGCGCAGAATTATTAAATTTCTTATTGCTACTTTTCAGAGCTTTTGTCTTTTACAAGAAAATGGTCGTAGACTTCTCGTTAAAAATTGGTCAACTCCTCTCTACACCCTATTCTACAGACAATTTGATGATATTAAATATCACAAAGTATGTAGCTTATCACAGTAGCTTTTCTATGAAGGATAAAACTCTCTAAAAAACGTAACGTATGCTACGACCGTTCGCATTCCACTATCTTTCTAACTGGAAGTTTCAAGGTATTTATCACGGGAAGTATCATTACTTCTTAACTTCTAAACTTAACATTAATTTATACATTTTGACATTTTTTGGCACTGGGGATTGTGAGAAATGGCTGTTTGAGTAGGTCTGCTGCTGCTTGAACCACCTCTGAAAGCTTTCTTGACGCGTAATGAAGGGAACTCAAGACTTTCCTTGGTTGGCACACGATGAGTATATTGGTCATGTCTGCTTCTGCTTCTCGCTGAACGGGAACGAACGGGTTTTCCTGCTACGTGTATGGAGCCGTCACTTTTGACTGAAGGTAATAATGACCCCTCATTCACAGTGTTTACGTCATTCCAAACCCTCCTATTTAAACAGATAAATAAACAAACTGTGAAAATTAGTGTTAAATGCCTTATTTATAACAAAAATTAGCCACCACATACATGTGATAACTTTTCAATTGATTCTTTGAAAAAATTGAAAAATCAAAAAATATGCAAAAATTCTAAAAAAAAGAAAAAGAAAAAGGTCGAATGAAACATTCTTTACGTCCTTAAAACACGTTTCTACTTCGACCTCTAATAACCCGCGGGTCACTGCTGAAACTTTCAAATGTTTAAGCTCTTGGTCCTCAAAATTTAAACTTCCTGGACTCCAACATGAATTATAACACTACATAGAAGCTGATCGTCAACAGCTAAAGTGACCAGGCTTTAAATATCGACATTTTTCTATTTTAAGCTATGTTAAAGAATCGATTATTAAAGTGTTCGTTGCAGCCCCCTTTTAATCAATCTTTTTTCATAAGTTCAAATGCCAAATTAATCGATGAATCGCGAAGTGCGACACGCCACTGATTTGAACGGGTCTAAAGCTCGCTAAGAAGCTCATAGTGACATCAACAAAACTTCCGAGTCTTAGTATATTCGAGTCACAATCAGTTTGCCAACCAAAGTGAGTCATAGCTTCACAAATTAGTATTCTCGAAACGAATGGGTACTTAGATTTTAATCGCTGAGATGTCCATGATGGGTTTTCAGTTTTTCCTAAGGATTCCGCCTCTATTTTATATTAAAGTGTATGATTTCGTCGTCGACCAAACTGAATGAATGAAAAATTGTCACTCAAAAAATCCGCTGCGCACTACATTCAGTGTAAAACTGTCATGTTTCGCTCACCCAGCCTGCCATGCCCCATGCGGCCATGCTTTACAGCTGATGTGAGTACAGAAGAAGGTAAACAAATACTTTCATAAACATAATGAGAGAGGGTGTCTGTTATTGATCAGAAAAAAATGTGTCTTCATTATTAAAGAGGGAACCCAAATTTTGGGAAGTCATCCAGATTTCTAGACAAAAAAAAAGTAAAATATTTTGTGACACTATATGACTGTTGTTAGAATAGGACTTCCTGCTGGCAATGTGCAGCGACTGATCTTCAAAATGAGACAAAATTGCAAGAAAAAAACTGTAAATCAGTTCCCTGTTTCACTGACGTCTCATACATGCTCTATTTACGTTTTGTAATTTATTTTTTGAATGTGAATTACACAAAAGAGAGCGATGTTACATCCACAAGCGTATAAAGCATCACACGATTTTATATACCGTGCGTGAAAAATAGAGAGTGAGATCTTTTGGATTGATGTTGATGTTTAAGAACTTTAAAAAAACCCTCATCCATTCAACTCTGGCAATCCGCTTTCTTGCATGTTTCGGCTTAATGCAGAAGCTACGATCTTTCGCAAAGATTATAAAATACGAAGGATTGTAATCATTGATGCCTACATATCTATTTGTTTCTTCACAACAATAAAATCAAATGTGCACGCACGCCTAAGATGAACACGTATTTGCCATTAGTATCCAAAAATAGGTAACCCTCTGGAAGGCGAATCGATTGGAAGTTATACCTCCAATATATCACATAAAAAGCTGGCTCCGTCCTCATCGCAGATTCGCATGTGCACTTATCTATCGATTGAGCGAAATTGCTTTTACCCAGAAGTAGAAGTTGTTATTTGTATAATCCGAGTCGAGTAGGTTGTATTTTGCTCGTATCTCTACGAATCGTACACTTTTATTCGAGAATTGAACAGCTTCAAGAGGCCACGCAGTCTGAGAAATGAGTATTCTTAATTTCATCGAATAAAATTGGAAAAGAAGTCGTATTTCCAAACAATTTGTCTGTTCTCCGTCCATAAATGTTTTCGTTTTTTAAAATGTCCAATTACCAATAAACCTACTTTTTTCCCCTTTTTTTAGACCAAAATTGACTGTATGACCAAAAAACGCATATCTCTGCTTGCAACGTTGCAAATACCCACTCATATTTATTTTTCAAAAGAATGATGACTGAAATTGTCCTTAAACTTTCTGTGAATATGTGAAGGTTTTCACTCATTTTGGAATACTTACGGACAGTTTTGAAGAGATATTTTAATTAGTATTTCTTTAAAAAAAAATTGAACATAATTTGAAATCTTGAAACGTTGTAATGAAAATCCGCGTTTTTTGTCTGCATGCGGCCGAATCAGGTTATGATCACGAAAAATTTTGGTCACGTTTATTAAGACAGTGCTGGAGGTGAATACTTTCGTCCGCAGTTCTCCACTCCGCAAACTTTAAAAATAAAATTAAAAAATTCGAATGAAAACCCAAGTTTGTATACTTGGCTTTATTGCTTTATAAGAATAATAAATCCAGTAATAAAATAATTTTTGAGGAAACTTCAAGAAAAACTATTTGACCTTGGGGACGCACCATAGAAATATAGAACTCGACAACCGGTGACGCAGCGCCGGCGGCGCCAAGCAAATATTACGAGAGGTAGAAAAAGTCGACTTCACAATGAGAGAAAAGCTCTGCAGAACATATAATTTGAATGAGATTTGCATGAATGAGTTCGCTTTTTTCTCACGGATAAATCGATAATATTATACTTAACAATCTCATCAGCATTGCCAGGTATTACTGAAGGAACGCAACACAATGTGACTATTCCCATCGTTTAAGCGTCACACGTTTACAAGTATACCCATGGGTCGTTCTCGATTGTGGTTTGCTTGTCGTTTGGTTCCGAGCAATGGTACATAACCTCAAACAAAAATTTTAGGACCTAAGTTAGAAAAGCTAAAAAAGAGGAAATTCCTAACAATTGCAGTTTTCATTGCCATGTACTACTCATAAGAATCAAAAATCAATCAGTTAAATACCCTTTTCACACAGATTATTCACATTTGCTATTTTTACTTGTTTAATCAGTCGATATCGATACTATCTTAGCGAAAGAACGCCGATTCTATATATCGAACACGATTCATTGAAACTTTGAAGATACTTAACTCAATTTGCAGCGCTCCTAATTTTCAGTTGCATCACGTATTTTATTTTTACTCAAAATCATAACTCATCGTCATTTTTTTCTAGTAAAATCCAATGTGTTATTTTTTTATTTTTATTTTTTGCTTTTACTCGCATCCTTCAGAGAAAACACTTCGATGTGGTGCCCCTTTTTTTCTCCCCTTTGAAAAATAATTTAATTGTTGTTAGGAAATTTGAAACGTTGTAACCAACATATACGTGAGTTTGTAATATTACCAATAACACAAAGAAAAATTAGTAAATCTCTTCATTTCAATCCTCATTTGCTGTAAAACTTGGTTAAGAGTCATCAATCAGTGCAAAGAGTATGACATAATGACTTGCTTTTTTCCCCGATACACTCGTATTGCGTTTTTTGTTCCAGACCTCCGCGGGGAACAAAATCCTCGCATGCACATTTTCCATTATTCGTGAAATCCACAATGGTCCAGACTTTTTTCTCGTGCAAAAATAAATATTCTCTTATTATGTGGCACATTTTTCATTGTTGAGGATAAATAATTAGTCCCATCAGTTGTCGAAGGAAAATATGAATAGTATCTACAAGATGACATGCATGTTTAAATTGAATGATTCAGCTCCATGAGTTTCAAGATTCAATGAAACCCTTTTCATGAAGTACATATTATGCATTTAATTTCGCGCATTCCGATCGCTCTCTTTTCTTGCCCAATATCATCTGATCTCTGATTTTATTCTTATTTATTTTTCTGTTTGCCGCAATTTTTAGACGCAATCTCAAATATAGGATTCTCGATTTTCCTTCAAATTATTTCAGTCATCATTTTAGAAATCGGTGTCATATTAACTTTTCAAATTATATTGAATTTTAAAGAGGATTTATAATATAAATAAAAAAAGATACGTATTATTATTAGGAAGAAGACGAATTTAAGCACTTTTCCTTGTAAAATTTTTAGAGAAACACGATGACGCCACTGGTTTTCTCTGAGAGAAACCTCCAAGCTCAAAAAACTCTCAAGTTGAAGCCGCGCGCTACGGAGAGAGGTCCTCTTTTCTTATCCTGGCGTTAAAGTCTCCGAAAATATGCATCGATACTCAGCGGGCCTGTGATACCATTTGTCAATCTTCCACATGAAATCGCCGTTTTCTAGACGAAATGTATCTCTATCCTAAGATTTTTTTGACCGAGAAAATTTTATTGGCAGATCAACATCATCCCTTAAAGTTCTCACAGATGTGCAATCTCAATTTTCATAGCACAGAGAAGCAAAATAAGGGAAATTTTAAAGAATCAACTATAAGAAGATTTCCATTATTTTAAATGGAAAACTTTTAAAATAATAAGCGTGACTGGGTGGATGCAACGTCGCAAACTGAGATAAGTGGTTTTAGAGTTTCACTTTCGACATTTTATCGGTTTAGCAGGAGAATACGTTCGCATGGGGTAAGGAGAAGCCGAAGGGCTTCGTTTCGCTCCTCTGACGTAAGGGCGTACCTCGATTTTTGCATGAGCCTCAGGAAACGTGGAGTTATATGTAAAACAGGGCTCATGTGGAAATTAACATACGTTCTTACGTCGGAGGGGCGACGATACGCGGTCCTGCCTCAAGACTTTGCTCCCGTATACACGTACAAATACTTCTACTCAGAACAGGTTTATAGTTTTTCGATGTTAGTGTTGTGAGATGTTAATTGAATATTGTACTTAGATCTGCACTCCCATGCTACAGAAAAACGTCGTGTGAATATTCCGATGTTGCAAAATTTCTCTTGGTAATACAGGGAGTCCCAGACCTCCCGTATACCAAGTTTTTTTCTGTTTTACTTTTGGTCGGACGAAGTCCAGGACCTCGGAAACGATTAGGGGATCGAATCCAAGGAATCTGTATTCCGTCATTTTGAAGCCTTCCCGGGATCTCTTAGAAATTAAAAAGATAAACGGCACTTTGATAAGCGGGGATTCCGATAGTAATTGAAATTATTCAATCAAAATCAATAAGAACGGAAAATTTTAACCAAAATCGATACACAAGTCCCAAATCGACCCATTTCTGATTGAAATACTGGCCCGTGAAGTTGAGGGTCGGACTCCTTCTGGATAATATGCTAGGTCACAAAATTGACTTAGAGGTCTAGAAAACGGCATTTTTACACGTAATCGACCACAAGCAGTTCGAATTTGTCGCTTCAGAAACCTCCCGACGCTTTGCTGATGGGCCAGAGAGGGATCGACTTTATGGTCTAAACCCCCCCTCCCCCCCTCCTGTCCCATTAGCGAAGCGTCGGAAGGTAAGGCTATCGAATTCGAATTCACAAACACCTTTTTCCCGAACCTCTACATCCATTTTAGCCTCCCAGCATCTTACTGAAGGGGACTTCGCCTCCAACTTTAGGGAGAGGTCAAAGTTTGGTTCGGAGTGCAGGCAAATTTTGGAAGTTTTAATAAGCATTTCAATTAAATTTTTCCATAATTTCTGACGTTAATGAAATAATTTCAAAAAGCCTCCTTCTACACTTATATTATTTTCCAACAAAGCCATAAATATTTTGCCCTGAATTTTTAGATACGTTTGATGAAGTTTTCAATTGAGGTTGTTGGAAAATCAGCCGAAGTTTAATTCAATATAATTCGACAGCGTGATTCTTTTTCTAAAGAGGAAATATGGCAACGCTCAAATATTGATGTGGCGTTTCTTCTTAAAGCACAGTAGTAGCGGGCTGCGACAATGTATTGAGAAGACAGGTTTCGCTCCGCCCTCCCTTTGGTTTTTTAGGTGATATATAGTTATTCTAGCTCGAAAATCCTCGTTTGTGAAACGCCCAAGACTTGCATTTAAAAACATTGCACCGTCCGTCGTATTCGCGATGATCGGGTAAATTCCTTCGCGATCATTCGCCGGCGCGAATTTTTTCCTTAAACGTGAAAAAAAGTACACTCCGTCTCCCCTCTGTTCTCAGGCCAAATCACCTCACAGTTATTGACTTTCTTTGAACCACTAAGCGAAGGTCGTTTATTGGCCGGTCTTCGTTTACCTGAAAAGAAACAGCCTAGTTTCTATAGGTGATCGAATGCGCGACGTCATTTCGATTCACATTACCGTTGCGTTTTATGTGTGCAATAGGACACAAAACTTGGCGTTTGCACTTATTCTGACTGGGGCGTTCAAACGCTTTGTATGGACAGTGCCAAGACATTAGCGCTGGGAAGATAATTTTTTCGGAACAACACAACACTGCTGTGCTAAGTAAAAACGCCATAGAAGCATTCGAATATTACCAAATTTCTCGTTTGAAAATATTTATTTTTAAAGAAGAATTGAAATTTGAAATATTCAGACTTTTAGATCAAATAAAGAACCTCAAATAAAAAGCCCTCTGAAAAATTGGAGGGGAAATTTTCTCAAATTTTTCTGAAAATTCGTGCTTTGTCGAAGGAAATTTTGCAACGCTTGATGGCTCGGACGGCGTTCTTACTTAGAACAGCAAAGCAGTGCTCCGGTTTACAATCCTTTACCATACTCTTTCATCTTATGTATCCTATAAAGGTTTCCTCGTTAATATTTCCAACATAGGTACTTATTCTCGGTGTTTCGTCTTGATGAGTGAAAATATATTAAATATGTAAAAGTCTTCATTGATTTGGGTGTCCTCGCCAATGGCAATCTATATGAGGTGATAGGTGGAACGTACATTGGTTTTTTTCTTCGAGTAATTGACTGTAACTGCCACTTAGTATGAGTAAACGTGTAATGTATTTGTAAGTACCCCTTGAATTTGCAGCCTGTAAAGTGTAATCTGTTTACTAGCTAGTAAAAAAAAAGAATAAGAAGAAGGAGAGGAAGATTGATGCTATAATGTAATGCGCGTGCCTGATTTGTAATTTTATGAACGTAGCGCCTCCTGCATTCATGCAAAAAACAAATCATACATTCTCATTTTTCAAAATTGCGTAACGCTTTGCCTCCTCCGCGATAGGATTCTATGGCGTATCTGTTATCTGTATTATTCAGCTACGCAATCCTCTTAAAATTTCGTACCTCTCTTTCATTTCCAGTTTTTTTTCCCCTTCTCTATAATGTAAAGGCATCGTAACGCATGACGTGTATAACTTAACGCATTACGTGTAACTTAACGCATGACAAGTAACTTAACGCATGACGTGTAACTTAACGCATGACGTGTAACTTAACGCATAACGCCTGAGTCGTAAAGCGCTTTAGGGGGGGGGGGGGGTCGGACCGCGAAACGATGAGGGAGCGTACGCCGTACGCCCCCTAGTCATATTATAATTAAACAACAATTCATGCCCTATGCGAGACTGACAAATGCAAAATTCTTCATTCTTCACGATCTCTCTATAACGTGGCACGTATGGTACTTAAAAGTGAAAAACTACGTCAGAGTTCATGATACCAATACCCGAGGGTGATAATCGGTACCCCACACACCGTATATAATAGCGAAGGACCATTCTGCCGTGCGCTAAGGGAAAACGCCGTATGAACATTCGAGAGTTGCCAAATTTCCTTTGATGAACCCTTCATTTGTAAGGAAATTAATGAATATTTTCCCTTGATATTTTCAGGAACTTTAGGTGAAATTGCGAAAAAAATAATCTGAAAAATTAGATGAGTAATATCCATAAGTTTACCAGAAAATTCGTGTTTATTCAAAGGCAATTTGGCAACGCGTGAAGGTTCATACGGCGTTCTTCGTAAGTACGGCAGCATTCGGAAAAAGAGTACATACGAATTTTTTGCTGCCAAGATTGTGCAGCTTTCGATGCCTTTCTTTGTCAATCAGAGGCTTTGAATTGTCTATGTTTTCCCTCTGAGGTATCCTAATTTTATGGGGGTAATTTTTCTGAAAATTTCGTGCAGGGTTAAATGAATTTTTATTGGAGTAAAAAAAACGGCGAAGTTGCACAATCTTAGCAACTCGAGATGAACATGTGTCTTTTTTCTGAACGATCCTTCAATATGCTTATTTACAAGTAAATAGTCTACGTGATAAGTGTCTTAATCGGCCGAAGATGAGTCGCCAGCTGGCTCATCATTTGCGCATCTAAATTCATGCCGCGTGATCACTTCCTTGATAGGAAACACTCTCGAAACCCTGAAGAGATATAAAAGTCAACGATCCAGCGGATTTCGCTACGTTTTGGCTCCAGTAGAATACAATAAATCATTTAAGTAAGGAAGTCAGTATGGGTCTGAGCTTTGTTTCCACATTATTGCTCCATTTGTATATCATGTTATTCTTGAAGAATTAAGAAGTATTTAATCTGCATACAGATGATAAACTATACGTGGGATTTTTGGTTTTTAAAGAAAATGCCGATAAGGGGTATCTTGATCAACGAAAAAGATGCATTTTGTGTTCTGATTAGCTTTGATACATGCTCGTGCGCTAGCCTACATCCATTATTGAAGCTTTGAAAATTGAATTGAAATGGCTTTGTTTTCGATAGTTGCTGAGCTTACGCTGTTCTGAAGGGAAATCAAAGCCAAAAATACCATAATGTAGAATTAGAGGTACCGCCAAATGAATAAATATCAATATTGACTCCATAAGGATGCACACAGATAGAATCCACCATACGTATGGAGTCTACGGCATTTTTGTAACAGAATTACCGAGTACTGATTCAGTATCGGAAATTGAAAATGGAGGGTGGATTTCCAGATAAAGCCAATTTTATTACAATCCATTGGGACGCTTGGGATACGACCGAAGACCCTTTACTAACCCCTTAGGGCAAGTGGAAACTTTTACTTTTAAGGATTCAACACCTCCCTTTGGGTAATTTTTAGGGAACCCTAGTCATCACACCCACTAGGTGGATGATAAGCTTCGCGGGTGACGTAATAACTAATAAGCCAAACGCGTTTGCCAAACTCCGGTATGTTATCCAAACCAAACCAAATGGACGTATTTCTATCAAACGGAACTAAGCGCCATAGGGGGAAGAAGGTAGTAGGGGGTTGGATTGGCGGCGGAAACGGGCGTCGCGTCCTGCTCGTTCCGTCCTATACTCGCAATGCTTTTCTATGGCGCTTAGTTCCGTTTGACAGAATGCGCTATCCGGGATTCTCCATTCCTCAAAAGGAACTCAAATTGGCGCTTAGTTCCGTTTGACAAAAATACGTCCGAATGTCCAAAACGTTGTTCAACAACCACTTAGTATGTAGGTTGAATGTTGTCGCCCAAAATTACAAGCTTCCACCATTGCCAGGACATCAATGGAGGGTCTCTTGTCTTCAATAGAGTCCCTTTATACTGAGAGTTAAGACAACACCCCCTCATGGAGTCACAAACGAGAATAAAGATTACACAAATTGAACGTTTTTCGTAATCTTTGATCGGCCCATTCTCGAATCCCTTTCTCCGTTCCTTCCCTCATTCAGTTTGTTCCGTGTCGAACCCGTAATTCCTCGGTCCATTCCAGATTATAATCTTTGCAATTGAGGAAAATGTAATCTTTATTCCCGTTTGTGATACTGTGGAGGCCTAAAATACGCCAACCAATCAGAAATGGATTCCCATTGTCTTGACTCTCAAGTATTAAGGGACTCTAGTCTTCAAATACGACTTAAACAAGTAAGTGCAAAGGAAGTAACTTACATTTCAACTAGAGGGCAGGCGTCAACCCGCCGAACCTAGGTGATCAACCAGTCTCCTGGCCTCGTTTCGGCGCCGTTCTCTGGGTACTGTGCCTCCTGGTCGGCGTATGAGCTTTCCTCCGAACATTCCTCCTCGCAATGGACGGCGCTCGCTCGCTCTTCTTCTCGATCTTCTGGATGTTGGACGCCCACATGTTCGGCATGAAATGGAGCTGGGGGAACCTCCTCCGGACCATCTCCTTCTTCTCCTCGCGGGTCATCCTCTTCTTCGCCTTGAAGAGGTTGTTCGTGTTGTTGACCGTCGTCACGGTTTTCTTGACCGTCTTCGTCGGTTTGATCAGGTTCGGACTGGGCTGGATGGCGGCCCCTGCGGATAGTTCCTGGGGCTGCGGGGGGATACCGTACTTTCGCCTGTAGCTACCGTCGGGGTCGTATTTCGTGGCCAGTGCGTTCCAGTACTCCTTCTTGTACGTGATCAGGTACGCTATCACGCGGCTCGCGTGCTTTCGCTGCATCTGGCTGCACTTTGCGCAGTCTGTTGCCAATGCATCCGGAACAGCCGCTGAAACAAAATCAAATTTCAGGTTATGATATGTTCATTTACTACTACAAAATAGAGTACCTTTATAGGGAGAGTGTGGTTATTGCTGTTATCACCTCTGATTGGCTCAGCCATCTTAGGCTGAATGGAGCCTTTTAGGGCCCAACAATGGCGGACGCTGTGAGTAGATGTAAATACAAAATGACGCAAAATGTAGTTTCATTCGCATATTGCAACGAGAACGCTACTAAGATGCATTATTACGACGTATTCACATAGTTTTGCGGTTAATCATGTGGTATATTTCGAGGAAAATCGTATTAGATATAGTAAGGTTTGTGATAGATAGGTATAGGTGGCATGTGCAGTTCCGTTCTCTCGTTAGGGGAATGACGATAGGTTCACCGCAATTTGTATGAAATTTTCATGTTTTGGCATGTATTGCAATAATTTCTTTCTACCTCATGCACAATCAGTCTAATTGTCGATTATGCAGTGAATGCAGATTTGATCTAACGATTGTTGTTATCAATGAATATACATTTCAACTCTTATTTAAAACTAAAGGTAGTACGTAAAATAGTCGTCAGTGAGACGGCGCCTAATTCAACAAATTTGAAGATGGGACGTAAACACATTGACTTCGTAACGGAACTAATCATAAGAATTGAATTAAATCTAAAACTCTAGCCTGTATCTATATGAAAATATTAAACCGTATGATAATGATGTAATTTTGGCTAATTGGTTGTTTTCAAGTGATATTATCCCATGCTTGAAATGTTTAGATTCTCTCATGAGCGTGACCTGTGTGCATTTTTGGTACGCACTGTCTGTTTACGGTGACTGGTGACCTTGCGACTCGAGTTGTGTGTGAGCATCCGACCGCATGAGAACATGTAGAATGCCGAAAAGCAGGAAAAATGAATTTTCATCAAAGAAATCACCAACTTTTATATTGAATTAAATGTTGAGCATCGTCACTATGAATGAGGACAAGAATAGGTATTACCATACTAGTGCTACGTTATAAAAATTAATGCAGAAGGGGAGAAGGGCATCATGGTAATTACTAATTCCTATTTCTAAATTAATTTTTATTATTTCATCGAAGAATAATAATGTTTCCTGCTTGTATACAAAAATATCTCATTTTTCGTATTACTTGCCTCGTGCTATACACCAAATTTTTATTCGTGAACGCTTATTTTATTAGTTTCACGATAGCGAATAAAAAGTTGCAATTTAATATCATTAATACCATTCTTGAACTTAATCATTGGCAAAATCTAAGAGTCTTCATTTAAATGTTTCATTCGCCCTCATAGCGATATCTGAAACAGCAAAAATAATTTATTCTTGTGGAGACTTGAACGCCGCGCGCCGAGTAGAAAAAACAACTAATCATCGCAAGCGGGGAACTGCCCGCAAAAATCACGAAGGAACTTACTTTATGTTGTTTTTTTAACAAAAATAGCGGTAAAAATTCTACAAAATCAATTTTAATGTAATGATTTACATTTTATGGAGTCGACACAATTTCACAGAGTCGCCATCGCAAAAAAATATCTATTGACTTTAAAAAGATGTATGAGAGAAGCTATCTGAATCTTTTACTGAATAATATATTTCTGATAATTTCTGATCGTTTTGAAGGTTAAGACGTTGATAATGGCCTAAGAGGCTCAGAGATTGATCAGTTTCTGTGTATTGCAATGTTGCCGATTTTTTTTTTTTTTTTTTTTTTTTTGAGGAAGACATTTTCGGGCTTTTATTCCTCCCAGAATCTACAGCCAAGGTATATAGTTTTGAGGTTACTATATTTTAAACGACAAGGCAAATGGGTTGGACTTGAAATCCAATCCAGGCATTGAAAGGGTATACTACCGCCATGCTACCGAAAAACGCCAAATGAACACTCGAGAATTGCCAAATTTCTCCGCAATAAACGTGTATTTTTGAGGAAAATTATTCTTATTTTTCCTTGAAATTTTCAGATATTTTAGATAAAGTCGCAGACATAATTGTCTGAAAATTTCGCAGAAAATATTCAAAATTTTCCCAGTAAATGGGTTTTTATTGAAGAAAATCTGGCAACGTCTAAGGGCTCTTACGGCGTTTTCCCTTAGCACGGTAGTATATACAACGATTCATTTTCCCGTGTACGTTGCTTCATCCGGGGACCGACCAAATAAGAGTTTTCAAAAAATTCGAGCGTTGCTTCAGACAGAAGGATTTCAGAGGTGAAGGGAAGTGCAGGAGCATGCGCTCCTCGAGGATACTACGAAGTGGGATCAGAGCTATTTATTTCTATATCGACTGCAATCCGACCAACTTCCGTAGTTTTGCAAGGAGAGTTACAAGCACAAAGAGCGAGAAGCCCATCTCATCGGCTGTCGAATGCAGTCGTTACAATAAAACCCGGGTAAGCGGAGTTCATATCCCGACGCCGCACAGTGGATCGAGTCAATGAGAGAGGTCGGACATAAAATGGACCGCGTTAAACAGAAAGGAACCAAGCCACATCAGCTATTGCCAAATTTAATAGGGAGATTTCATTTTTACGAGAGACCGTCTGCGCACATTCCTTTGAAAATTTTCAGGAATTTGCTTTGTATTACGGAGAAAATTCACTGAAATTTGCACAAAAACCCGCACTACCATTTTCATGTAAAAAATTAAATTGCCCGATTAAATTTGGCAAAAGATGATGTGGCTTGGTTCCTTTCTGTTTAACGCGGTCCAACTTTTTGACTAAAATCGAAAATTTTTATGTTTATTTTGTCACATTTTAAATTTTAAAGGGTGCTCCTGACAAGAATCTCACGAGGAAACCAATGGAACCACTTTTAGAACCTCAAAAGCTTGTATAAACGGAGTTAAAAGCGTTTTAAGTTTCCAAATTTTGTCCGACCATTCCAATTGACTCGATCCACCGTGCGACGGCGGAGCTCAAACCGTGACTCCTTGACATTTTTCCGCCGTTAATTAATATTTTCCGCTTGCTTTCACATATTTCCTATTTGCACGAGCGCGGAGCCGCCAGCGCAAGAAGAGGCGGGCGGTACCCTTGAGAAGATGACCGAAGATCCTCTCGCTCCTCCGATGGGATGATGCGCATGCGCAGGCGCCAATGCCCCCATATACGCTTAATTACTCACAACGCTCGCGGCTCGCAGTGTTTTTGCTCCGAGACAGTTATTGCCGTGCTAGGGAAAAACGCCGTATGAACATTCGAGCGTTGCCAAATTTCCCCCTTTAAAACATGTATTTTTGAGAAAAGTCATCCATATTTTTCCGAGAAATTTTCGGATATGTATGTTTAAGATGCGACCAAAATTACCTGAAAAATTGGGGGGAAAATATTCAAAATTTTTCCGGTAAAGTCGATTTTTGGTAAAAGAAATCTGGCAACATCTAACGGCTCATACTGCGTTTTTCCTCAGCACGGCAGAGTAAGCCACCTAATGACGTTCTCATGAACAGCTTTCGTTCACGTTTTGGAATAGTTCGTGTTATTTAACGCGAGTCCTTTGCCGAAGATGCACGAATACACGAAAAATGGGTCAGGCGCGTCTGTCGCAGAATCTTGGTTTCATGGTTGATTATAGATTAGCGAAAATAATGAGATCCGTTCGAGCAGGAGAAACAGTCATGGTAAAAATGTTGAAAAGTGCCAGACCGGAAAACAGGTCAAGTAATAAAATATAAAAAAATATTAAACGCTCTCACCAGTCAGAAGGTAGGTGGATCCAGGAGGGGGGAGGATGCGAGGTGCCCCTCCCCCCTGTTTGCCCGAAAAAAAGGAGGAAGAAAAAGAGAAGGAAGGAACGTAGGAAAGAAAAAGGAAAGACGCTTACATTTGGTAATTATTCATGACAACATTAACTCAAACTGCACGTTAGATGCTTCAAAAATTCAAAAATTTTCTGGGAGAGGCGCAGGGACCCCTCCGCGCCCCTTCTAGTTCGCGGTGCCTGGATCCGCCCGGTGGCGTGGCGTGAATTGCGATATATCGATCGTGATGTCATTTAAACCAATGGAAAATGATCGATAAACAGGGTGTTCGCAGCGAACACCTTAATAATCGATTCTTTACCGTAGGTTTAAATGGCATAACAATCGAGACATCGCTATTCATGCCACGCCACTGGATCCGCCTATATGCGTCAGAATTAGACGCATTTATACTAAAAGGAACTATGTGCATAGGGTTTGCGCGAGGCATAGTTCCTTTTGGCATAAATACGTTCAATTTATCGTTAAAACCGACGCGTTTCGGCCCATACCGGCCATCAATTCGCTTTTCAGATGTTGGCTGGCGTAGGCCGAAATACCTTGGTTTTAACGATAAATTCGGACTGATGAATGTTTTTAATGTTTTTTTAATCGTGGTAAGGTCAAACTGTCCATTAAGGCCCTTCTTACCTGTAGAAATGATCAAACTTATAAAAATGCGCAAGAAAGTGTCAAGCGGGCACATTTTACTTGTTAAAAGCTTTTCCTTTAAGATTATGACTCAGTTCCCTTGTTGCATCTTATAATAAAGGCATTATTTAGTGTTCGAAGTTGGTTTTACTCGTGTATTCCCGGAAGACAGCACATTTTCCGATGCATTCGCTGTAACTTAACTATTAGTGCATAAATGCCTGTTTTCCCATGAATATATTTTGAGTACCTCACGAGAAGCTACAAACGTAAAGGGGAAAACAGCCAGTTTTGCTCTCATACTTAATATAATAGAAAGATCAGGTACTTTAAGGTATTTTTGTGGGAAAATAAGAAGGCCCAAATTTGGACACGAAAATTGATGTACTTGAGTAACATTTTTTGAGAAGTTTTGTGGATGGAATGATCCCACACGTAATTACGATAGGTACAACTGAGAAAAAGTGATCCCCGGGGATTTGGATCCTTAATCACCTGAATTTATTCTCCCAAACTAATAATTTTTTTTTCTTTCAGGAATACATTCTTTTTCGGACCCTCTCCACCTATTCATGAAAAATTGTTGACCACGT